TACTTACCTAAAGTCTAACTATTAGATAGAGAGATATAGTATCTTTAGAATTTTATATTATAATACTTCTCTTTATAGTTAAGTACTCGTTAAGTATATTAAATCTAAATTCGAATACTATTACGTAATACTAGAGCCCGATTAGTATCTTCGCTAATAGCTTATAACTTACTCGTTACTATAGATCTATATTACTTACTTATATAGTAAATATAGAGAGTAGCGCTTATTATATTTTATAGAGTCTATTAGCTAAGGTAGTAGTATATATACTAGCCTAGCTTTATCGATATAGATACTATAATATTCGTAGGCTATAGACTTATAAAATTACTTTATATAGATTATATCTACGACTATATTATAAGCTAGGTTCTATTACTCTATTTATAGTAATAGGCCGAATTTACTAGTATATATCTACTCTTATAATTAGCGCTATTCTTTATAGGCTACTATTTACTATAAGCTATTATCTATTCTATACTAGCCTAGATAGAATACTTATATCTATAATCGAAGACTAGTATAATCTCTTCGGCTTAAGCTTTACCGAATAGCAAACGAATATAGCTATAGATAACGCCTTTACGTTCCTAGTCCGCGTATAGTATTTACTATTACTTTAGTATACTTATAAGTACTACTCTAGTCCGCTATATAAAGAAAGGATAATATAACTCTAAGTCTTATAGACGTACTCGTCTCGGCGCTAGTAAATATCCTCTCGCTCGGTTTACTCTTTATATAGATTAAGCGACCTTTCCTGTTCCTAATCGCAATCATTGCTTAGTAAGCATCTTGGGACCATAGTATATATGTTCTCCTAGCTAACGATTTAGGCTTGTACCTATCGCTTCGATAATCACTCCGGCTACCTTGTCCGTTAGAATACAGACTCCTCCATCAGCGCTAACACACGTACTGAACATTGCTTTGGAGAGCCTAAGCTTAGTCGCAGAGCTGGGCGAGGTACCGAATGCTCGCTCCCTCACGGGAGGCTTTAACTTATGCGTGTCTGGCGATACGGACTGCTTGCCCGGAGAGAACACGGTAGCACCTTAGGCCTACTACACTTATAATAGACCCAGCAATGCGGTCCGCAAGACTGCTAGTGCTTCCGCCGCTCAAGGTCGTATATTGAGTGTCACAGCACCAGCTCCAAACTCGAGCTGGACTATACAGTTCCCAGGCCCGGCTTTAAAATGCTCCCCACTTGAGATCGGACGTCAACGCACCTTCCAGCAGAATATTGTCAACTACACAGTTGTCAACTACGGAGATTGCTCTTACAAAGATCCTGGTTTCACAGCTTGGCGGCCCAAATATAACGAAGGGGGGCCTAGGGTGGAAGATGCGGTACCATATGCCAACTTGACTTCCGAAGGCTATATCTGAAATCCTGAACCACTGGACTTGAACAACTACTTTTGGCCAAACGATAACAAGGCAGTCTCTTACGTTGCCGTCACACCTTCGCTTATGGAAATCACGATGGAGGCCGATTCAATCTTTGGTCGGCCATCAACATGCGGAATACCTTCAGAGCCGAGTGAGGACGATGTGCAAAAGTTCTTTAGCGAATCCAAATTGGACTCAACTATGCTTCAGTGCAGCGTGCACAGCTCCACTTACACTGCAAACTTTGAGTTCGTCGACGGGGCGCAAGAAGTGCACTTCGAGCTGTTGGACGTGTCGGAGCAGACGCTGGACACAATATGGTCCATTACCGGACTTCCCAAAGATGCTCCCGAGCTGTACAGTGATCCTTCAGTACCAGCCCCATGCAACCATCTCGGTGGTTATGATCGTGGTGAGGCTTGTAAGTGTGACCATTAAAAATCGCCAATATGACGAGACTCTCACGCACGAGTAATCAAACTGATTTTCCCGAATTTGCCCAGGTATTTTCGATTCTACTGTGTTACGAAACATGTCTTACACGGCGATCCTGTACGCCTACCTCGAATTGATTATCGGAAGTCTGGAATTTCAGGACGATGCGGAGTCAGGCCGACGTCTGAGCATGAACTCCGGAATTGCCAGCACTGCTCTGGTGCAGTCGCCGGAGCTCGAGTGGATCGATGATCTCAGCATCCTCGATGAAACGTGGTCTGCCCTGCAACAAGTGCGGCCTCCATGGAACGACTCCATATACTACGGCTTGACGAATCGAAAAAGCTCTCAAAGGGGCCCACCATTACAACAGGCACTCGAGCAACGTTTCATAACATTACTATAAGTCCCTTCAGCGAACCGGAGCTGAAGTGAGTCCAAGCGCATCTCTCTGAACGATGAGGACACGCTGACGAGTCTGGATTTTAGCTACAACGAGAGCTCTGCATTCCGGCCAAACGAAACAGAAGTTACATTCGCCACCAGAAACATCATCTACGTCTACACTCGACAGAAGCTTTGGCTTGCGTACGGAATTTCCATTGGGGTCACGCTATTGACCGTATTGTTTGGTCTGACAGCCATCTTCGCCAATAAAGCGTGCTTCAGCCATGAGTTCTCTACCTACTTGAGATTATCAAGGGGTGCGGAGTTGAGCATCGGTATCAAGCAGGAAGACCTGTATGGAAAGGATCCACTGCCGGCTTATGCTGGTCGCGCTGTGATTCGATTCGGTCGGCAAGCAGATGTGGCGGATTATCAGGCTCTGCCTCGATCGTCAGACTATGAAGGGAAGGTGGGCACCTTGGGTGTGACGGCTCATGACTTGAGTGAGGCTCACGGACGTCAGCGTGCTTGACTGAATTACGACCACCCTCTGGGGGGACGCAACACTTTCAGTGGATAATAAACGCTGCCATGGAATCTGCATATCTACAATCGGCCGAAACAATCACGGAATGCCACAGCCTTCCGAACTTCTCGACGTCGCAGATCATGGCGTCTTTGAGGCCGAAGAGGTGTATGTTGGGGACGAAAGCCATCTTCGTGACGCGCTTGTAGCTGCCAAGAAAGTATGCGACTTGATCAGGGAGAAGTAGAGCGTCGGGAACGATTGGCAGCCCTTTCTCGAACTCGGCTATGTACCTCATACTCTTCTAGAGCCTATTCTGGGGCATAATTGTGTGGCGAGTCGTGTGATGCCATGCACTGTCCGGCAGAACGAGCAGTGGATTGGACAGCAGGGATGGACCCGAGGCAAACTTGCAATCTTGGGCCAGCACAGTCAAGCCGCCACAGCGAATCAAAGCTCATGGGACAAGCCAAAAGCCGCCAGGCAAGGAGAGATGTATCTCGGGCAAGGCTGAAGGATTGCAAAAAAAAGAGGCACCGTGTCTTGGCGATTCTCGGCAGGTTTGCAGTGAACAACGAAGGCTTTTCTTCTCTGAGCACTCGCAAGTCTGGGATTCGGGCTTGACGTTGGCAGTGATTAAGCGTTACGATCCTTCTCTAAGCACATCTGTGGTGTTTTGAGGCTTCATAAATCGAACCACTTGGCATATTTCGCTGCCGTCGGCCGGAGTCTTACTGCAGCCTCGCGGCATGGCGTATCGTGGCACCAGCAAATCGACTCGTCGATCGCGCCAGCGGCTGGGAGGCTGTAGTACTCAGAGCCTGCCAATCGGAAGTAACGAAGCTTCCACTTGGCATTGTAGCTAGAACAATCGAAATCCCCATTTCCGGTCTGGCAGCAGAGTCGTTGAAACAAGCTCCCACTATAACGTCTCCATCTGCTGAGTGTCCCTAACTCGTCTGTGACACACTCATCTGGACAGCAGGGCAGCCATTATCTGGAGAGTCATTTGCCACTTATTGTCGTTTTCACGAGCGCTCACACACAGAAGTTGCTAAAAGCAACAGATCATCATGCCTCGCCACTACTCTGAGCTGGAGGTCGTTCGCGACGAAAGGCAAGGATTGGAAGTAGATGATTCCAAGGAGCAAAAAATCGTTGTTCACGAATCTGAAGGGGACAAGATCTGGCTGGGACATCACCCTCACTGGGCCGGCAATGTCAGAAATGGTCAAGAAGCACTGAGTTTGGAGAAAGATGTGAGACGACAAAGCTGGTGGAGCAGGCCTTAGAGTAGGACATTCAAGGTCGGGCTGGCCATTGTTGCATTCGTACTTGTCCTTGGAGCAATAGGAGGAGGTGTTGGAGGCGTTTTGGCATCGCGGAGCAAGAACAACAATCTAGAACAAGAGCGGGAGTCAATGGGCAACGAGTCGAATGCAATATCCGACGGTATTGCGCAGACCAATGACGGAGCCTCCAACAACTCCTTGTCAACAACCACAGCACCAACGAGCACGACAAATCCTATCACGTACAGTACAGTTGTTCTACCCGAGGGTACCTTCGTAAGAGACTGTCCTTCATCGAACGACAGCCTCTACACCATAGCAAGGGAAGATGAAGACCCTATACTGTTCCGAAAAATATGCGGCAAAGACTTCATAGGTTACGATTGGCGGAACTACCCCGACAGCATGATTTTCATTAACACTGCTCTCGTGAGGAGTCTAGAAGAGTGCATCGGCTTGTGTATCTCCGCCAATGATGAACATCGAGTCGCCATCTCACGTGGCGAGAAGCAGGCATGTAATTCGGTATGCTGGAGGAATGGACTTCCGGCAGACGATCGTCCGTATCAATGTTTTGGCGGGCATACTTTTAATGCTTCGGGAACATTTGCGACACGAGACGAAGCTATCTGTGATGCAGCGGCTTGGATTAATCAGCGCTTGTTGTAGCAACTAGAATGATCTGAAAATTTTGTTGAAGTGACTCCTAGCACAAGTAGAATGTGCCGTCGAAAAGTGAGCTCCAGGCTTCCAGCTCGTCGGGATTGAATCTCGTCAATATCGTGAGGCCAATGTTAGCGAACCGGCACAGATATTCTTCTTCTCTAGCTCTGAACATCTCTGTCCACTCCACATTACTGAGAACTGTAGAATGGTCTGCTGCCGTAAACACCGCCGAAGGGTCAGAAAGGCCAATAGCGCGATACATTATCAACCGTGTCTACAAGGTTGCCTTCGGGCATGTTCGCCAAGTTCCGCATGTCCACCCTTACTCGGTCCAGGATATCGTGCTGGTGTCCGCTTTACCAATCGATCTGCCCACCGGGGAAATGAATGACTGCTCAAATTGAAATTTGCTGCATTCGACATGTTGTGGGCCAACTGCGGAGGGCGGAGTTGACGATGGAATGACTCAGCACAATATGGCTTTATTGGTTTATTGATACTACTATGATTGCAGCCTCTTCGTTACAATCAATCCGACGCCTCAGACCGATTGAAAGAGGTTGATCGCGGTCACCGCCACGTTTGTCCCTCCGCCCGGATTTGTCTTCGGGTCATGCACTTCCAGCTTTAACCTCGCTGCACTGAATCTGGCAGAAACACTAAGTCTTGATCGTGATCCCAGTACGTCTTCTTCTGACCAAACACCTATAAGCCCAACAAGGGCACAAGTCAGCAACATTGAAACACCTCGTTGATCCGAGGGGCAAGCCAAGGGCGGGACGAAAGAGTATTACTTACCAACAACAAAGCGCGATCGATAGGACGACCGGCACTCCAACTCCGACACTCACACCAATAATGGTAGCCTTGGGCAAGCCTTTGATCGCATCCTCTATATCGTCTCTTATGCCATCTACGGTTCCGGTCGCGCTCGCAACGTAAGGAACGGGGCTGCCCGATGTAGTCGGCAACTTCACAGCATTCGTGCCGAATGCTACAGTGGTTATGGCAGCTGCAACCTGACGAGCATCGATTCCCGGCCAGATGGAGCTAGACAGTGCCTTCTTGTCGACACCGGAGGCAACAGCCGTAGTTAAAGTGATTGTCGTTGAAGAAGTCGAAGTGGTTTGTAGCGAGGCGGGGCAGTTGACAAGACCAGTCGAGACACAGCTGACTGCAGTGTATGTCGTCTCATGCACAAGCTCCAGTTCAGAAAGACCTTGTCTCCGAAGGATGGCAGCATCCGTGGCTGTAGGTATTGCAGATGTAACGGCTGGGGTACCAGAGATGGCACAAGCTGATGCAAGCTTTGTGGTGTAGATTGCCTTGGAGGTCTTGAGTTCTGGACCCCATCGTTCCGTTCCTACGTGGATAGTAGCACCGGCGTTTGCCCCAAGGGCAAGTTTGTACGATTGAACGACACCAAAGGCGCATTCCTCGTCGTCGGGTACATACGTGATATTTGTCGTCATCTCAGCAATGTTCGCGAACACACCAACTTCGATGCCGCCTCCGACAGAGCCCCCTAAAGTGCGATTGGCGATACTCCAGGAGGGCAGCTCTGGTGTAGCTAGTTTCATCCCGGTATGAACACCAACGCGGAGCACAGCGGTGAACAGAACACCCCCCGCCTCGATGGTGACTGGGAGTAATTCGAATTGTCCTCCGTTACTAACCAACGGCGTTAGCTTTTGCGTCTCGCGCTGATGGCGTCCACCAGCATTTGCACCAACACTTACAACTCCAAATTCGAGGGGTCTTTTCCAAACAATACGATGTCGATGGCGAAGCCGTCGTCGATCTTCAAATGGAAGCCACTGCCAATGATGATCGCCGCCTCGGCGGAGAGGATGAGCTCCACATCAAAGATAATGCCGAGCTCTAGGTCCTTCGTGATGTGTACACCAAGAGGAGTCTTTGACTTGTACAAGGGAAGGGTGTATGTCGCCCCGAGAGACAGTGTCGTGTCAATGAGCATGTATAACTCCAATTCGTCGAAGGTGAAGCGTAACTTCGCGTCCGGAATTGGCGGCAAGTCGTCCATGTCGAAGGTATAGTTCCACGTCGGGGACTTGAAATCGTCGAAATTGAAATCACCTTCGAGAATGAGCTCCTTGAGTTCTTCTCCAGCCGAATCAATGAAGCCTCCAATCACCTCTCCAACTTCCGTCGTGATATTCTGAACCACTCCGGAGACTGTAGACTCAAGATCGTCAATTGTCTGGGTAATGTTGAAGTCCTGGGACAGGGTAAGTTCGCCCGTAGCGATGCCCTTGAGATAGCACGTGCGGCAGACGATCTCGAGGCCAGATGGGATTTTCCATGTACCATTAGGTGCCTTGGCATTGTCTCTTGTGAATACTTTCTGAGCATCGCCACTAGGATAGGTACGTCAGCAAGAGCATTAAAAACTTTGCGGGCTGATAGGTCGATACAGCTTCAAAAGCACTGCTTTGTCCCATTGGTGTCGAATGTTGTGCTGTTCTTCCAAACACGATTTGGCTCGGCCCGAGCAGCTTTGTGGAGCTCATGAGAGATGTCACGAATAACATATGAGTTTGGTCTTCCGTCTGGAGCTCGCACAACGATACTCGATTCGAGAGACGTTCCAAACGCAGGGTAGAAGGTGCCGAACAAGCAGACAGACAGTCTCAATAGTGCTGCGAGAGACATATTGAGAGAATGATCTGCTCGAAACTGAACGAATGTGATATGTATTGCACGGGATCGACCAGTGCGTAGAAGTCTTGTGAGGTATCGCTCCGGTTCCAAAATGGCGCGAACGATGTTTTATACACCCTTCCGCGGGTCTGTATCAACGTGGGATTGATGCATATCATCACGGAGAACTGGGGCTGAACAGCCTCGACAGCATCTAGAGCCGACGATGCCAGCAGTGCTCAGGAGACCAAATTATCGTCGTCCAATCCGCGCCTCCACAGGTCCTCTCTCGTGGCATGATCCCAAAGGTACAACGAGTGTTGGTCCTACATCATGCGATACCACTCCATGATTGTTGTTGTCGCATATGCTTCGCCGTGCTGAACCGGTGAGATAATCGTCCGAATGGGTACAGAACAGTCATAAGCCTCCCTGCGTGTAACAGAATGTAGTGAGATGGCGTATTCCAGCCTGAAGCTAAGGCATATCTGCCGAGAGGCCGCCGTTCAATGAGGACTGCACGGACTCAGTTCGTTCGACGCACCATCCTATGCCGATAGCGTATTGGCTGCGCCAACCCCATCTGCAATAGGTACCTGCAGACTTCACGGATACTTGGGCGGCTTGACGCTAGCCGTTGCAGGAGCAGGTCCGTAGTTGAAGCAACGCTAAGTTTCATATCAATATGGCGAGATCGCATGTGCGGCTGTGATTGCACAAGTAGAAGCCATTGCCTAATCAGCCTTTCCCTAGAGGTCAGCTCCACGTCCGCAGTGCTGCAGCGCGCAGGGAGAGTTCGAGTTCGCAAGGCTGACACAGCCTTGCGCGACAGCCACAAGTGTTCCAAATTTCACATCAGGCTGAAGGGTTCTCGTGGAGGGTGCAAATCTGAGGTCGCGTTGCGCTGGAGAAGAGATCCACCTTCGGAGGTCGTCCCGTCCTCCATCCAGTCTTGCGAAGTATAGCCAGTGTTGAAAGGCTGTGTACGACATTGGAATGTAGTACCGCCTCATTTACTTGATGTTCAGGTGGCTGCATAAATGCAGGGATTCGTGCGCCACGAGAAGCAAAACACTGCCAGTATGCGCCAGCGTGACCCCCAACGAGGCTGAAGATATCTGACCGTCCACAAAGATGTTTGCTCGGCATAATGCAACATACTGCATGGCGCGGCGTACAGTGCCGTTCTGAGGATGATTAGGAGCCGAAATCGAGTCTAGAGTCCATCAGGATCCAGCATGGCTTTCGATGCGAAACGATGAGCTCTTCGCTGCTCCAATAGATGCCCTTTCCCGACATGAGACATGGGGAGTTCATGCGGGGAAGAGGCACCGCCAAAGTACCTTCGGACAAGGCTGAAGGATCGTGAAGTCGCATTGAGTCTTGGCAGGCCCAGCCACTTCCTGAGCGAATCATTTAGGATCTTGGCAAGTGCAGAAGGGCCATTGCCCGAATCTGACTGCGAATGATCATTTGCGGCTGTTTTATTCTCCCGACTGACAGCTCGTAGGTCGAACACGCACAAGAAACACCGAGTACGCCAGCATATGCTCAGTGCTTCCAGGACGTTACTTTTGTGCGGGAGACGCAGACCAATTGCTGCAGAGAGTGTGCTGCATTCGCTGCGCAGTCTACAGCCCTGGCGGCAAATCGATAAGATGTCTCGGAGCCAGATCGTGTTACAGTATCTGAACGCTAGCCCGATGTGCCAAGACCCAACGAGAACGCCACCAGTCGTGCTTGCAACAGATGTTTCGACATCCCGATGCTCTTTCGAAATGAGCATATCGCCAGAGCGAAAAGCAAGAGATTTCTCTGGCGCTGTGGGACGTGGTATGAAACGGAGGATTGTTCCGACTGCTTCCACCAGAAGATGCTGATGCTTCGACCCCACGCTCAGTGCAGCGAGAACAGGAGCATCTTTGCGGGCCTGCTGATCAGCATGGAGATTACTACCCCTCGTATATCTCCATGGTAACTCACTGAACCGAACTGTGGTAGGAGTCGTTGTGCTCGACTTTGGCTCTTGTCTAAGGAGTGGGGAGCATCAGCGTGGGCGTTGAGCTGCTCCATACGGCCCATCGAATCATTGTGCCTGGCAAGTCAAGGCCAAGTGCTGCAAGGGCCTCCTCCACTAATGAGCCCGGGAGTTTGAAGATCTCGAGGACTTGTACGGTGTGTTATTGCACAGTCGTCGAGTACATCAAGACCCGCGAAAATCGATGTGTTTTCTCAACGAATGATCTCGCTTCTTGACCTGCTCACTGGGTGCCAGCACTTAGAACTTGGCATTGTGGACTTCAAGAGATAGATGCCATATGAGTCCTGTTTCTTGACATCGCTGCCGGTGTGTAGACTGTCTGTCCTGCAAGTTCTTCGAGCAGTTAGATGTAGGCGACATCCTGATGGGAACCACGCCAGCAGACCGAGCAGCGGGCGATCAAAGAACCCAGAGAAAGGGTCGAAAAGTTGAAATGTTGGAGTAGAATGTCGCTTCTTCGATTCTGCTGCTTCAGGCGCGTTCTCAAGCTTCAGATCGACCCGGCTTCCGCGCCTTCTTCTTCCTGCACGACCGTTTGGGCTACAATTGCCATTGTCGCTTTCGTATTTCGGGCAACCGGCGACATTGACCTCACGCCTTCCATCTCCGCCATCTGTCTCCCTCGGCAAGTCAGTATTTAGATCTTTCCCTTCAGTTCACTTTCACCAAAGCTGATCGTGGCTAGAATGACGGCTCGCAAGAACTCTGCCGCTCTTTGGGGCTTCACCCATTCCTCCTACGAACAATCGAGCGATGCCGCCGCAAACAGCAACTTCGCACAGCTGAACATCCTGCAGCAGATGAAGAACCACGCCGAAGCTGCCCGAAAAGACCGACTCGCAACCGAAGCTGCTTTGAAGAAGACGCTCAAGCTCAGCGAGCAAGCCGCCGTGGACAGAAAAGTCGCGGAGGAAATCTGGCAGAAGATACAATACCACGAAGGCTACACCGCCGCGTGCGCAGACCGAGCAGAGTACTCGCTGCAGGGAGCGGAATACCACGGTGGCCAAGTCTCTCATATGAGCGCGGGTATTGCAGGACAGCTGATGGCCTCGAGCTCCAACGCCGATAGCGCGAGGAGTGCTGCCGCTGCCGCTCAGCGGTCCTCTACCAGCGCAGCGCGGTCTGCTGCTGAGGCCGCTCAGTCTGCAGCTACTACTATCAAAATGCTGGAGGGAAGCTATTGACTCCGCACCTGTTGATTCTCTGCTAGAGACAGCAATGCTGGGAGCGATCACCAGAACCGGTGATTCAGCACGACCGGGGCTGTCCGCGGGCGCCTATCGCACGTTGTGCTGAAGTCCGAATCGTGGAATGCTATGTTGTTGACGGCAGGGTACAGCTGGCTAAGTATGTCATCTATGTCTGAGTCAACTTATGTTCAAATCTTGGAAGATGCCGTTCAAGAAGGACCCCGCTTACTTCAGCCCTAGCTGCAATCTTCGCGTGCTCATCATATCGGAATGTATGTGTTCCGAGCAACTTGTTCTTCGGCAAGGCATTCGTGTGCATCGGGGAATGGTTAGATGAAGTGAGGACAATTTTAAGAACCTCGTACTGCCTCGTACCAGTAATGTCTGATCCTCATTGACGTGAATCTCCGGGAACTCCGACGAATGCGTGCTTCATCCAAGATTCATGAGGTCGCCTTAAGGTGATGTGCTGAGCAGTGAGCATCCAGCCGACGGGCAATCAAAGCTTTGAACAGGCAAACGTCCTGTGCATGAGGAAATCATCAGTTTTGGTATCCACGTCGAAAGTTAAATACGCCACTCACCTATCGTCGCTGCAGAGCCTGATGCACTTCCATATCGCTGTCAGTGGTGCTCGAAGTCGGCGCCGCGTGCCAGCCAGAGAGAGCTCTTGGTCATTATGGGACAAGTGCTCTCGTCTCACAGCAACTGTATGTTGAAGTAAGAGCAAGAAGAACGAATGGAATCCACGCAAATGACAGTCCAGCAAGCCCATAAATACAGTAAGCAGACGATTAAAACCCAACTTTACTACCCGCGAGGAGGGTATCAATCTATCGCTATGACAACATATGGTCAATAATCTTTGCACTTCTCTTCTCTTCTTAAACATTCTCATGATGATGCAAATACAAAAGAAATACGAAACAATGAAATATGCTCGAACGCTCTCATGCCACGACTCGTGCCGCCCAGAGCTACTAGAAGTCTTCGCTTCACGCACTCCACGTCCTCTTCAGACTACAATTCTCAATAATCCCACTCATCCTCGGACATCTCTTCGCGACAGTCCCGCGGAATGAATACTGGATCGCATGCTCGGGCTCCATGGATTCATCTGTGGGATCCACATATCCAGTGTTGGGTCCACTGCAGGTAGTCGTCAATTTGATATCGTCTGATTCGCGGTCCGCATCTTCCGCGAACGGGACGATGACTGAATTACGTTTCATTTCTGTCGTTGCAGCGGGGTGAGATTTGCGTTTCGGCTTGTCGTCGTCGGATGTTGCGCCGATGAGATCTTCTGGGCGACGATAGGTATCCGGCTTCAATGAGAAACGCTTGCAGTTGAGAGGTTCTGGGTATGCGGAGGACGAGGTGGACGTGGGATAATCGACCGGTTTTGCAGAAGGATAGGATCGTGTCTTGAATGCGTAGTCTGCGTGAACAGTGCGTTGACGTCCACCTGGGCCGGGATCGGAATCGGGTCGATCGACGCCTAGCATTCTTCGGGCCTTGTCGGTAGAGACAATGGTCACGGCACGACCTTGAGAGTCATGTCTATACCGTCGAGGTTCAATAGGAGAGAGCGAGTCGTGGATGGAGTTGACGTCAGATGTTGAAGTTTGGAGATCGAGATGCCTTAGTGTTTCCTCAACGGTCGCACCGAGAATCTCATACGCTTTGTTGCTTTCGACAGATATGCTACCTTCATGTTGGCGTGCCGTACGCGAAGGGCCGGGTTGAAGGTCGATCTGAGTGACGGAACCAGAAGCATAATGTTGCAGAGGGACGACCGAATCGATGTGAGCCAGATGTTGCAGTTCGTTTGCATCAATACCGAGGAGCTTGAGAGCCTTATCCGACGAGTTCGAACCTATTGATGTCCAGGACGCATTCCGGCAATGCGAGTTTCTCAATGGGTTCTTCTCCGGTACGCTAGGTGCGCTATACCATGGAGACCGCAAAGATTGACTCGACTCGCCTGAAATGTCATTTCCCACCAATATCGATCCTCGTTCAGGCTCTTCCACTCGCTGGCGGGATCGCTTCTTGCTGCGCCTGCGGAGTTCTCGAGATTGTGTTGAGGTCGCAGAGCTAGATAACGAGCTCATAGACCTGCAACTTCGCACCGTCTCCGAGGCCTAGCTATTGCGTTAGGTCAGTCCGCCGCGAAGCTGAAAAGCGAAATCTTGGCGCGAACTTACAGTATCGGGCGTCATGCTTCGTCCGACGTGCTTGCCTTTGTGGAAGAGCTCCAGTCGCTCCACGTCCTTTTCCATCTGTTGTGCGTACTGCTCGAGCACGGTCTGGAATGTCTCGCCTCGCTTCGTCGTCAGGTCTCTTGCAGATTCGAACCCCTTGAGATACAGCTTGATGTCTTCGTTTGGTCGCATGGGCAGCACCGCAGAGTCATTGCGTTCGGTCTTAGCTGATCCTCGATGTGACTTTTTCGAGTGCGACTTGTGCATCGGCAACCCTTCGGAGCGGTGTTTTCGTTGTCGTTCAGCTTGCTGTTCATGTGCAGTCTCCAGCAGGGGCAGGATGATGGAGTCCAGGTCTCGGTGCCATGGGTATTCCACCTCCACTTGCGTCTGACCCCAGGTCCCAATGGGCACATCAAACTTGACTCGAGTACAATCCACCATTTTCGCCTCGCTGTACAGAGAAGAGGCTTTGATAGAACCAGGCGACATGAGAGAAGAGGTGTAGAGAAAGTCACAAATTAGTGTTGAAGAGTAGCGAAATATGCTTTATCAACTCGTCCAGAGTTCCTGTCGGAATGCCTTATAGCTCTGCCTCGCCTCACGACATGGCTCCAAAAAAGCTTTTGACGCTCGTTTCGGGTAATTGGAAGCGCGTTCGTGTTAGTTGTCGCCGTTCGATGGCACAGTCCACAGGTTGGCATCTCAGATCTCACGCAGGTCTATTGGCTGGTTTAGTGCTCAGAATAGAGTCTGACTTCGGTCTAGCCGGGAGGGTATATTTAGGCCACAGCGACTGATCAGATCAGGCGTGAGGATGATGTCGCGAGCGGAGAAGCATGCTGGACAAAACCAGCGGGGTAGCGTTCACACTTGCTGCTCCATACAAGGCTTGACTGGATAGTACTTTCCACGATTCATGAACTGTATCGCGAGGTGCAATTGTGCAAGATCTGGCATTCTGGAAACCGAAGGATAGGTGGTATTGCTTTGTGAACCAACAGCGGCGAAGCCCAGGATAGCTGGAGAAATGGCCAATGCTCTATTGGGGCGAGAGTAGGATGCTTGACTGGCCGGAAGTATATGCAGATTTCCAACATGGCCAGCCCTGGGAAGTTCGTGAGAAGTTCTGCCAGGGTCTGAACTCGGCACCGTTTCATCTCGACGTGTTTGTCTTCTCTTCTCGCCTTGGCATCTCACCTTCGCGAGACTTGTAGATCTTGGCCAGTGTATACTTCTGCATCATTCCGGAGATAAGTACAGACGTTGCAGGATGGAAGTGCCGGAGGATACAGATCGCGTGTTCACTTCGCAGTAAGCAGTGGCGAAGCTGAAAGATGGGGTGACATTCTCGTGCGGAGTTTGACGGAAGACACGCGCATCCGCCTTCGAGTGTTATTTCTGGCAGAGGGCCGAAGCTGTGAGGTCAGTGTTTACGAGGCAGTTCAGGTTGGTTGGCCTTCGGGGAAACTGTCGAATTCTGGCAAAGCATTCGTCCACCGAGCGTTCGTTCATTCACCTTGTAGCGGGATCCAACCGCTAGCTGCCGCTCTACCGTGCCCAATGGCAGATGACGCTCGGCGAAGGACGTCACAGCAGTTCATCAACCCCGGTCTACTGCGCTCCATCCGCTACAGCATTGAGATCGAAGAAGCAACACACCGCTCTACACGCCTTCCAGAAGACAGCGCCCATGCGCCTCCGCCCCCGACACCGCTCCGGCTAAGGTCTCCTCTACCGTCATGCTTGCGCCAGCAGCATGTATCGCACCACCGATCCCCGCTTCCGTCGGCGCATCAACGACATCACCCATACCCTCGAATCAGCCAATGAAGCCACACAAAGCGGGATTTACATCTTCGGCCAGAATTACATCAAACCCTGTTTCGACAGTATAGGATCATGCTTCACCACATGCATCGACGCGAGTTGTCCAAGTCTGAACTTGAGCCAACGGGACCGAATCCGGCGACAGAGAGCTCGGGGCAACACTCGAGGGCGTGCGGAGCTGAGCTTCGACTTCTACGATGATTGGGATGAAGATGAAAATGATGGACTGCTAGGCTGGGGCAACGATGAATTCGACCGGTTGGTGGCAGGGAGTGGAGCGCATGGAGGTTATGGCGCGACTGATGCGCAACCTGCGAGACAGCGTGAGATGTCATATCCCAAAGGCCGAAGGAAAAGTATCGTAGAGGGAGAGGACCCGACAGTGATTCCTGGAAGCAGTGGCGGGTTCTTTAGAAGGCTGTTCGGAGGCGGAAAGGATTTGAGATACAGGCCCAGCGCCGCGGATTTGCAGGAGCATCCTGGAGCGAAGAAGAACAAAGTACGATTGGATCACGAACGGACAGAGGGCGAGGCGTTATTGGAAGATGATGAGCTAGGCGTAGGAAGACGAGGTAAAGCTCGTGCAAGGAGTGGGACGCAGGGCAGTCACAACACATCGAGCAGCTACAGCAGTCGAGGCGACATCTTTCCGAGCGACGAAGAGGATGATGCGATACCACTGGATGATGAATTCGCCATGGTCCTAGAGCGACGAGGGACAATGACTGGAATGGAGACGGAAAGCAGTTCTGGGAGAATCGCGCCACCTCCAAAGCGAGGTAAACGTCCCTCGGCTGGAAGTAGAACCTCTACAAGAACAGTCTCGTCTCGAAGCGCACGGAGCGAGCGCGGGAATAGTCGAAAACGAAGGAGCCGAACGAGCAGTTACGCTCGCACACCCAGTTCGGACGAGATTGTTGCCGAAGAGGCAGTCGAGGACAGCGTGCAAGAGCGGACGCCGTCGTACGCAGACCTCAAGCGACAGGAAGCGCAAATTGCGGAAGAAGAAGAGGCAGAAATCACGCGTAGACGGGAATCGGCCTTGCGACTCGCAGAAGAACGTGGGCTGGCTCCCGAAGAGAATCTCAGTAGCAAAGAAGCTACGCCGAGAAGTACCACACCTGCTGTGCCCGAAGTTCCAACAGTCCCCGAGGAAACCGGAGAAGAAGTCGGCGATGAAAGTACGCAAGCAGAGCGAAATTCGCATACTTGAAACGAAGATCAGCGAGCGACTGTGGATGAGAGGAGATGATGCGTTCGAGCGAGGCGTTGTTGGCTTTTTTCTTTTTTGGAGCCTTTACTTGGAGAAAAAGTCGTTGTGCACACATTAACATCCAGAGCGGATATCCTGTACCAGAGCATCACGACGCATGATACAGATCATTGGAGGGAGAACGCGAGTCACAGTTTGGGAACTGCCAAGTGCAGAAGGCGACCAGATGATAACGATAGGGCATTGCTGTTGGTTTTTTTTTTGGCATAAACTTTTGGTGATACCCAGGATGGAAACATACTTTTCGCAGCACAACTTAGGGCTTTCTACTGATTCTTGAAACTCTGAACATTCTACTCATGTCGATTACCCAACAATGCTGAATTGTATAGAGCAAGATCTGGTTATGCGCCAATTGCCATCTCTGTCAACCACCGATCGTGAATGCATGCCAGGCTAATGCTATCACCAGCGTTGCCATCATTAAGACAAGTGCCCGCTCATGTTGACTGGTCTCAAGTCAGCTTCGAGTTGCCGCAGGCAGAACCACCTTCCCCACACCCATCCATCCCTCCCTCGCGCTCTCTCGCAACTTCGGCGCTAAGACGTCCAATTTCTCTTTGCCGAACAATTCCAATAGCACTTTTTGCACCTCATCGTCCCCTCCACTAATCAATTCCTCAAAACGTACATTCGCCTTCCCACTGAAAGACGAAGCCACTTCCGTGGCATGCTCTTGCAGATCTCTCACGCCCTTCATTGCTGCGTCGCGGATCGCTTTGAACTCATCTGTAAAGAGCGAAGGCGTCTCAGCTGCGAGTTTGCAGGTCTGAAGGAGGATGATTAGAGTGTCGAGGTATGTACAATGTGCTTGAAGACCTTGAGTGAGGGATGAGGGGTTAGAGCAGAGGGTCTCAATGTTGAGACGTTGGAGTTGAGCGCTGATGCTTTTGAGCGCTTCTGAAGAGGGTGGCTGCGGATCGCTGGATTTGATGCTCGAGAGGACGGGAAGGGTAGAGAGTATGAGGTATGCGGAGAGTGTTTCAGCAGGGGTGAGCTCGGACTGGGATTCGAGCGCGGTCTGGAGGGTGTCGCTGAGCTTCTTCGTATCCGTGTCCAGGAGGAGAGGGATCTGTTTGGATGCAACAGACCAGGCTTGGTCAGCGGCAAGATTGTAGAGGAGCCAGGTTCGCTTGGGGAACGCCTCGATGCTGCTAGAGGATGTGGCATAAAGTGCTCTTTCCGCGCCGTAGCCAAAGTCGAATGCTGCATTGAAGTCTCGATTGTCCTTGAGGTTGGTCCAGGCATCGAGAACGCGAGGGCCAATCTCGCTGGTTCCTTTGCCGTAGCCTTTTCCTGACAAACGAGCCGTTCGACGATGCTCAAGAAGCGTGACTCTTCGCATGAAGCTGTGCCGTATCTCTTCCCGCAATCCGTTCAGCTCGAAGATCATTCCGGTCTGGTTGTGTTCGAGAACAGCTGCCTCAGTTTCAAAGAGCTTGTTCTCATGTCGAGGTGGGACTTGAAGTGCCTTGTTTGTTCGCTCATGTGGCTCGAAGTAGTCGCCAGAAGGAAGTTGTGTTCGAAAGGGATGTGTTGTGCTGATGCGAGTGAACAGCGTGTGTCCAACAGTGTCGAATTGTACCTCCTTGATACTGAGCGAATCAAAAAGACGCATTGCCTCACTGCCAAGGCCGAGTCGCATGTAGAGATATACCAGAATCAGCCGCGCCTCGTGCACATGTGGTTCGAAAGTGAGCAGTTGCTCGGCCAGGAAAATGGACTGAAGCAAGTATGTGTCGTTGGCGGAATCGGCGTATAACTTCACTAGTCCAGATACAGCGAGGAAACATGGATCCGCGGCAGCGCGCTTGCGATGACCTAAGTCCAGCTTGGTGGTGGCAGTGTGGAATAGCCGAATGGCATCAATCACGAAGGCGTTCAGTACCGATGCAGCTGCATCTTCATCGACGATCTTCTTAAGCTGCGATTTCAGTGATTCTGATGTGGCCTCCAGCCATTCTCTCGAGCTTTGCTTTTCTGGATCTGGTCCAGCTGGTTTTTGCACGGAAACTAAACAACCTATCAGCAAATCAGCTTCCTCGCAGTGAATCATAGTCGCTCACTCACCATTCGTCGATTGCCGATGCAACTGTAACGCTTCATATACCTGCTTACTCTCCCGAAATGCCTGCCGATCTCGTATGCTCTCCAAGTCCTTCTCGCTTCCTTGAATCGCGAAGATTTGTCCCGCAACTCTGCAATCCAGGCTCGAGTCCGCGTCGAAATTCTCACTCACAGCTTTCCGAGCCAAACCAAGTGCAAGTTTCGACTGCAAGTCATCTTTACTCTTCGACAGCAGCTGAGTATAAGCCGCATGAGCCATATAGATTGAACGATTCTTGGGCTGGAATTGCTTCAGCTGAATCAACGTCTGCTGCACATCCTGTATCCGGTTGTCGTAAATGGCCCGCTGATAACGGACTGTCAACAATTCGAATCTGTATGTGACATTGGTATTGGCTTTGAAGGCATTCTCCCAGAGTTTGGCGATCGTGGGTCCTGCAGTAAGAGGTTGCGGGTAGGTGTTCTTGAAAGTGTCGATCACAGCGATTTCGATGGAAACAAGCTCGTTCAAGTCCTGTATTGCCGGCTGTGTTGCGACCAACTGATCTAGTATCCGTGGTCCTTGAGGAGAGCTGGGCTGAGATGTGCAAAGTAGTTGCAGTTTGGTGATGAGCAGGCTTACATCTATTGGGTTCTTGGATAAGAGCTGATCGCAGCGGGCAATTCCTTCTTTGAACTTTCCGTTCTTGGCGTATTCTTCGTAGGTAGGATAGCGCGCCATGCTGGAGGATTTGGAATTGGTCACCGGCGCATTGTTCTTGTATATTTGTATCCAGTCCCGATTAGCGTGTGTCTGTGGATGAAGTTTTGATCAAGTCGATGTGGCTTGCGTCGAAACGGATTTAAGGCTGATGTCGTCGGTTGAACCCTGTTCCCTGTCGGGCTTGGCGCGCATGTGCTGGACCCTTGGCCTGGGAAAGGACACCTTCGCGTTCATGTACCACTTCGCGTAGCTACTCCAGTGCTCGAACGAACTTGCTATATTCAACGATACCGTTGTCGAGATCCGACTCAGCTCAGCGTAGAACCAGATCGACCTGTGACCACGAGCGACCCGAATTTCCCCTCGACACGAATCGAAAGCACACGACACAATGGTATGCTTCCCAGTGCCCGGCACATCGCGACTCCGATACTACGTCTCCAGGCAAAGTGGTCGCCATATGCTAATTATATCTGTGCTTGGTAGGCGCAAACACCACAACAACGACGCGCCAACGCCGCATATGCCGCACGCGAGCAAAAGAAGATGGGGGCTCCCACCGAGATCCGGGACACATTGAACGCTGCGAGCCAGAAAGCGAAGCAAAAGGTGGAGAAGGCACCTATTAGCAAAGGGTGGTTATGTAAGTCGTGTGGAACTGTGGAAGAGCAGAGATATAGCTTGCGAGCTGGGACAAGACAATTACAGGGCATTGAGCTAACTGTGGCCGCCTAGACTTGATGCTGTTCGTTGTATGCGGAGGGTTGATCTTTGAGCTTCTGCGATTGATTTTCAGCTACTTCTAGACGCGATCCGCGAGCTGATCGTACGCTGGATCGGGTTAAGGATGTCACGATTATATGCGAGCCAAATACTTCCTCTGCAACGATTCGGTCGCACATTTCAGTGAAAGGCGACAGCATGTCTTGGAGAGTACAAAAGAAAAACTGCAGCTCTGCACGTCGGCTCGGGCATAGCGCACGGAGTTTGGGAATTGGCAGAACTCGAAAGAGTACCTTGGTTCATCGGGAGTCGAAAGCGCTCATTGGAAGAGAGCCTTTCTGGAAAGCAAAAGGCGGGATGGGCAACAGCAAATACGTCGAAGCAGAACGACTTAAGCCCGGGCGGCAAATCAGTTGCGCTGTTCGCTTTGCATGGCTCGGTAAATGCACTGCTAATCCTACCCCCATTGCTCCCACAAGTCCGGCCTCACTCTCTCCAGTATGGTATCAGTTGGGACCAGCGTCTCATCCCCAAAAGCTTCGTTGAAACGTTTGACACACGCTATGCGACCTTTGATATGCCCTTTTCGAGACGATATTCCACCACTCCCGCCAAAGTCAATTTTGACTTCTGGCTTCACAAAGATTGGCGGAATTCGAGTGTGGTGGGCGTGCAAAAAGGACATGAGTATGTCTTCGCAATTGTCGTCTGGAGGGTCATGTCAGCCGGATCTCTAAATCATTGCGGTTCGGGAAATGGCCAACTTACGCTCCTCGACATATTCCCGCATCGACCTCATCACGGCATCATCTGCCCAGTAGCCTCGCATCCAGTCGGTGTGGTAGAATGCCGCTTTCGTCAAGACCATGTGATATTCCTTGTGAGGCTGGTCGTAAATGATCTGTTGCCCCTTCCTCCTCACTTCTCGAGCGATGAAACCAAGCATTCGTTGCCGTCCTTTGTTCTGGTCTTTCCAGGCCTGGTACCCATATTCTACATCTTCCGGCTTGAATATCATATCATCGTCCACCGAGAAGACACAATTCGTTTTGACATGCTCAGTAGGGTGGAATCGCTGGTTGAGGGAGTTGATGTGTCGTTGCTCGAGTACCACCGGGACGCGGTACGTGTCTAATGTCCCGAGGAGAGATGGAGGCGGATCATTCTCGACATCATTCCACAGAAGAACAATCTTTCGGAGGCTGCTCAAATTGCCATTCGCGTAATTGTCGAGGAACTGTGGTAAAGTTTCGAGTCTTCGGTATGTGGGCGAAACGATACTTTAATCACAATTTGTAAGTATCACGTATTCATGCATGATGCTTTCTCTCAAGCCACTCACGTAAAACCATCCTCCTCTGCCGATTTCTCTTGTCCTAAAACGCTCTCCAGTCCATCACCCTCATGGCTCAAGCCCAGCACCTGCAGCGGATGTCTTATCGCGCTGGGATCATGCCGCAGCCATCCCGCCAGAAGCAGTAATGTCAGCAAAGCGAGTGGACAGGCGAAAAGTAGGGTTCGCCGCTCCCATATTGTCGAGATGGGCATCGTGACAGGCCACGTGTGACAGCTGGCGACATTGCAGCGTTTGCGAAGGGAGAGAGATGTAATGATTCTTCTTCTGATCCCGGCGACATGATGACTATTCGCCCGAGTGGTCCGGTGCTTGGCCGGGCATTATCATAAGCGCTTGGTATCGTGCCAGCTGTGTTTGATGACGCGGATGATAAAGGGCTGGGGGCGCAGCTTGCATACATTAATCTACAGCATTGCAATCTTCTCACAGAGGTTCGCCAAAGGAATTGAACGCTGGACAAGTCTGGATCATTCGATAATCGCGCAGTGTTGATTTTGCTCGTATACATCGGAAAGAACGAAGAGAAGAGATGTGGAGAGCAAGATGAGTGCAAGGAACCCCCCTGAAGCTTTGCCGAGAAACCACGTGCATGAAGCGGAAATGGAAAGCACAAGCACAACCCAACTCAAGTTCAAACTCTCACAACTGCGACATACATTTCTGGAAAAATGGTCATCGATAGTTTGATCCTCATCAGCACGCTTTATCTGACGAGCAACTGAAGTTTGCAGCACGATCAAAGCACGAATGCCAGACGCGAGGCCACAAGCGAACCCCGGAGCACCCGATCCCTGTACCAACAGCCAACATGTCGATGACGTGTTGCGGAACAGTAACATTTTCATGACGAGAACGACCTGCTGCGCTCAAGGCGTGGAAAATGATGTTCGATTCCATGCAAAAGTGGACTTGCTGCCGCGCGACCATACCGGGAGCGTACTCATAACTCTATCCTTGACACGATTCGCCTACTGTGTCAACGATTCTGCATCAGACCTCTCCAAATCAGTAGCCAGGACTGACGCCAGGCCACTCTCCTTGTTCCTCACCAGAGCGAAGCTGTGGATGAGGAGTGTTAAGATTCTGAGAGAAGAACCACGATCGACAGCCACCTCCTTTGGAAAGCAAGTGAAGTGAACTCAGTGCTCCCCGTGCCACTGCAGGCTGACTTGCAATTCGCTGCTTGTCGAGCGCATCGGCGTTTGGAAACGGAGCGAATTTCCGCATCAACGCGCAGCTACCCCAGGTAGAAATATCCACCTCCACACTTCCCCGCGCAACACCCACACTCAAGTCCACTTTTCCGGATCTCGCTATGCTTTCATGCACAGGTGACTTCCTCTTTCTGAGATGGTTTCAAGTCGATCTCAGCATGGCCAAGCGCTTGTCTCGCAATGGCACATACTCCAATTGCCGGTCGTGCTAGCCGAGCCTCTCGCCAGTGAGGCCGCGATGAGTGAGATGCCTGATTGAGCCACAATAGGCGATTGGAGGGGATCCGTGAACAGGCACAGTAATATTCCATTGCTCGGTCGGGATTTGGACAGCTGAACCTCTTACTTACTACTGCAACGTCTCGGAACCCACAAGACGTTAGTGCAGATAAATAGCAATGCGTTTTGTTGCCTCGAATACCACGCCAGCCTTGTGGATCGCCCATCATGAGGACACTTACTTACACCACTATCGGTCTGGCGACTGCCGCCCATGCCTCGCCTCTTTCTGCAAGCAAGAAAATCAACATTCCAGCATCTCCACCCAAGGATGCAAAACGACCTCTGGAGCACTTCGTATCCTACTCGATCGAATTCTCCTCGCTGGCTGATTTTGCAGGAAACTTGTCTAACCCGAATACATACTCTTACAACTTGCTGGAGAATGTTGCAAGATATGCTGGGAGCAAGCCTTTGATTCGAGTGGGCGGCAACACTCAGGACTTGACCATTTTCAACGCTTCACAAGAGGAAGCAGTTCTGCAGGTCTTTAACCCTGCCAATCCGGATTACCCTGCAAATCAGACGATCGGCCCAGCTTGGTTCGAGTCGTATCAGACATGGCCAGGCTATCACTTCAGCCACGGCTTCAACTTGGGAGAAGACTCGGCGGAAGACCGTCAGGCGTTGCTTGACTCCGTTCCCTACGCTTGCAAGGCATTGCAAGGCCGCTTCTACGCCTGGGAGCTTGGAAATGAGCCAGATCTGTTCATTGTACCGATAACGCCCAATCCTCCTCGCGATCCCGACTACAACGAGGAAGACTATGTTGCAGAATGGCTGGAATGGAGTCGCAGGATTCGAGAAGAAGTAGATGATGCCTGTCCAGAGTTGAGCACTGATGAGCAATACAAGTTCTTGGCTCCATCTTTTGCTGGCGCACCGGCACTCTCCAATCTCAGTGTTGCCAAAACCTTTTCTGCTGGCTTGAATGAGGATAACACTGTCGGGATCATTGCCCAACACAAGTGAGTCTTTCTACAGCATCATCTGCGACAAAAATTCGCTAACATTTGTCGCCAAAGATACATTGGCGCTCGTGGCGACCCAGGCATCACGCTACAAGGCACTCTCATGAACCATACCAACAACAAACGTGCAGTTGGTCAGCTGGCAGCAGTCTCGGCTTCCATTCACAATATCCCGGACCAAAGCCTCGTGCCCGAGAATGCTCCAATTATTCTCGGTGAAGGTAACTCGCTTGCCAGACAAGGCATTGGCGGTGTTTCCAACTCTTTCGGCGCTGCACTTTGGGGCTTCGATTATGCTCTGACGCTTATCACTGGTGGCCTGGCAAGATGGCACATGCATCAAGGCACAAACTACAGATATCAGCCATGGCAGCCGATCGAGACGAGAAATACCACAAAAGGTACCAAGGCACCATACTATGGCAACATTGCCACTGCGGCTTTCCTCGGCGATCTAACCAATGCACGTCCACAAATTGTCGACCTTGGCCTACCTGGTGACTTTCAGTCGGCCTTTGCTTCTTACGCGGATGGCGACTTGACCAAGATTGCTATCATCAATCTCCAGTCATACAATACATCTGATGACAACGAATACAAGACACCAGGCGAGCGACCTGCTACGACTTACTCTTTCAAGGTTCCTCGCTATTACCGCTCAGCTTCACTGCAGCGTCTAACGGCGAACGGAAGCGACGCAATCACTGGTGTGACCTTTGACGGGTTCAGCTACGCTTTCGAACTGGACGAAGGACGACCAGTGCGTTTGAACAATGTGACTTGTGGTGAGAAGGTGAAAGTCCAGCGCGGTCAGGTTACTGTTGAAATTCCCGACAGTAGCGCTGTGATTTTGAATCTGCAGTAGAGCATACCTTCGACATGTTGCAGAAATTCAGAAAATTTAATAAACAAGATATGCAGCGATGTGTATGTGTGCTGTCAGACATGTGAAGCTCTACCGCACTGGGCGTAATCAGGAAGCAATACAAAGATTTGACATCAAATACCACAACCTGCTGACAAGCTGCACGCTCTGAATTTGACATGGCACAGCTGCCCACAAGAGCTGGGTTCCTTGCCGAGGCCGCGACGACCATCGACGAATTAGGCAATTTGACGCTGCTTTTTATAGACCGTAGGGCTCGACGCATATGTGTGGTCAGTCTGCAGTGTTGGTATAAGAACATCTACATTTCATGCACGCTCATCGCGTCTGTCTCGTTCTCCCACGTCTCCCGCGTCGCTCATCAAACACACATTTCTCGGCGCCGGCTCAAATCTTCCAGAAACAGGCGAAGCAACTTACACCATGAAATTGCCTACGCTTCTCCTAGCTACTACCACGATCGCTGTCGCGCAATGGCCATTTATCAATATTTTCAATCCCAATACCGTCGATCCGGATCCGAACAACGTCGATCCAGATCCAGACTATAACGACCCAAATGTCTTCGTTGGCACCTGTACAGTGTGGCAGACCTATTGCGGTGATGTAAGAAGATATTGCGAACCATTTATCGGAGGAGCAACTAAGCTGATGCTGTCTCTCTTGCTATAGGGCACTGACTGCGGCGGAGATGGAACATGTACAACGTGTTGCGAGCAAGAAGGCGACTGGTGCTGCGTGTATAATACTTAGGAACGATGGACAGTATAGCTCTTCCATCCTCCGCCGGTGTGGAGGGCACTGGTGTAACGGATTCGGCATCGATGGGAAGTCCTCAGAGGCGGGATTTTGGGACCAATAGACTCCAGCAGCGTATATCGTGCATGGTGGCGTTTGTTTGGAGTACGCAATGTCGGCCGTGAAGGCATATGAGTACTTCTTTGCCAACCTTCGCGGTCAGCTTGTCTACGAATGGTGATGCATGCATCTGCTGCGTGGGGCTGGAATCACTTTCATTGCACACTCATCCTCTTCGTCGGAATTGGTTCTTAATACCTCAACACGAAGTGAACCCCTAGAGCACGCATATGACTTCGGCACTTGAACAAGCTAGCCCTGCTTCGAGCCTCGCGTCAGAGACCAAAGGAATGAAGCATTTACGATCGATGTCAAATGCGTCGTTTATGATACCAAGCGGTGGGACGTCCTCAGCAACGCGGTGGCTGAGACGACATTGCGGCAACGAAACATGTATTTCGATCGATCTGTCTGTCATTCGTTACATTGACAGTCGTTCAAGACAGACTCTACCACACTGAAAATAACTCTGGAGTCTGAGATCGATTTATTGCCTTCCAAATTTCAACGACAACAATCCCACGCCCTTCAGCTGCCACGCAAAGAAAAACCGCTAGACGAGACGAAGCAGAGGATGTTATTGAACCCTAATCGTGTTATGCAGGAATGCAGCAATATCCTTCACGGCTTGGAGTACAGTCTGAGTATCGTCATAAAAGTCGAAGTGCGTCGCGTCTATCCAGATCGATTCTTTTGGCCCAGCTAGCAGTTCATAGACCTTTGAGGCTTGTCGAGGAAAAGCTGCCTTCTCAGAATGGATCATCAGAGTTGGAGCTTTTACGTGGGGTGCCTGTGCCACAGGATCGAACGCTAACCACGACTCCCATCCCATGACGGAAAACGAGTTGCGCCATTCGCGAATGCCGCCACCTCGTGACTGATCCATATAGTAAGAGTCGCTGGGGTTCTTGCTGGCTGCCACTTCTGTATCGGAGTACGCTCTGATCATCTCAATCTCTCCGGTTCTCTGAAAGAGCTCACGAGCTTGACGGCCAGAGATTTGACGGCTTTCAACCCCATCTGCTCCAAATAGGGTTGAAAGCAACGTGGCTTCCGGGAAAAATCCAGCAACGCTCACCAGAGCACGCACCCGAGTATCTTCTGCGGCAGTATAGAGAATGTTGCCTCCAGATGTGCAAACTCCGAGTAGCGCGGTTCCCGCAACATCAGCCCGTCCTGATAGAAAGCTCACTGCCGAGGACAGATCTGCAGCCTTCTGTACAGGATTCTCCACTTGACGCTCAGCACCAGTGCTCTCTCCCCAGTTGGTATAGTCAATGGCCATGGCGATGATGCCGTTTTCTGCCAGTTGGCTGGCATATGTTCCACTCATCTGCTCCTTTACCGACGCCATCGAACCACCAACCACGACTGAAGGGTATTTATTGTCGCCATTGTATTCTTTTGGTAAGTAAAGATGTGCGGTAATCGATCCGTTGCTCCCGTTTGGAAAATTGACAAGCTTTGGCGCTAGTCCGTCATTGGCATAAATTCTTGGTGCCATAGCAATTCCAGATGTAAGTTCTTGCCTGGCTGCGGAGAGGATGGGCAAAAGGAGTGCAGACGTGTAACGATAGGCCATCGACAATGTTTGGCCTCATACAGTACAGTCTCGTATGGCGTCGCACGAGCAGGGCAATTTGTAGAAGAGCGATCAAACCATAAGGCGGAGTTATTGCTTAGGTCCGTGGCGGGGACAGTGCTACCTCCGGCATAGAGTTTGAATCCTGAATAATTTATTCAAAATCAATTCAAATTCAGGTTTGAATTGAATATGAATCGGGGACGATTGAATATTCAGGTTTGAATTGAATATTCAAAAGTCCAGCACGTAATAACCTTTATAAGGTAATAGCCTGGTTGAAGTCGTCGTTTTGGCGCTGCTCGAGGTTATAGCCTTAGCGCTATTAGAAAAATCGTCGCTACGCTCTGTGCATCTCTCGTCGGCTCCGCTTCTTATATAAGGGCTGTCCTTACCTCCTATACTATCGGACTCCTCGGTTTTGTCTTCTAACTCGGACACCTTGTCGTCGCTAAGTTGCACGTAATCAGATTCTGAATATATTGAATTGAATCTGAATATTCGATTCAAAACTTGAATTGAATATGAATCCGGGCGATATGAATTGAATATTCAGGATTCAAACTCTATGACCTCCGGACGATCCGTGCAAACGATCAGTAATCTATAAAACAGATGGTATAACAAGCAAATGCAGCGAGCAGAAGGGCGACCCATACAAATCGAAAACGGTTCAGACAAGCTGATGCCTTTTACCAAACAGGTGCATGTTCGATCTCTACGTCAACCGTTTCGTTCTAAGATACTCATAATCGTCTAGAGATGCTCGAACACTTTCCTCTATACGTGCTGCCAGATCTGCTCCAAATTCTAACTTCCATTTCTCTACTTCCTTATCAATCTGTAAGCCTGTCCCGGTCAAATTCGTTGTGTTGATGATGCCTGATGATGCGTTGAGTGTGTCAGTCATGCGACGCTTCAAGGGGTCGCAGATGTTGATCTCTTCGTCTGTTGTCTTGTCCCATGTGAACTGCAGCTCTGATGTACCGAGCCCTACTAGCTGACTGTATTTCTTGATAATTGTCGGCTGTGATATTATGTCTTCGGCATCGAGTACGACAGGGAGTGGACTGTCATCCCCAGACTTATTCTGCGTAAACCAGTCGTACAGCTGTCGTGACCAACGCAATGAGCACTCTGTCGTGATGATCATTTCCTCTCCGCCCATATCTCTGCCTGCGCGAACGTATGAAGGAATCATAAGGGCAGGGTGGCGTATGAGGAAAGTCGGACAAAGGGTCTGGAGGAAGGCATCGGAAAATATAGATATGTTGGACAAGGATGCGCCTCCTCCAGGATACGAAAGTCCACACTTGCCAGCAGTAAATCGCTGCGTATGGAAATCGTTTCCCTTGAAGGAGGATTGGCAAGCTGAAACCGGATCCACAACCCAGATCGCGTGCTCTTTAACGAAAACGCCTTTGCCTTGTTGCTCAGCTGTGTCGATATGTTGGGTCATTGCTTCTACAGCTGTTTGAATAGCTTCCTGGACGATACTTGTCTCCTGCGCAGTCCAAGTTCTGACATCGTTTGACAGGTTCATGTCAAAAATCTTCTCTTGCACATCGAAGAAGAAGTAGCCGCCATCTCTCCCACCAGCGAGAATGTCTGGTTGATTTTCAAGGTTCAATATGCGAACGAGTAAATTCGAGGCGCTCCGAGGTATCGAGAATAGGAAATTTCGTTTTTGCATATTTTCAAAGATGCACAAGGGCTGTCGGTGGAGGTAGCAAATCGCGGCTGGTTTGTGAAAAGAAAAGTATACGATTTGTTCTTTGGAAGCTTCACTCAGCTCCTCCTGACACGTCATCTCAACAATCGTCTTACTTTCGTGTTTATTTGAGATGACCCAATGGGTTGATAGCAGCGCCGATCTCTCTTGGAGATACTGGAGCTTCCGGCTGCTGGACGCACTTGGACCACAGAATTTCCAACGCTAGTTTGGGCTGCATACGATCGCTTCTTGGTTACCACTTTCGGCAAATGCAGACTTCCATCATTGGCTGCAAGAGTTCCGACTCCGTGCATCACCAACGCCGTTTTCGTTCTGCTTCCGCGGATCCGGGCCTTTTAGGCGCTCAATGCTCTTACTGCGCAGATCTTCCAACCAGTGGACTCGTGAACGCTGCACAAACGATGCACCAAGCCCGCGACCGCAACTTTGATGTAAATTTGTTGGGTAACGTGCAGGACCTCCTCGCCCAAATGCGTGCTTCCTGGCATGTCTCCTCATCATCTGGTTCCTCTCGACCCTGGCACGCATTCCAGACCTCCTTCAATCATGTCTCAATTCCCGCCCTTAGTCAATAACACCACCTCTGTGCAAGGCCCAGGCTCTATTACGATAAATTTTCAAAACACCAAAAAGGTTCCAGCTTTCTGTATTGAGCACGATATCTCGGCCTCTGGATTGCTCCAATTGACCTGGGCGATTGTGTTGCACTGCTTTACGGCTTCAGACCGAGTCGCTTTCAGACACTTACGCATCTGCAAAGATAACGAGCTCACGAGCGTTGTCCGGAAGGTGACTTTTGAAAGCTCGGAATCAGTGATAAGATCACTGCAGAGATTCGAGACAAGCTCTGCTGAGTGCGAAAGTCGCCTAAGCTCGATCAACACTGCTTTGTTTGTTGGCCCGCTAGAGCATGCGTTTCAACTCGATAGCCGAGATGAGGATACAGTGAGCTAATTTCCATATCAGTCAAAGAATCTGTGCTTGATCATAAGGCTGACTGTCGACGAGTAGACCAAGATTACCTTACAGTTCCAAGTCGATCCTCAAAATGTGGTTCATTGTGGTCTTATACATTACGACTTGCATTGGTTGTCGAGTGAACAAGGCGATCACCTTGCAGCAACATTTGACCATGCCATGGGTGCTATTATTGAGCACCCAGGCTCGACTGCCGAACAGCTTGACCTGATCAGCAGCAAAGACACCGAAAAAATCAAGTCTTGGACAGGTTCTCTCCCACCAAAAACGGACAGTTGCGTCCACCACCTCATCACTCGACGACGCAAGGATCAGCCGGACTACCCAGCAATCTCGGCATGGGATGGAAATGTCACATACGCAGAGCTGGATGATATGTCATCACGCTTGGCCAAGCACTTATCCCGTATGGGCGCTCAGCCGAAGCAGAGGATTCCACTGATATTCGAAAAGTCGAAGTGGGCGATTATTGCAATGCTCGGTGTCATGAAGACTGGCGCCGCCTTCTTCTTTCTTGACCCCTCCTACCCGAAGACTCGACTCAGGACAATTGTGAAGAGCACTCAGGCGCAGATCATTGTTTCTTCAGCGGCACAAAGACAAATAGCGGCCTCTTTGGTAAAACAAGTTGTTTGCGTGGATGACTCTCAGGATTTCTGGTCAACTCACAACACTTCAGACTGGTCTTACGAAGAAAGCCATCCGACAGATCCATTGTACATCGTCTTCACCAGCGGATCCACTGGAACACCCAAAGGCGTCTTGGTAGAGCATTTCGCATTTGCAACGCGAGCGAATGTTGCGGGTCCACTATTGCGACTTAACGAGAGGCCGCGGGTGCTACAGTTCTCATCTTTTGTCTTTAGCGCTGCTCATACCGATATTCTCACTGCACTTATCTGGGGCGCGTGTTTATGCGTGCCATCCGAAATGGAGCGGAAGAACAATCTTTCATCGTTCATGTCGTCTTACGACATCTCATGGGCTGCTCTTACTCCAACCAGTCTGAAGGTTCTGACACCCTCAGACGTGCCATCCTTGAAGTTTCTTGCACTCCAAGGAGAAGCAGTTCACCCCTCATGTCTCAAGAAATGGGCCTCCCATGCGCAGATCGTGTCCCTGTATGGGCTCAGTGAGGGGATGGGTGCTACTATCCTGCAACCGCAGCTTACAAGTCATATGAATCCGCTCAACATCGGGCATCCTGTCGCGGGTAGGGTGTGGCTGACACACATCAATGATCGCAACAAGTTGGTCCCTGTTGGAGTCGTTGGTGAAATCGTACTCGAAGGACCTGCTTTAGCCAGAGGCTACATCGCAGCTTCTGGGAACGACAACGCCAGATTCCTGACGTCTACAGCATGGTTTCGTGCATGTGGAAAGCTCGATCAAACTCGTCTCTACAAAACAGGGGATCTCGGAAGATACGATGCAGTCGACGGGACGATCGTCTACGCCGGGAGGAAGGACATAACGCAGATAAAAGTTCATGGTCAAATGGTCGATTTGCAAGAGGTTGAAATAAGACTCAAAGAAATTTTACGAGACATGCAATCGGAGCCGGCGCAGGCCTTAGTCACGGCGGTACTCCTCGCTGGAGAGGCGACACCAAGGATATTGGCATGCATCGAGATACCAAAAGTTGCATGTTGCGACAAGACTGACCTAACTTGTCCGCCCCAGCTTATTCCTCTGTCGTGGAGGCACTTGAAAGAAAGACTGGCCACTTTGTTGCCGGCCTTTATGGTCCCTTTCACCTTCATACCGATCACGCACATACCGCAAACCCTTACAGGCAAACGAGATAATAAGGGCATCCAAGAGAGGCTCATGAAATTGAGCCTCGTCGACCTTCAAGCTTACAATCTCGTAGACGGAAAGAACGGAGCGCCAATTGGGAGATCGGAGATTGAATTACGGTCATTATGGGAACGCGCTTTAGATCAGAAAGACATTGCAATAGGCCGGCAGAGCAATTTCTTCGAGCTCGGCGGCGACTCCGTTGCGGCCATGGTACTAGCCGGCCTGGCCCGAGGCCATGGAATTCGTCTCTTGGTTGAGAACATCTTACAGAGTCCGGTCCTTTGCGATCAGGCCAAGCTTATATCTTCCAGCGAGGCATTGGTCGAGCGGAGTCATGGTGCACGGAATTCTATACCTGCATTTTCGTTGGTTACAGACGAGACTCACAAAGCGATTCTGGACATAATGCAGCAGCAGCACGGGCTTGCCGCTGATCAGATCGAGGACTGTTATCCCTGTACAGCGATCGGAGAAGCAATGGCTGTTGAGACTCTGAAATCCGCGCAAGCCTTCGTTTCGCAGACTATATTTCGCCTTCGCGAAGACACATGCGAGGAAAAATACTTTGCGGCATGGGAGAAGGTCATGAAATGTAACCCAGGTCTTCGTGCCAGAATATTTCAGACCAGTCAAGGCATGTTCCAGGCGATTATGCAATCACATCATTTGAGCTGGTCTAGGAGTGACGAGCTGGACAAATACCTGGTGGAAGACAAGTCGGTGGAAATGAACATCAGCAGCCCTTTGGTCCGATTCGCATTCATCAAAAATGGTTCAGAGGCCCCATACTGCGTACTAACTATGCATCATGCTGTATTCGACCTCTGGTCTTTGAGACTAGTCGTGAAACAGGTGGCCGATGTCTACAGTGGATTTGATATACCTACCACGCCATTTTCTCCTTTCGTTCAGTACATCACAAACAGACGACAGGAGTCCAGGGCTTTCTGGACCTCGAGGCTAAAAGGCTACGAAGCCACGACATTTCCGCGGATTCCACCTGGGATTGGCAGGCCTTCGCCTCGACATCTCACTGAAACAATTGACATCGCGGACCGCAATGGACATTTCCGGCATGTGACATTGTCGAACCTCGCTCGAGCGGCCTGGGCGATTACTATTTCACACTCCTTAGGCACTGAGGAAATATGTTTCGGTGCAGTAGTCAATGGACGAGGGGCTGATTTGGCGGGTGTCGATCGAATGACAGGTCCTACGCTTGCTACAGTTCCGGTTCGAATGCTGCTACCCCGGTCAGCTGTCATTCGTGACATTGTAGAGAATTTCCAAAAAGATGCCGTCGAGGCTATTCCATACGAACAGCTCGGCTTGGCTGAAATTACCCAGCTAGGTGATGGGGCTCGTGCGGCTTGCTCTTTTCAATCTCTTCTTGTCGTCCAGGGCAAGACTGAGATCGAGCCCTCTCATCTAATGCAATCGATCGGAGACATGAGACTCGAACAACTCAAAGCTTTTGGAACCTACGCAATGACGTTGGTTTGCCAAACACACGAAGATGGGAGATCTCTCGGCGCTCAAATTTTGTTTGATGACAGAATCGTCTCGACGTCGTCCGCCCAAGGATATCTCGAGCACTTTGCTCATGCTTTTGCCTCCATCACCTCGCATCCAGATACAACAATCGCTTCTGTACCTTCCATAACGACGCAGGACCTCGCCAAAATACAGTGCTGGAATAGCTCCATACCAAAAGCGGAGCATCGCCGTATACACGACTTTGTGCTTAAACACTGCAATTCCATCCCTGCTGCTGACGCTGTCTATGCCTGGGACGGATCTTATACTTACCATGATCTTTGGATGAGGTCATGCGAGTTGGCGCATGTACTGATTGACAAAGGAGTGACTGCGTCGGATATTGTCCCTATATGCATGACGAGGAGCAAGCTGGTGCCTGTTGCAATGCTTGCAGCAGGAATAGCAGGCGCATCGTTTACACTTCTGGACATTTCGCACCCAGTGGCACGAATTCATACGCTGCTTAAGCTCATCGATGCAAAGTTGGTGGTTTCGGAATCTTCTTGCTCGAAGATGGACGCACTCCAAGAAATTATCCCAGTCGTCGACTGTGGTCTTGATGTGAGCACGATTAGGGCAATGTCGCCCGAGTCCCAGGACGCGACTGAGCGCCTTTATGTTGCCTGGACGTCAGGCTCGTCAGGGACACCCAAGGGAGCGATGGTCTCGCATGGGTCTTTCATCGCCGCTGCTTCCTCGTACTTGGAACCATTCCGGTTGGATCGAGGATCCAGATTTCTTCAGCTATCGTCTCACGCCTTTGACGGAAGTATCCTAGAGACCTTCGCCACATTCATGGCGGGCGGATGTATTTGCATTCCATCCGAGCACGATCAGCAAAACCTGCTTAGTGCCACAATCAACGACTTGCGTATCAGCCATCTCTTGATCCCGCCCACACGAGCCCGACTACTGCAGCCGCGAGATCTGCCCTCAGTCCAGACTGTGATTTTGGGAGGGGAGGCGGTAAATAGGAAGGACATCCGTACGTGGAAGGATAGCTGTCATCTGGTCATTGCATATGGACCTGCTGAATGCTCCATTGTCTCAACGGTCCAAGAGTGTCCTGAGGAGGAGGATGAAATGTCCATCGGTAACGCCGTCAGCGGAGCATGCTGGATCGTAGATCCCACTGATCATAATATCCTGATGCCCATCGGCTCGATTGGCGAGCTCGTCGTTGAGGGGCACAATGTAGGCCTGGGTTATTTGCATGATCCCATCAAAACACGGACCAGTTTCGTTGAATATCCCAAATGGCTTCAACAGTTGCGAAACGGCACAAGGACGCGCTTGTATAAGACTGGAGATCTTGTTCAGTACTACTCAAAAGATCGTATGCGATACATCGGCCGGAAAGACGAGCAGAGAAAGTTGAATGGGATGCGCATCGAGTTGGCTGAGGTTGAAAGATCACTTTACGAAGAGATTTTGAATTCTACCATCGTGCGAACCGTTGTGGTTGAATTGATTGAGCCTTCGGTCGAAGACGGGAGACTCATCATGGCTGCCTTCATGGAACTTGATCCAAATTCGACGGATTCGCGGCTATTGAATGGAAACGTGCCACACCTGTTGAGACCGTCCGAGGAGTTTCGATCCCTTTGTTCGTACGCACGCTCGAGACTCATGGGGCGACTACCCAGACACCTTGTCCCAGCAGTATTCCTACCCTTAAACTCCATGCCTCGAACAGAGTCGCAGAAAGTCAGTAGGGGGAAGTTGAAGGATCTCTGCTCTCTACTCTCGGAGAGCGAGTGGAGCTTGTACACCCGCTTGACCACTCGCGAGGTCTGTCGTCCATCTACGGAAAAGGAGATCCTTTTGCACAAACTCATTACGAAAGTCCTCAGAACTGAGGATGTTGAGATGAGCGACATATTCACCCAGCTAGGCGGAGATTCGATTGCAGCTATGCGACTGAGTGCGTTGGCGCGTGAGCACTGTCAGCTGTTGACAGTAGCCGAGATTCTCTCCCACATTCAACTGTTCAAGCTCGCGGCTAAAATGCAAGACATCTGGAACGAGCAATACAAGGTGCCACATTTTGGACTGCTTGAGAATAGCGAGCACGATAACTTGCTAGCTGAAGCCAGTCAGGCCTGCAGCATACCACAAGAGGATATTGAAGATGTGTACTCGTGTACATCATTTCAGGAGCAAATCTTCGAGTACAGCGTCGCGAAGCCCGGGTCATATGTGGGATTCTTCGAGTATCAACTATCAGAGACAGCTGATATTAGCCGCTGGAAAGCAGCATGGCGTGCTGTCTACGACGCAAACCCGATACTGCGGACTCGAATCTTCACGTCAGGTGGAAGAACTTTCCAAGTAGTCCTGCGGAGTGACTTTCATTGGACTACTATCGACGCAGCTAATGTTCTAGAAATTCCACGAGTCAGCTGCGGGAAACCACTATCATACCTCAGAGTCGTCGAGTCACCGAACAATGTTACCACTCTTGTCTTTGTGGTACACCACGCGCTGTATGATGGCTGGACGCTGCCTGTGATATCGCATCAAGTGGAGTCTGCATTGCTCGGACACAAATTACCCGTGCGTCAATTTTCACCTTTTGTGAAATACATCCAAGATCTCGATGTTTCTGCGGCAGAGGAATACTGGCGAGCGAACCTCGAAGGTTTTGGCCGAAAGCATTTCCCGGTACTCCCGTGCGACGACTATATACCGGACCCAGCAGCTGAAATGGATCGTACGATCCCTGTAAAGTCGTTCCCTATTGCCAAAGCTTCAGCAGTGAAGCTTGCCTGGGCGGTAGTCATCGCGCATCACTCACAATCAAAAGATGTCGTCTTCCTGAATTGTTCCTGGGGACGGGACGCCCAGGTCCACGATATCACCAAGATCGTTGGACCGACATTGTGTGAGTATCCATTCCGGTTTTCAATCACGCTCAGCTCTACACTTCATGATGCAATGCAGCACGTTGGAAAGCAATCCCAACAAGTGCTACCATTCCAGAATGTCGGCTTGCGAAGTATCTCTCGATTCAGTGATGATGCTGCTGCGGCTTGCCGCAGTTCAAACTCTCTGGTCATCCATCCGCCTGCTGGCACATCTGTATCGAACAAATGGCTTGAGTACAAAGGGCCTCGGAAACCTGAAGGACAGGCAATCGAAGCTCTGGGTGTCATCTTGGAGTGCTCATTGTCCGAGTTGTCGATTGGAGCACATCTTGAGTATGATGAGCGTCTGATTCCACATGAGCAAGCGAAACAGATATTGGCTGATCTCGAGCACGTCTTGAAGTCAATAGAGCAGTGTGCTACTCGTGGCTCCAATTTGGTTGTAGATCTACTCACGAAATAGTTCCGAAATATATGACGCGGGTTCGCCTACAGAGGTCAGAAATTCAATATAGCTCGAAGGTTGTTGATGGCGACATGCACCACCAAAAGCCCTCCAGAGACTTGTCAAAGAGATTAGCGTAGGGTCGAATGTGGACTCTTGTCCCCGGCAGGTGTCGAGTATGATGCTGTTGGCAGGTCGGCTGCAAACTCTAGCTGTGTTGCTACGATGGTGTTGACATGCATGTTCCATCCGGAAAGCAGGCTGTCTCGGTGTCGACCCGGAAGCCCAAGATCATCAAGCAAAGAAGTGCATTGCATTGCATCGTCCGTGAATCGAGAATCAAAACCCTCTGTAAATAGAAGTCGCGAGAAGACTCTTAGACTGAAGTATCGAGCGACCGTACTTTGAATATGACGAGGCTATTAACTTTATGTTAACCTCAAAGTGGCACGTACCTGCTTTAGTCCTTGTCGGTCGCGTAGCGGAAAGGCAGGGTTGAAGCAGGCATTGCCTGGGTCGGCACACTAGGAATCGGCAGCGGCGTCAATGAAATTTGCTCCTGTCCCGCTCGCCGCTCAGCAGGCAGCAAGAAGTTGCGTCGCACGCTTACAATGTGTATTATGCATACGCGGAACACATGGGTATAAGCTCAGAAATGAGCAGGGCGTTTGTTAGTTAATTTGGCTCGCTATCGACCCAATTGACGAGCGCTCTAGGGCTGTTCGGCACTGTCCTGCCAATTGAAGTTGGGCGATACAGGCAAAAGCGCACTGAATCGGCTGCCAAAATGGGAGCAAATGCCCAGAAATCGATATATTCCTTGCTTACCGTTCCACGTATGCATAATAGGCATTTTAGATGCCGTCTCTGCCTCGTCTCACACCAACATTGGCCGAGATGAACTGCTATGGAAACGGTGTTGGGCTCACTCTTGTCCCGGCCGGAGGCAGAAGTTGCCTTGCACCCTCGCACGCACGTCGAGATGCATAGGTCGGGATAGCCAAGACCGGTGTCAAGGGTAGCCGCTTACCGCTTGGCAGGCAGCAGTACGGTAACGCGTTTGATTCTTGTACTTATACGTCCATCTGGTACCGGGTTCTCACGATGGCAGCAAGCACAACAATCACGATACTATACTCAGCATCTTTCTCCGCCACGACGTCGGTCTAGCAGGACAGCATCACAGAACTCACCAGTACAGCGTCAAGTTAAAGCCACACGGAATCAACATGAATCCATTCACTTTCAGGGCCACTCACCATCCAAGCACTCCAGCAGACATGGGAACACCAATCAATTCAGGCGCGATGGAAGCATTGATCGATCAGCCGGGACCCATCGAGGTGAAGACAATTGCGGCGGACTGGGTGGCAAACCTAAACGGTCTCCTCAATCTTAACGACCCAAAAGCCGTACAAGCAGGCCTCAAGAACCGCAAAGAGTCCATCAAGATCTACGCACATGTCATTCGCCATCCCACGAAAGGCTTCTTTTTGGTGGACACTGGTGTCTTGCGGCGATTCGTGGATGAGCCAGCCAATGTCGGAGTTGGTTGGACGCTGCGAAACTACGCCATGATCGATCAGATGCAGCCTCACCAAAGCACACTGGAAATCATCGAAGCCGAAGGAGTTCCACCGAATGGGATTTTTATGACACATCTGCACATGGATCATGTGTCTGGCCTTCCCGATATTCCCAAGGAGACTCCGATCTACGTTGGACCACATGAGGCCGAGTCAACCCTTTTGCTGAATATGTTCAGCCAAAGTACCACTGACAACCTATTGGATGGGCGACCACCACTCCGAGAATTCAAGATTCCGAGAGACGCCGATGGCAAGTTTGAGGGAGTTATCGACGTTTTCGGCGATGGCACGTACTTTGCTATTCTGACGCCTGGACACACTGCCGGTCATCTGGCCTTCGTCGCTCGCACGCCAACTGGCCCCGTGCTTATGACCGGCGACGTGTGCCACACACGGTGGGGATGGGAGAATGGCGTCGAACCTGGCAGCTTCCTCGCCGAACGTGATCCAAGCCGCGATAGTCTTCTCAGACTGAAGGCGTTGAGCGATCGTCACCCAAACATGATGGTCAAACTTGGGCACCAAGATTGAACCGAAACCCACCTTTTCCACAGCCTCTGTACATACCATAGCAGTGTTTATAGACCACGGTACCGCATGTGACTGCGGGTGTTCATCGCTTGCTTCCAGCTCGCGGATATTCCACTGTCCACTGTGAAGGACGACTTCCCCGCACGAATTCCATTGCATCCCTTCTCCTTCTATAGCCGTGGAGCTCTCGTCAACGCATTACGAAACGCGATTCTGCTCGCAACATCGATCTTGGATCTGCCAGGGCTCCAGCGATCTCACTGGCCAAGCCTAGTACTGCAGAACACCGCTCAGAAAAGTTGTTTTCCAGAAGACCAAAAGTTAGAACGACCTATTAGCGCGTTGCAGACGAACGTGTTCGTGACTGGACTTCCGTAGTTTGGCTAGTTTTGCACCAAGTTTTGACAAAAAAAAAAGATTGGTATTTGCATCGTCCGTGAATCGCTGGACACTTGTTAGTTTTGAAATCATGAAACGGAACACAAGGCAATGCTTACAACACGAAGCTATCGCTCACAATACGGTTTCCAGAAGAAACGTCCTACGGTAAGCTTCCTCTATGTCTCGGGGTCGACCCCGGAGCAAAATTTCAACAAAAAAAACAAGCCGCACTGTACTGCATCGTCCGTGAATCGAACACGGGGCCCGTCGAGTTTTCATTTAATTCAAGTGAATTGAATGGCAACGACGGATTTTACCACTAAACCAACGATGCTGATATCAGGGATTGATCCTTGCTTCATGGATAGACATGATTGTTGCCAATGTATGAAAGCTATGTGGCACGCCGATGATGAGCCGTCCTATGATGCCAATCATGCCCACGAGATTCTTTTCCTGTTGGCGGTGACCATGGAATCTACTTGTGGCAAAGCCGTCGGCCGGGGCCATTTATCTCGAAATTTGTCTTCTTGCCAAAGCAGCCATGGCAGACACAAATCGTTTTCAAGGATTGACGCCTTTTCCAAATGTTTCCAGTGTGCCGAGGGTGGAGTTGCCAAGTCCTTGCTCTGATTGGTTGTTTCCAAACTGTGTCCTTCCGGGAGGCGATGCCACCTCATGATGCTGAATTCAACCACAATCATGACAGCTTACACCTCACACAACCATCGAGCGACGAGGCAAGAGGCGATAATATACTCTTGCCGAGCCTGAACGAGCAGTGACGCGGGGTCCGGAAGCCGTCCCTTTTCGAAGGAATCTGCATGGATCCGCGAGCGCGCGCTTCGTGAGAACTCAGATCTGACGCGACTGGATCTGACAGCACATTGCCTACGCCGCACAGCACGAACGCATGTGTAACCGCCGAACACGCTGTTTCATCCCGCGCAGTGCTCCAAAACCCTCCCGGAGAATTCCAGGCATGGCTCGAATCCAGTGGCGCAAGGCTGACAGACGATCAGGCTGAGAGGACGCAAAGCCGATTCCAAATGGTGGTACTTTATCGTGCGGAGGGCTTGGACTTGCGTTTCATCGCTGCATCTTTCGCTGTACAAGTATATCACGGCTTTCGCTCGCGAATTGCAGTGTGCATCCAGACCTTCTAACCGCCCGCATGTTGGATCTTCAAGCTGGCAAAGCCAGTGATGTTCAAGTCTCATGCGGGAGCCAACTCAATTCCACCAAGACCTATCACGTTGCTATGAACACGAGCCATCGTCGGCACGCAGATGCGGTCTGCTCGAGGCCAGGCCGACAAGGCCGAGGAATAATTTGTTGTCAGGATTCAAAAGACCGCTGCGCATTAGAGCATGTCTGCAGACTTCGTTACCTTTATTCCGAAGGGAGATCTGGTCTTTGACCTTGGGCACGACCCCGGAATTCTATTCGGAGCTGTTTCGAAGCTGCCGGCGACGGAAGTCCCTATCCTGATGCAGTCCGGCTTTGTTCCATGTTCAAAAATTGGGCAGTCTTCAGCCAGCCTGATAGCTGGGGGCCCACCGGTGTAGCGAGAGGTCTGAAGCCATGGTAGCTATGCCGCATTTCGCGATGTCCTTTCCAAGGCGAAGAGCATTATCTACGAGCTTCGTATCGGCATGACTCTTCCATCGGTCGTTCATCCAGGCAAAGAATGAGAGCAAACTTATATCATCTTTAGGAGTTCTTGGGCCAGAAGCGCCTTGCTTGATCTGCTTGCGCGGGTCATAAAGAGGAATGGTCGGTGGCGTGACGCCCGACGTTTAGAGATCCGCGAAACATCCCAGTGCAAGCCATATGGAATTGGCTCGCCGTTTTCTCCATGGCCTATTCCGGTACAGCTCATCCGGCCATAATCCCCTCACAACGTCTTGGTCGCCAGAAATTGATTCTGATGCAGTGCCATGTTGCACCAGAGAGTTCACACGAACGCCGACGGGCTCCATTGACGACACCATCACCCTGCCCTTGCTATGCAAGCATCGCTGCCATTCCTGCGGATCCAGAGGGACTTGAGAGCTGGGCCCTATCCGATGCAGTACAGGCGAGAGTCTCTTCTGGCGACCGCGGAGACACTTCGACAAGAAGCTTGAAAAGCTACGGGCGTGGACAGCTACGACTCAGCGGACTCTCGTCTTGCTTGGCTTCATCTCTGTACCTCAATGTGGCGTCTTTTGCTTTATTGGGTACAGCCATGCTTGCGCCATTCGGGAAGGTCGCGCCAGAAAATTTCCATTTCGGGACTATGCGTGACCACTTTCCGAGGCTTGAAGATGACCGGACCACCTGTGGTCGCGAGACGTGATACACACAAGCGAGAGAATGTATACCGGCCTCACGTTGCCCGTCACTTCTTGTTTTCCATCTTATCATCACTATCATACCACTCTCATGGCTTCCCATAGGCTATCGGTGCTGCTGTGCAGCCTACTATCCTTTACATTCTCTGCAGCATCCCGCGACACTGTCAAGGAAAGTGTCAAGTGCTCCTCGAAGACACCGAAAGCTGCGTGCGGAAGCACATCCTGGAAGACGAGTCATTACACGACTTACTGTACCAAAACGACGACAATCTGCAGAGCCAAGCCTACAGTGACCTCCGTAACAACATTCACCACAACAATTGATGCCAGCATCATCACAAGCTTCACAACGACCACAACAGGGTCCACAGTCACAGTGACGATTCCAACTCCTGCTGGATTCCAGCCGGTCCTCGATACACTTCCCGATTCAGAATTCGTGGCACCTGCAGCCAAGCAAAAGCGCATAAATGAGGCCGAAGAACTGAATGACATGGAGAAGAGGCATCGTAAACAGATGGCGTACTGCACACGCCACAAAACCACCACCAAGACGACGACCCGAACATACACACGATGCTCTACTCAAACCAAGCTCATCACATCTACCAAAACGATAACTCCCACGGCCAGCACGACCACTTCCACCATCTCCGAGCAGCCCACTCGCATAGTGTACGCAGCTTGCGAACCGGCAAATCGAAATACCGCCAATCGAATCGAAGGAACTCGTATCGGCCTAGCAAGAGCGGATGATAACTCTCTAGCTGAGATCTTCAGCAGCGCCAGCGTACAAGATTGTTGCAATGAAGCGTGGGGCCGCACGGGCTTGTCGCATTGGGCATTCTACGGCGCCAACGGGCAATGCTCAATATACCAATTTTCGGAATGTAGGGCGCAAGCAGACCGTCCAGGTTATGTTAATTTTGATGGTGACGGCAGGACTTCAGCCGGGAATGGACCGTGTGGGTCATATAATAGGAGGGCATGAGGCGAGACAGCACACGGTTCGTCGTAACCTGATGCTTTGATCCAGGACGCGGCGAAGACACCAGCCTCTTGCAGGTAAGGCAGCGTCGCAGGTGCGCAGAATACGTATTGCTCTATACACATTAACTGCTACATCTCTTCTACGACATGTCTACAGCGTTTCGATCATGATTCGGGAAGATCCCTATACAAGTCTACGACGAATTCGCAGCTGCTTGCATGAACATGGGTCAAGACCTTGGCAATGTCGGATGTGTGCTTGATCGTGTCAAAGACAGCGACGGAAGAGATGCGTGGACAAAGCATCGACTACCTGGAACGATGAGTAACTTTGCAGAAATGCCCCGCAAAGCTCTACACGATCGAAAGCCGCAATGCCGACGCCAGACATCGAAGGTTGCGATGCAATCTATTAGCAGCAGGACGATACATCTATCCGCACTGCACGCTTGCATTCCAGCGTTGTGCCAATGCGACCTATCTCTGCTGAGGTCGCCTACAGGTTAGCCTTGATCGATACGACGATGAACACGCTCTCCAGCTCAGAACCTCGAACGATATCTTAAAAGGCAGTCTTGTCCAAAAGCTGCGCGCGGAACGGTCCTGACATTGATCGCACGGGCATTGAGGTCTATGGCATGCAAACCCCTAGACCTCTTTTCGGCCCCGTTCGAAGTAGTCGGCCCATGGGATTTATGTCCCGGATGCTCCGTGTTCTATAATTAGGCACTCATCCCCCAAGTCTGTCAGCGGGCGCCTTACCGGTGTAGCGAGGGGCTCGGAGCTGGTGTATGCATGGTGGACAAAAGTCCAATCAATATCGTCCTGGGCCATATTGTAGTTTGGTCCGAAACAGCTCTTTATCGCCTTCGAGTCCAATTGGCCAGTAGCCACACGAACCCTCCGCCGGGATCACGCCCCGCCACGAACAATTATGCCTGGGTGACATGCTGTGAAAAGGCACAATTGTCTACATATCACTTCCGATGTTTCTCCTCTGCCATACCTACAGCGTCACCATAAACCATGGAAAAGAGGCCTCCCAACATAGAGTTCCCTTGCACACCGTTCTACCCAGGTGATCACGATTGCATACGCTTGCTGACGATCCTACCGAAACCAAAGAAGGATGTCAACAACACCAGCCCGATCAAATGCCTCCTAACAAAAGTCCACATTTGCAAATGTTACTTGGCCCCGGGCATCCCAGAGGATGCGCTTGTGTCCCGAGTTCCGAGTGTCAACTTTCATGCGCAAGTCAAAAATCGTCCAAGTGAGATATATAGAACGCCACATGCTTTCGGTTTGATCAAAGATTCGAAAGCTGGCCGAATTCCGAGCAACACGAATGGGAAGCCGTGGCTCGTCAAACCCCGAAAGTCCGCTGCGAAGACTTCACTACCTCCTGGAGAGATTCTGGCAGATCTAGCGGCTTATCCGGAGGACGACGGTGGGGGAATGACCATTGTTTATCAAAGGACTGATGACGATGATGACGACGACGACAGAGCGAAATCTTCAAGATTAAGCAGTGCAGTACGCCGCGGGCTGAAGAAAATATTACGCCACTGGTTGACACGAATGCAAAAACGGACGACACCACCACCGCTCCGGAGGCAGGCATGTGGACCAAAGTTTTGCTGGGGAAACTATGTGGCACTCTCGTACGAGTGGGGTGATGGCCCTGCTGAGAAGATCTCTATCGAGCACCGCTCTGCTGAAGGCCACCGAGTTGGCGAATCACCATTCGTCATTCGCGAGAACCTGCACGCAGCATTGCGTAGACTCCGTGTGATGCCCCAGTTTAGCCAGGGCTGCCGCCTTTGGGCTGATGCAATCTGCATAAACCAGAACGATTCAGAAGAAAAGGAGGCACAGATGAAGATCATGAGCTCAATCTACCAACGTGCCGGTAACGTTCTCGTTTGGCTCGGCGAAGGAGACACTCAACTATACAGAGCACTCGATGTTGTCCAAGTGTGTGGGAGATGGTATCGCTCGGAGTATCTAGAAGCGTACGACGATGGACACCCAAACAGAGCTTTCCTGCATAGGGAGGGCGCAGCTGTGGACATGAAGATTGCAATGGAGAAAATCAAGTCGTTAGCACGCAGTTCGTGCCGAGATATCATCCTCACGGGCGAAGAGGCGGCCTTGCTGAATGTTTTCTTCTCGCTCACATACTGGCGTCGTCTTTGGATGATTCAAGAGTTGGTAATGGGTACTGCAGATATGGCTTTGGTTCTTGGTGAACGGGTAACTGAATGGCGTTACGTTCGTGATGCCGCGTTCGTACTCGCCGCCGTCAAAGACATGTTCACTCATGTGGCTGTCGAGGACTACCGGATGGACTGTGCTGTGCGAAACACCATCGTGCACGTTGCGAATATCGCACAATTGGGAATCGGTACGCATCGGAGACAAATTCAACCAACCCTCGACCCGAACACCGTTATGCCCTTGATCACCCACCTACGTAGCGGCCCAAGCACGGGTCCACAGCGAGGCGATGTTCTCTGGCAGGTCTTGAAGCTCATAGCTTACGCAAGATGTTCCTTTCCTGAAGACCGCATTTTCGGCATCTTGGCTTTGCCATGTCTGCCCGACCTTGCAATCGAACATGTATCGAAACGACCCCTCGCACAAATCTACGGCGAATTTGCAGCTGCTTGCATGAACGTGGGTCGGGATCCTTTGAGTTTTCTCTGCCTTGTTGATGGCGTGACAAATGAGCTCGACAAGAATCGGGAAAGACACGACGAAATGGAGGCGATTGATCACCAGAGGCTGCCCTCGTGGGTGCCGGATTTATCGTCAGAGAGAGAGACTGGAATCATCGAGGGTACGTTTCGAGCAGGATACCCCCCGGACTATGAATGGAATCTTCTAGCAGAGGATGGTTGGGAGGATGTAGATGCTCGACCTGAGATCAAGTTGGGTGGAGATCGGACATTGTACTTGAGCGGGTTTGTTATAGACGCTGTGGACGGTCTAGGTGGTATCGCATGGTCAGACGTGGACACAGACACAGACTATGGGGATCCGAACTTCGTTTACGACCTCATTCAGCCAAGGAGTTCTTCTCCGTGGCGCGCGGAACTCATCAGCCTCCAAGCAGCGATCTGTGCATGCCTCACTGCTGGAACGGACGAGAACGGGGCGAGGCTTCGTTATGGGCGTGAGAATCCTGACTTGCTCGGTTCTTTCGTCGTTGATTGGACATTCGCGGACCCAGCCCAATACTTTGTTGCGGCGAATTGGGACTTGAGAATAGGTGGCGTGCCTATAAAACACTACCTATTCAACCCGGACGACACTATGGTAATGGATAACATGATCAGCCAGAATACATGGGCCTTGAGACAGACCGTCGCCATCCGTACGAAGAGGAAAAGGCTCATGCTTACAGAGCGAGGCTTCCTGGGTCTTGTGCCGAATAGTGTTGCTGCAGGGGGACGTTGTAATCATTGTGAAGGGCCATGGACGACCAGTGATCGCCACGGAAGTGCTGGAAGCTGATGGATCTAAAAGATATCGCATGAAAGGTGAAGCTTTTGTTGAGGGAATGATGATGGGTGAGATGATGGAATGTGAGTATCGGAAGCCATGGGAAGAGCTAGCATTTATCTAGCAAAGATGTCTTGGCAAGAGCTAGGTTGACGCGTGGGAGTGAACCATCGATGCTGCCATGTGCTCAATCCCTGCCGAACCAATAAAATCCACTTTGACTTCAAGACTAGTACGGCGCGTCAATATCTGCTCTTAGGCTCCCACCTGAGCATCTCGCAGCCGCGCCCCCTGAGATACGTAGACATCTTGTCTAGCATTAACAAATATAGTAGCGAGAAAGCCGGCTTTGGTATTGTCCCATCTCTCCGCATCGCGAACATTGATCATTGGTACAACGTGAGAGGTCTTCAAGGCATTCACACTCTAAACTGTTGTACATTGACAGGTTGAGATCAAACAAACCCTCGAGATCCAGCAAATTTACTGCGCCAGAGAACGCATTAGACTTGTGCGCCAAACATGATGTTGAACGATCATGGAATGCTTTCAATGTTTGTGTCGGACGCTCCACTTTTGATCGTTGTCCTTAAGAGGTTGCCTGTATTATGCAGGCCTGGATGCGCCCGAGCCTTCTCTCAGCTATCAAGCACGAGGCGCCCATAGTGCTAGCTGGGTCTGTCAACGCCACCTTTAGGCTCTTGTTGACTTATCGTGAGCCTTTCTTCAGGCTGCAAAACTGGCATCAAGTAATCTTTTCGCGGTGTTCACTCCGTTCTATCTGTCAACAGCCTTGCGAATCTCCCGATCACGGAGAACCATCATTCATCCTTGATCTGGAAACACAGGCAACTCTCGCCTGCTTCCAATACTTCAGTCGAATGCAATTCATCCTCATTGTCCTCCGCAACAACCGTCAAATCATCGCTAGTAGCCGGAAGTACATCTACGTCATCACTTTCACCGTGATCCTTCTTTCCCAATAGACCTCCTTTGGGAACGTACTGGTCGACAGAGAGTTTTGGTTTCCACCACCCTTTGGTGGCAATCAAATGAAGTTGGTAAGCGAAGACAATATCCTGCTCCGTGCGAGATGAATAGTGATGCTCCGATGCTCTCTCGGCACCAATCTCAATACCGGCAGAAACCTCCGGAGTGATCGGTATACTGGCTCCGACTTCACCTGACAGTGAACGAATTTGCTCTTGAGACCACTGTAAGCCTTTCGCAATCTTCACCCCAGTAATCATGCACACGGGCTGCCGTCCCAACAGGCCAGATTCCATTGCTGCTCTGACTGCTGGCTCCTGGGCACGAGCAGCGGCGTACTCGATTCCAGGATGTTGTCGCAATGTAATTGTTTCGAGATACGCCATAGCGTAAGTTGCTCGAACATCTCGTCCTACTTTCGCGGACAGCTTTGCATTGGCGACTTCTAGGAACTGAGCCCAGACGCCACTGGAGAACCCACGTCTGGAAGAGTCGCTCAATGCAGCCTCGAATTCGGTATGTGTCACTGTTTCGAGCGTCTCCTTGCACTCGCTCAATGGCTTCAAAGGTCGGAATGGTTCGGCTACAATCGTGCCGATAGCCAAGGCATCGCCAGGATGTGTGGTGAGGTTGGGTGCGAGAATGTAGGTCTTAGTCGCCATAGTCTGTGGAAGAGATAGCAACCCCCGCCGTGTCAGAAAATGCTCTTTCGAAGTGGGTTGAGCTGCGGCTGAAGAGGCTGCATCGTACGTCACGCGAGCTGCACCTTCCACAGTGAAGACCAATAATCGTTCACTACGGCAAGCTGCATCTTGCGCAGCTTCCTCGTGAGCAGAAGCTTCCTGATGAAGACCCCGCACCACTGCCTTGCGTGTTGCAGCTAGCGGTTCAAAGCAGTATATACTCAAATATCTTCTTCCTGTCGATGTAGGATCTGTTGCAAAAGCCAGCTGCGCTCAAATACCAGGATCTCTCGTTGATCTTTCGAGCCATGTGTTCGATGCAGAACATCTTGTTCATGCCATGCCGTGTTCGCAGCTTGTCGAGTGTCGTGACTGTCCTCGGCATGTTGTTCGTCGATCCGAGCTCAACGATAGGGTCGCACATCTTCGCAGCGTCCAATACCAGAGCGCTGATCGCTGCTGCGACTGGCGCCGCGAATGAGGTTCCTTCAAGATTCTCGTTTGTCGCCTGAGACTCTTGAAATGCGCCAGGCATGTCAACTCCGAGAGTGCCAATCACGTCGGCCCCTCCAAAATTGGGTGGCGCGTTGAATCCGACAAACTCTCCTTCGTGTGTTGTAGCTCTGACGGCAGTGACAAATTCGTGGGTTGCGGGAAACATTTCACCTTGGTCGCCGCCGGAATTGGATGCCGCAGCATAGAACAGAATAGCGTCCTTTCTTATACTGATGGCATTGGAGATCGCTCTCGAAATAGCACGGGATTCTCTCTCTTGAGGCCACCCGAAAGACATGGACACGACGTCAGCTTCCATATCATTCACTACCCATTCCAAGGCCTACGTCATCTCAATCAGTTTGTATACGACTTTCTGCCGATGATGGACAGACCTTGACAATATTCTCGTATGACTTGTCGAAATCTGCGTCGTTTGTTGCAACTCTGGCAACGCAGACATCAGCCGATGGAGCAATTGTCATGAGAGTTGCCAAAACATGGGTCCCATGTCCGTCTTCGTCCAGAGGATTGGAAGAGTCGTCCACGAAATCTTTCCAGCGATTCTTCAGCCGGTTCTGGCGCGGTCGTGTCATGAAGAGATTTTCGGGGTCGTAGCCAGTGTCCAGAATAGCAATCTTGGTACGCATGGTGCCCGAGCTTCGATAGAAGGCGTTAATTTCCTTGTTGAGAAGAGACGACGCCAAACGGCTGAGCCATTGTTGCGAATGAGAACTGCTCGCCATTCAGTTAGTACTGAAGCAAGACGAGACCACTGAACTTCTAACCTTGCTGCATTCTGCTTCTCCGCTGGCCTTCGCTGTAAAAACAGCTGGGATGTTTGGACAGATTCCTCCCTCGCCTGCCACGTTGCTCGATTTTTGTCGACTCCCACAAGTTTCCCTACCATTTCCAGTGGCGAGACGATATGCTTCCACAGTAGTGCCTTCCTCTCCAAGATGTCGGCTTCCCGTTTGTTGAAGACGTCACCTCTGAGGCAAGCTAGAACCGCTTCTCGAATCTTTTCTCGCACGTGGTCCGACTTGATTTGGAGCGACGGCCATGATGGACTCTCCACGATGCCACGGCAAACAAGCAGTTCGTCGTTGAATCTGGCTTGCCAACATGGACTTTGATCTTCATCCATCGAATAATCGTCATTGAAGATATTTGTGAGCACTACTCCCAATGCAAGTATTCTAGGTGCCCAATGGACAGATCCCATGTGAGGAACAAATTCAAGCTCCGTCTCTTGTGGTGTTTGTGTTTGGGTTGTGTGCGCGACAGGCAGTTGCACGAAGGGATGGACCGGACTAATCATTCCCAGGTCTTCTTTCCTTCTTTTCTTGTTTGGGGACTCCTGGACGAAGTGTATAGAGTCCGCGGTCCAACGACCATTGATGAACTTGGTATCGTATAATTGCCATAGTGTTCTGGCGATGCTGTGTGCGAGAAATATCTTGCCGTCGTCAGAAAGATTATACGACTGCAGTGCTCTGGAGAGCTGAATTTCAGGCCTGTTTAAGAGAATCTGCTCCGCTTCGATGACGTCCTGTAGGTCATACAGGCCTTCCGCCGTGACAAGGATCTGATGACGCACTGCACCTCGGGGAAGTAATAGAAGCTGGCAGAAGTCGGAGCCACCGAGCAAGAGGCGAGCATGGACGGGCACTGCAGCGTCTTCAGATTGGACAGGTCGTTTTGATCCACTCGTAGGCTGCGGCCCAGGTCGTGCCCTCGCTCTTAGACGAGCTCTCTTGACTGTACGGAATCTCACGCAAGTCCAATGGCTCACATGCTCCTTCAAGTGGCATTCGGCAAGTTGATACACGGTATCAACTGCAATGTCATCGCTATCCGATAAGCTTTGGTGAGTCAGTCTCAGCTACAAGTTGTGCACACATTGCTTTCTTGGGAGACCATGGCCTTCGTCGCATCGACACTCGACGTATTTCACCAATGCAGCAGAGAGGTTCGCGTAGACACTTGCTGGAATCTCCTCTGGAGCAATTTGCTGTGGTGTGAATTTGTCAAGTGATTTCTGCCGCCGGGGAAGCAGAGAATCAAGGTTCCTGCAGTGTTCTCCTTCCAACCTCATCCCGAGCGATATGCTTGAGCGAGTACGCGACTTTCTTGAGATCTATTTTACCTTCGCAGAGTTGATAGAGTTTTGGAAAATCACCTTTTGGATCACAAGAGCGTCCTGACAGAGGAATATAGGTTCTGTGGGGCCACTGCAACGTGAATTTTCTGCACGAGGATTATCGTAGAATACTTGACTTACACTGCACACACCTTTTCGAGATCTCTCAAAACCTTTAGCACATGCTTGGATGGCGGTGATGACTGTCCAGGGGTCGGACGGTCCAATACTTCAGCGATGCTGAAGAGCCGGGTGGCGATATCTATCAATTTTGGAGACTCGGCCGCGTTGGAAGCTGTATTGGCGAGATCCCTGGCCGCTATGCTGAGAGCCCGCGTAGCATCGCACGCGAACTCGAGCGCGGTGCCGTCCATGGGAACCACATGTGTGTTGCAATGTTGTCAGTCGTCCAAGGGGAGCTCGTTGCGGCTGACTTGGAACCACTGTCCACACATGACGTGATCCGTGCCCAATTTAGACTTTCGGCTTTCGATCCTTCCGCACCACACCCACTCCACGTCTCTCAGAAGCACCACTTTGATCTCAATTTATACTGTGCAGCATGAAACCGCAGCTAGCAAAAGAGCTAGAGCTCTGCCAGATCTCGTTCACATACCACTACCAACCAAGCTTTGAGTGCCGCCACTGAACTCTGCCCTCACCGACGCTTGTCCGCCCGGCGATGGAACAGGATCACGATCCATCAGATGCGTTACAGGTAGCTGCGCGGCAATGTCTGCAGGCTACCATCAGAACGCTGCACAAATGTTGCTCTCGGTGCTTGAGAGTCTCACAGGGGTCTTCAAGCGTGTTCCGATGCTGGCAAATCTGCGAACCGGCAACTCTCCTGGAACTAGCGACTCCTCCACTGTCCTCGATGGCACAAGCTCGCCGTTGTCGCTATCTCCTTGGTCATCGGATGTCGAGTCGGATGAGTCTGATGAAAGTGCTGACGATTGGGCTATTGTTGAGGGCTTGCATGCTCTCAATGAGTGCTGCCAGGATGCTGAGACTCTTTTGCGCCGGCTTATCGACTTTGCGAATCTGGTCAGAAGCGCGGGCGTGTCGTCGCGAACCATGAAAGCAGATTTGACCTTCGATCTGCGCTTTCATCAGGATCTTGAGAAATATCTGGCTTTCGCGCTTAGGCTCCAGAACCTTCAGACGCCTGGCAGAAACACTGAGGGCTCCCTGCGTACGAATGCTGCCCTTTCTATCACTTCTGTGGAAACGAGCGACATCAGACCAGATCAAAGTGTCCTGATACTTGCTAACCTGCGGCGTCGACATCGCTTTGTATATGCTCGGAAGAGAGCCGACATGCTGGCAGCTCCCGATCGTGGCAATCCAATCCTTGTGACGACACAAAGAATAACTGCTCAGGAACCTACCCACCCAAAGGAGGAGCTGGCAGAGATACCTCCTACGACTAACTCCCTTTCAATGCCTTCGAATTTAGTCAAGGGTATTCCTAGTCAATCTTCCGCTTCAGCAATAACGACTTTGAACTTGGACTCACTGCAAACTTTGACGAATGACCAAGAGCACACAGGGCTTTACGCCCCAAGTGTATCGCAGTTCTCCGTCTCCCAAGACAAGTTAGCCTATCCTAAAGCACCAAGGATAAGTAGAGAGCATGCCTTCAAGTGTCCTTGCTGCTGTCAGGTGCTGCCTAAAAGGATGGGCGCCAATGATAGAAATTGGAGGTAAGTAAGTACGGTTTAGCAAAGTCTTGCTTGAGTTGATCGAGCCCCCAGGAAGCATCTGGCTCAAGATGTGTATCCCTACAATTGTCCCGTTGTCAGCTACACGGCAGACACGAGATTCTTTGTCAAGAAGAAAGACTGGCAGAAACATCTCGAGGCCCACCACCGAACACTCTCTTACTGGAGATGTCCCGTTCTGCAGCGATGAGTCCCCCTACGTGACCACTGCGAGTCTGCAAAATCATGTTCAGGCTCTGCATGCAGGTCTCTTCGACAACGATAGAATTGATGTTCTGCTCAAGGTCTCACAACGGACAGATGTCGACCTCCCCCTCCAATGTCCCGTCTGCAACATTAGTCGAGGACCTCCCTCAGAAACCAGTGCCTACATGGATCATCTAGCTGAACATTTGCATGAGTTTGCACTGCTTTCTCTGCCCTGGAACGATATGATGCTCGCCCGAGATATGGGGCCAGATCCAGCTCCAGCGGCGGCTCTGAGTCGTTGGCTTAGCGATGATGACTGTCACGTTACGACCGAAGAGATTGTAGCAGCCGGCGAAGTGCAATTCTTTGACGATCCTATAACTGACATCCCGAGATATCCGGCAATCCCTGACGACGAGTACTTCGATCCAGCAGACAGAACCGAAGATCAAGAATCTGTAGCAGAGGAAGAAACCGAAATGCGAGCAGAACAACTCCGGGAAATCACAGCTTGGCTATCGCCGCCGGATTTCGAAATGGCGTATAACAGCGCGATCGTGCTGCACGAGTCATCTACTGGGCAATGGTTTCTTAGATCGGATCGATACCTTGATTGGAAATTCGGATTGACACACCACTTGTGGTTGAATGGCAAGCCTGGATGTGGCAAGACCACCCTGTGCTCGCTCGCTATTCGAGATATCAGAGCGTACTGTCAACATCGTCCTGGCAACGGTTATGCTTTCTTCTATATCAGTTTCTCCAACGATGCCACTTTCGGTAAAATGAGTCTACTTCGCTCCTTGATCGTGCAGCTAGGTGTGAAGGGAAGAGCCGTATCGGTGCTCCTACAGCTTTACGACAACCTGAGCCGAAGCCATCCAGGAGAAGCAGAGCTCGAGTACATTCTAAGTCTCTGTTTCGAAGCATACGACCAGATATACGTCTGCGTTGATGCTCTGGACGAATGCCCAGAAGACTATGATCGATTGCACAAGATGATAGAATGCCTCCAGAGACTGTCGCAGACAGGGCAAAACGTGAAATTTCTACTCACGAGTCGCGAGATGCCGCATATCCGCAGCGCGATGATTCGACTTGGGGCAGAATCGGTGAACATTCCGACACAGGCTACCAACGAAGATATTCGCCAGTATGTTACCACGACGCTTTCGCGGGACCCGCGGCTATCACGTTTAAACGAGGAGACAAAGGCACTGATTGAACAAACGATTTCACAAAGGGCAGATGGAATGTAAGCAGATTTCCTCCTGGTACCTGTCACTTATACTGACGACTTACTGTTTCATAGGTTCCGGTGGGCATACTGCCAGTTGTTTGAACTTAAGAAAATGAGATCGCTTAAGTCTAGTCTTGTCAGAAGACTACTTGATGACCTTCCACGCACTCTTGATGCGACCTACGAGCGGATGTTGCTTGGAGTTTCTGCAGACTTTGCCAGTGACGGGCTAAAGATGCTTCGATGGCTCGCCTACGCTCAACCTCCTGTGCATCTCCGGGAGCTTGCAGAAGTCACCATTATCGACTTCATGACGGACCCAGGACTTGTAGAGACGGACCAACGTCCAAGATTGGACGACGCGTTAGAGATACTCTCGGGGTTAGTTGTCGTACAGAGTGCCGGTTCGCAATCTGAAGGCGGCAGCGATGCACTGGCTAAACCGAGCGTTATGTCCAAGGATGAGGCATACAATGATCTCGATGATATTCAATCAGGTACCACTCCTGCTTTGGACTTACCAACTTACATTTCAAAGGATACCATCATCCGATTGGCACACTTCTCTATTTTGGAATTCTTGGAGTCGAAACGCTCGCTCGCTGGAGATGCGCGGAAGTTTCACCTCGACAGTGCTCGCGAGCACACAATCATCGCTCAGAGCTGTATAATTTACCTTATACATTACAGTCAGAGCAGCGAGAAAACGTGCACACCAGAGGATCTGGTCTCCTTCCCGCTACTCGAATATGCAGCACAACACTGGTCCTACCATGCATCTCGCGCGCAGCCCGGCCAGCCTATTGACGAAATAAGATTGCTTACCTCACCGGCAATGAGGGACTGGCTCCTCGTTTTTCAACCGGATGCGCCGTGGAGAGATTCTTTTGAGCCGCTTGAAAGTATCGGGTCAGGTCTCTATTATGCAAGCTTCCTAGGTCTCGGCGCAGTAGTAAAAGATCTTCTGACTGACGGTGCAGACGTGAATGCTCAAGGAGGACAGTATGACAATGCCCTCCAAGCAGCATCTGTCAATGGCCACGTCCATATAGTCCGGATGTTGCTAGATGCTGGAGCGGACCTGAACGCTCAAGGTGGATATCACGACAACGCCCTCCAAGCAGCATCTGCCAATGGCCACGTCTATGTAGTCGAGGCGTTGTTACGTTATGGAGCGGACGCCAACGCCGATGAAGGTCTTCGTAGCACTGCGCTGAAAGTAGCAGCCGGTAATGGCTACCACGCAATTGTTCAGATGTTGTTGGAGCGCGGGGCGAATGCCAATGCTTATTCCGAGGGAACCGACAATACCGCGCTGCACGCCGCATCACGGAGTGGACAGGAGGAAGTAGTGCAGCTACTTCTCGACGCCGGGGCTGACGTTAATTTTGGCGGAAGAATTGGCATCGAAGAGCGATTGCAGACCCCGCTACAACTGGCAGCTTCGAAGGGCCAAGCGAAGATCGTGCAGCTGCTGTTGGACGCCGGAGCGGATGTGCACGCTCGGCGAGGAACTTCTGATACCGCGCTACATTTAGCCATGGCCGCAGGCCATGAGACCATTGTGCAGATGTTGAAGGATGCGGGGGCAGGAGCGTAACATCGTTGGGCAACCAACATACCGGCGCCCCCTACCTTTCGTAGTAGACAGCATCTGCGCAGCAGCATCCTGACATCGGTAATGTAGCAAGACCCAACTACGATTGAGAACACGAATTATTTGTCAACGTACGCATGACAAACCACATATTTCCAGGCACCTACCACAAAAGCGACCATTTGTGGTGGAAGCAAGAGAACGCTTTCTCAATGCTCGCGAGCAGAACGTTAGCATCGAGATCTTGCTTGGCCATGAGCTGTCGCCGAAGCATGGGTACTTTCTTTGTGAATTCGATCACCGCCAACTGTATTCATGTCAGCTTGGCACAAGGTGACAGTATTGTGCCTCTCACTTCCTGAAGATGCGTGGATCAGCTCAATGTGCCAGGTGCAAGAGAATGAATCACTTTTGAGGGTTTGGAGACTGCAAGGAGTTCTCAGACTTCGCATGATTGTGAACATGAGTTGTATCTAGAAGCTGAAGTCTTGATATTGCAAGTGGGCTGGGAACCCTCCCGCGGCGGGACTGAACGGGCACATGCTGTCTCCTTCGTCCGAAGTAACATGCTGGTCAAGCTGTATAAGCACTCGTCGCACACTATGTCCTAGTAGATCGTTGTACAACGGCACTGAAAGAAGCTGGATACATCGAATTTTGCATGCAGCACGGCAGACGTGCATGCTTTCTATTAGATGAACTGCCCTTCGATTTCTCCCTTTGGAGCCTTCCATTGTTGCTCCAGATTAATGCATGCGAGCCGTACTTTGAGTCGTTTGCAATGCCATCCAGCTGAAGCTATGAAGATGGGCGCGTTCCGGAAAAACAGCCTTTGCTGTAGTCGTCGGCCGCCGGACAGTCTCGTCCAAGCGTCACTCAGCCAGCCTTGCCGCGCTGGTGTCCTTTTCGATGCATTGGCGTAAAGACAAACAGCCACCTTAGCCTCGTAAAAGTCTGCGAGCTGCAGCAAGTGAAGACGAAGGGTCCTAATATGCGGCGTTATACTACGGCAGCCCCGATCTCTGCCTCGTGACAGCCACGTTGCGGCTTGCAGCTTCACGCTGGCATGTGGAAGCCATCGCGCTTGTTTCCATATTGGGCAAGCTCGGCAGGGCCAAGACAGCTCAGGCCATGGCCTGACGGAAACCAGAGACTGGCGATACGCCAGCCCGGAAACGAGTTGGGGTCACAATTGATTGCAGCTCGAGCGTATAGCAGGTATGTGCCATTATTTCAGCAGCGTCTATTATATTGTATTCTCCGCCATCCGAAGCCACAATCAACAATATCAGTACAGCCTTACTCGCCGAAACAGGAAATCTTCCCAAGATGCGGTGCTCTATTATCGTCGAAGTGGAGATGACTGGCTTCCTGGCAGTAGTCTGGGCACTTGGAATCGAACATTCTGAAGCCCGCCACAAAGAAACACCTCTCACCAGATCCGACTAGCCAGCTCACAAGCGCTTCCGAAAGCTCTCGTGCGCCACGCATGGCACACTGTCCGGAACAGGAAATCGGATCTTGCGCTTAATACATTGCATGCATGGAAGTAAAGGTCCCTTGAGGCTTGAACAGACACGGCACTGACGGATGGCATTTCCCACGTGGTACTTCATCAATGGTTGATGGTACAGAGGCTTGCATATATGCAAGCCTTCTCGTGAAAACCAGGAAGCGAATTGTTGAAGAAGCTAGAAAGGTACAACGCATATGTGGCAAGCTCTAGCCGGGGATGGCGTGGTCGTTCAGCCAGCCACGATTCTCTTGTCGGGTCCGAAACATTGGACCGGGACCCAGGACCCTTGTTGCCGGGAGCATCGCTTGATCTTGCTCATCTGCTCAGTGTCAGCGGAGTTCATCGTTGAGCCACGTGGTATGCATTCACCTTAGCCGCAAGAACGATTCCTTCTGAGTGATGGCAAGCACCATCTCAAGCAAGAGGACGTCTGCAATAGTTGATCATTATAGTCTAAGTCTAATAGTTCAATTCCAGTCGCTGTTCAACCATCATAGTCCCCATCAAACATACTCCTTCGCAATCCTCACTAACATCTTCATATTGTTCTGATCCTGATACGTAAACCTTGTAAAAGTCTGTTTGTGCAAACACACAACATTCGACTTGCGTACATGCCACGTAATCCCCTCTTTCTCGTGCTTGCCAGTCTCCGGAGGCTCCGTCATATACCCATCAAATCGCGGATAGATCTCTAAACTGGCGTCGTGTTCCTTCGAGCGAGCGAGCCAGCCATTGAACCAGAAAGGCATACCCTCGTCGTCGAAGTGGAGGAGTTGTGAAGAGCAGACTGTATCCTCACCTTGTCCCTTGGGTTTCTTCTTCTTTTTCTTGGGGGCTTTATCGTTTGGTGGCTCTTGGCCGCTGCCCACGGGCTTTCGTTCGTCTTCATCTTCATCTACTTCTTCTTCGGGAGCTTTCTCGCCTTCGGCGGGTTCGAGTGGTCCAGGTGTTCCCATGGTGCCAGCAACGCTATCGTGAAAGCTGTAACCCAGGTCGCCGGCCATTTCCCAGCTCAGCCAAAAGGTCTCTTTATCGCCGTATACCATTTCATAAACGCCCTTTTTCCCAATCTTCTTGTCTCCATCTCGATCCGGTCCATTCATTCGCGTAGTGAGCAGGAGAGCGACGAAATGCTTCCATTTATCGATCACAACAACACCAGAATCTTGCATATGCCCGCTCTCGCCAGTCCACATTCTATTCTTCTTGACGTTCGCGGAGTGAGGTCTCGGCAGGATCGATTTGATCCAATCTCGACGATTCTCAGGCATGAGGTTGCGGTCTTTGAAGAACAAAGCTCCTGTTTCAACGTATCCGGGGCTGTGGAAGAGCAAATCAGGTGTTTGCAGGAAGAGGGCATCGGCATCGATAAAGATGACTTCTCGGAAAGAGGACATGAGAATCGCGAAAGGTTTTGCTGCCCAGCCTGCTAAATGTTAGAGACTCCCACACTTCGAGAGTTGGAAAGAAAGAAAGAATAGGACCGCGTACCTCTCAACGTCCATCCCTCGTCTCTAATCATCTGTGCGATATTCCGTGTCGTGACACCCTCAATCTCTTCCAACTTGTCTCTGTTCTCCTCCCGAATATCCTCGTCCCCCAAGAACAACACTTCCACAGGAAGCATACAACCCATCTCGCGAATGCCTCTGATCGAAGTCATAATGTACCGGACCTGCTTGTCACCGCCCGTGAAAACAATGCCCTTGCCACCCTGATAGAAGCTAGTATGCAGCGACATATGATCACTGTAGTACGGCATAGTCCAAGGGAACAGCAATTCAGCCAGCGAAGTGAAATACGCGCGAAATGTATCATAGACATGGATCGCATCCTTCCGAGAAGCTCGAGACAGCGTTTTGGATTTGCTGAGGCGATTGATCACATCCTGGGATTGCACAGCCGAAGTTCCATCTTCGTGTAAATGCAAATCCTCCCATGCCTCGAAGGCTTCTTTGAACATGCGAGTGCGAATCGTCAGTGCATGGAGGAGTGTTGGTCCGCCAACTTCTGGAAGGGGAGACAGTAAATCTTCCATGAAATCATCGCTGGGAAGCAAAGCTTCCAGGTCGCGAATCTTGTCTGCGATATCCTCCTCGGACCGATCTTTCGTTTTCTTCAATGGTTGTTGTTCCTGCCGTGGGGGCGGACCACCTCTTCGTTGTCCAGGGTATTGTGGTCGGCCTCGGAACATCCGCGGTTGCTCTTCCATCTCGTGCTCGTTGTGCTTCGAATCAAGTCTCGCTGATCCGTCTGACAACTCATACTCGCTGCGCCTTGCATCGAGCGCTGATGCCCCGTCTGACGATTCATATTCCTCGTGCCTCGCGCCTGCTATTGACGATCCATCTGCCGCATCTGCAAATCCGTCAGGGACACTTGATGAGCCTTTCCCATACTTGCTGACGACCTCTGTATCTTTAATCCCTGGTCCAGCCAGTGATTGCACAATGGCGCGTGCCGTAGACGGGAAAAAGACAAGACAGATGCATATGGAAACGCCAAATATGAAGACCAAACGCTGAAGCAAGATTCGACGCTTCCGTCTTGAGAAACAGACGACCGTTGACATCTTCGAGATGACTTGCAATCTGTGTCCGATTGGGAAAAGAAAATCGTCGAATCGCCAAAACACGCGAAACAAAAATAATGCCCAGCCAATGATGAGTGCCCCTCACCCCCAAGTGTCATCAGAGACGCGTTCGTGAGTTCTCGAGGAAGACGCGTAGCGGAGGAGGGGGAAAGGAAAGAGCCGCTGCAAATCGTTGCTTCCTTCTCACTCTGCGGCCCAAACCAAAAAAAAAAAAAATCCCCTCACCTCATCAGAACCAAAGCAACCCAGCTCCAGCTCCAGCTCATCCAGCTCCCACCAGCCCTGCATATCCCCATCTGGCCCATGCTCCTGCTTCCACAATAGCAGTACCTAGTCCCCAAACCCAAACGCCTCAACCGCAGCGCATCTGATACTTGGCAATCGAAAGCGAGAGCACGAAAAAATGTGGCTGGCTACCGCCAAGAAGAAACCTGCATGTCTCGGCCCTTCCAAAAGTCGTCAAAAGTGATAAGCGAGGACGGAAAAAGGCTTTTGTGGCGTTCCACAAGTGGAAATTTAAAATTCGCTACAAAGAGCCATGTACCCCAAACTCTATTTCCTAAAAGAGTTGGAGGACCAGAAATGCTGCAGATTCGGATGTGCAAAGGGAGAGAGCTGATCTCGCCCGTTGTGCGTCTCAACGGTGCCCCTTCGGTTTGGGTTTTTTTGGTGACGATGGCGTTATTCGCTGACGTTGCAGAAAGGGCGACAAGACGGTTGAAGGTAGATGGTGCGGTCGTGTCTCGGCTCAGTCAGCGATTTCCGGGTCTCTGCAGGCCCCCGGATTTTTGTGATGTTTTGGAGGACCCACGGTTTCCTTTTTCAAAGGCCGATGGTGACCGTTGAGGTTGTTCCATGTTTGCTCAGGTTCAAGTTTCGACTTCACTTGGTCAATCGATGTATTTTATGTGCAAACCAGAATTTTCGTCCCCATCTGTTGCATTGGGCGACATTATCCAATCATCAGAAGGAACAGCGCAATGGTGATGGTAAAGTGCACCAGCAGTGATAGAAAGTAAAAATTGTCCTTTAGATTCAAAACAGAGTAGCAATGGATGACATTGCCATCCATACATGATGAGAATCTACATTTCAAGAAAAATACCAAAAGTTTCCCATTGTCTCATCCATTCTAAGATTATTTCTTCGTCGAATCGTTACTGTCTGATCTCTGTCGTTGCGAGAATCAGTGCAGAAGCCGTCACGCTTGCTAGCAGCAGAATAGAAAAAAAAACCAAAATCCTCCCCATCTTCCATTCTTTTCCAAAACGATCGCAGCCATGCAAATGATAATGACAGAACAATGTGGTCATGATCCCATCATGCTTCGAGGATCAGTGACTGTAAAATTGACAATACGAGATCACTGGTCCTCTGGCATGTATGGAACGCCATCGGTGATGTTTGCCACACGAATGTTCCAGTCGTGAATCTGGGAGATGGCGGGCATGGCCACGCTACGAGCGTTGACCGTTCGCTTGCGACCACGAGGCGTTCGTGGGTCGACGTAGCTGCTCGTGCATCCACTGTAAGTCACACAGACAGGCGTGTTGTAGAAGCGGGCATAGAAGCCTCCAGCGCAGAACTCGTTCAGACCGCATTGGGCACTAGATGTGCAGCGGCGGATTGGCTCAGCTGGTCGAGGGTTGGGATCGCAGACACGATTTCCACCAGAGCCGGATTCGAAGTCGCAATAACATTCGCTCGAGCAGCCTCCGGCGCCAGGCACGTTGGTCTCTTCCCGCACGTTCGGGTTACAGAATGGGCTGGGAAAAAGTGTCAGTATGCAGAATGGTACAGGGCGGGAAAGTGGGACTTACGTAGCTTGCGCACCGACGCTGGTTGTGGTCGTCGTAGTGCCCGTGGTGGTTGTCGTGGTGGTTGTCGTGGTGGTGGCAGGCGTGGTAGTAGTGGTCGTCTCAGTGGTGGTCGTTGTAGTGTCAGTCGTAGTAGTTGTGGTGGTGTCGGTGGTAGTAGTTGTAGTGTCGGTTGTGGTAGTCGTGTCGGTAGTGGTTGAGGTAGTAGTGTCAGTCGTAGTAGTGGTAGTGTCGGTAGTGGTGGTAGTGGTGTCGGTCGTGGTGGTTGTAGTATCGCTAGTTGTGGTGGTAGTCTCAGCCGTGGTAGTGGTGGTCGTCGTAGTAGCAGGGCTGCAGACTGGTGGGGGGTTTTGTGGTGGAGTACAGTCACCAACGAAGTTGCCAGTCGACACGACATTGCCTGCGGAGGCAGTGATAATGATCTCACTGCGGCCTTGCGTGCCGCCATTGGACCAGAGGTAGGCGAATTCGAGTGCCTGGCCCTGTACGAGTACTCCTGATTGGAAGGAAAGCTGCTGGTTGGACAAAGCGAAGTCGCGGTTCACGCGAATATCCGCGGTGGCCTCGGTTGGGTTGGCTGCATTGCCGCCAAACCAAGCTCGTTCGAAATTGTCCACATTGGCTGTGGTAACGGAGAATGTATAGGTATCCGGGATCAGGTTCGGTGCGATGAAGTAGCCTCGTACGAGGATGGACTGGTTTGGAACGTTGATTGATACTGGGCCTGATTGTGTCGACAGCGTTACGATGCCCGCGTCGGCGCCAGTATTGCCTGGCCAGCCAACGTTGACCCAGTTCAGGTCAGTCAAGCCTGATCCACCCATAATTGAGCTTCTTGGTTTGCAGAGGGCGACGTTGGCGTCGAAGACGCTTGGATTGCTGTCAGAAAAGCTGTCTTGTTCGAGAACGACGTAGTTGGCGCCACCACCGGTAGCAGAGTACAGAATTTCCCTAGTTGGGTCAGAGACACAAGTTGGAAGGCCGGCCGCGGTAGTAGTAGTAGTGGTAGTAGTATCCGTCGTAGTTGTAGTGTCGGTAGTAGTGGTGGTGTCCGTCGTCGTTGTGGTATCGGTGGTAGTAGTAGTGGTGTCGGTGGTAGTAGTAGTGGTGTCAGTCGTAGTGGTAGTGGTGTCCGTCGTCGTCGTGGTATCGGTGGTAGTAGTAGTGGTGTCTGTTGTCGTAGTTGTAGTATCGGTGGTAGTGGTCGTAGTATCGGTAGTGGTGGTAGTAGTATCAGTCGTAGTTGTGGTGGTATCGGTGGTAGTAGTGGTGTCAGTAGTTGTCGTAGTATCGGTGGTAGTAGTAGTATCGGTAGTAGTGGTGGTTGTAGTAGTAGTGGTAGGGCAGATTGGGTTAGTGTCTGGGACACAGTCGCTGATCAAGTTGCCGTCCGACTCGTCGATTGTACCAATAACGGAGCCCTTGCTGATTCTGAGATTGCTGCGTCCCTGTCCGCCGGCGTTGGTCCAGAGGTAGGCGAATCGGTAAGCTTGGCCTACTATGAGTGTTGGGGAAGTAAAAGATGTGAGTTGGTTAGGCAGTGTAGTGTCACGAGAACTGCGGAGCTGGGCGTTAGCTTCCGTTGGGTTCGCTGCGGCATCACCGAACCAGGCGCGTTCGTGGTTGTCCACGAATGCTGGATCCAGAGAGAAGGTGAACGGGGAAGGAGATGGAGCCACGAAGTATCCCCGTACAAGGACTGAACCCCTTGCAATGATGTATCGCGATGGATTTGGAGTGGTTGGCAGATCGAAAGTAGCTGCAGTGTCGCCACCGTTGTCTGGCCAGTTCGGGTTGGCCCAGTTCAAGTTTTGCAGTCCAGAGCCAGGGTTCGGGACCGCGAATGGGAAGTAGGGCTGGCACAAGGCGACACCGGCGTCATAGTCGGCTGGATTGCTGCTGTCTGTGTAAGGACCTGATTCCAGAACGATGTAGCTGGCACCCGAGCCACCTTGGTAGAGGGGCATGACTGGGTCGATTATTAGTCCACGACGACCTAGTGGTGGTTGGCTGGAAACACAGGTTGGCAGGATCGCTGCAGTGGTTGTGGTTGTCGTGGTGGTGTCAGTAGTGGTGGTGGTGGTGTCAGTAGTAGTGGTTGTGTCGGTTGTGGTTGTCGTGTCGGTTGTGGTTGTCGTTGTGTCGGTTGTGGTTGTCGTGGTATCAGTCGTCGTCGTGGTATCAGTGGTTGTCGTTGTATCACTAGTTGTCGTGGTGGTCGTGGTATCACTAGTTGTCGTAGTAGTCGTGGTATCCGCAGTCGTGGTGGTGGTAGTAGTCTCCTCCGCGGTGGTGGTGGTGGTGGTAGTCTCAGCCGCGGTGGTGGTGGTGGTGGTAGTAGTGGACGTGTCTGGGTTGCAATCTCCGATGAAGTTACCCGAGGAGACATCGCCGGTCAAAGCACCAGTGATTCCAAGGAAACTCTGAGCCTGGCCGCCACCATTGGACCAGAGGTATGCGAACTCGAGAAGTTCACCCGCGATCAGCGGCCTTGTGACTGTGACAACTGTCGTGCTTTCAGGGCTCTCGAAGGTGATCTTCAGGTCTGCATTCGCCTCTGTCGGGTTGGCAGTGTTGACAGGGCCGAGCCACAAACGCGCAAAGTTATCATCCTTGTTGGCAGCAAGTGTGAAGGTATAGGAATCAGCGGCTGGTGCGATGAAGTAACCCCGGACATACACGGACTTTGTGGAAAGGTCGATCTGGCTGATGGGCGGCTTCGACTGAAGATCCACGATGCCGTTAACTCCATTAGGCCAGTTGGCGTTGATCCACGCCAGATTGTTCAGTCCCACACCGCTCTGGGTGACAGTCTGTACGAGCGCAGTATCGGCAGTATAGAGGTCCCGGCTTGGGGGCTGGTCGCCGAATACAGTCTGATCCAGGATCTGGAAATTGGCTCCGTACGGAGTGTACGACAGAACGGGGCTGCCGGAAGTGACACAAGTTGGACCAGCGCCGGCGCTGGTCGTGGTAGTAGTAGTAGTAGTAGTCTCATCCGCAGTCGTGGTGGTAGTAGTAGTAGTCTCGTCCGCAGACGTTGTCGTAGTGGTTGTGGTATCCACAGACGCTGTCGTAGTGGTTGTGGTTGTGGTATCCGCAGACGTTGTCGTAGTGGTTGTGGTATCCGCAGACGTTGTCATAGTGGTTGTGGTATCCGCAGACGTTGTCGTGGTGGTCGTGGTGGCCACAGGAGTCGTTGTGGTGGTCGTGGTGGCCACAGGAGTCGTTGTGGTGGTGGTAGTAGTAGCCGCCGAGGTAGTTGTGGTGGTAGTTGTGGTTCCAAGAGGAGGGTAGGGATTAGGCTCCTCCGTGCATCGCCGGTACTGGAAGCACTGCTCGAAGTCGTAGAAGACATGGCTGGCGGTGGTGTCCTCGGTAAAACCCATTCGGGCCACACGTCGCGAGAAGAGCAAGCAGTTTTTGCTGACCGAGTCGAAGGCGAACGACACACAGCTCCGGTCTGGATAACATGCGTAGTAACAGTCCCGGAAGTCGTTCGACTCGGACAGGAAGGTCTTGAACGGTGAGAAGCGGGTTGCAATAGTTCCCGGTTCTTCGCACACGGCACGGCGCGGGGGATTCTCTCTTCGGAGAGGGCAACCAGGGGCATTTGCTCTGGCCTTGAGAGTAGTATCCCTGGTCACGAGCTCTGCGAATTCGTGATCGGCATCGTGAACTGGGCCGGCCAAAGCGAATGGAAGGACAGTGAGCCCCGCCAGAATAGATCCGAACTTCATGATGGCGGTTCGGACGGTCTTCCCCGTCAATGGTTGGGTGGGCGAGGGAGTGGGTGAAGGAAAAGAAAGTGATGCGTAGGGCCAATGAATCTTAAGTACGGGACCGAGCCATCGAGCATCACTACATGGCGGTATCATGCCAATGTGCTGTGCTCCCTGCGGCCTATCCGAGTCTACTGGAGGCTGATCAGTGCTGCACGGGCTGAGCACGGCGCAGATGGCTTTCCAATGCTCGACGATAGTCTCGACCAGGCGCCACCCGTGCGCGATCGCTTCTATGTCGCCCCGACTGTGCAGAGATGGACGGAGCGCGTCGAATCAGTCGGTCCGTGGCGCTGTGGCATTCGCGCGGCATGAGACGTGAAGAGCGTCCCGCTTGACTCAAGCGAGGGAGTCGCGGTAGTCATTGAGATCGTCCAGCGACTGCATCTGGCCTAGTCTGCGGTCACGCCTCTTCAGCAGACGTGCCCGCTTGGGCATGGCGGCGGCCAGTCGCTGCAGGCAGCGCGTCTCGAGCCCCCAGAGGTTGAGCAGGCGGTGGGACGAGATGTCCACAGGCGTTGGTGGCATGCGCGTGTTGTTGCTGCCGTGGTTCCGCAGCAGCTGGGAGCAGAGCTTCTTCGTTCGCACGTGGGCGACTTGTCCGGGAGGCGATGGCGGATGCGTGGACCCACGACGAGACGCGCGCGCGCTGGGTCGGTGGAAAATGCGTTGGCAACGGTAGGCAGGCCGCAGCAGAGGCGCGAAGAGTCGCGCCTGTTTAGCGCCCGCATGTGCAGCCGTCCGCTTTCCTCATTCGGCCGCTGGACAAGTAGGCAGGCTCGATATGGCGAGATTGAGTCTTCTGCACTGCTCGGCGTGCTGAGAGATGTGCACGCTCGTCGTTGCTGCTCGGAATCAATGCTGATCTCGCCGCCTGGCCACCATGATGACGATGCTGCTCGAGGCCGTTCATCCCGGCGACAGTGGGCGCTCTCGCGCGACTGCTCCGCGCTGCTCCATACTGCCCTCGGTGGCGCCATGGCGCGCTGAAGCCATGAGTAGGCAGGCCTGGTCTGCTGCCACGAGGCCCGGTTTGCTTACCACGAGGCCTGGTCTCGGGGCTGCCGTAGTCGGACGCCTTCGCCTTCACCTGCGCGCGCACGACGCGCCAGGAGACAGGGCTGAGGTGAGGAGCGGGAGCGAGATGGTGCACGTCCGCCATCGCCTGTCCCCAGGACGGATGTGGAAAGGTTCGCGCTGAAGGCGCTCCGGACGATGTCTGCGAGGCCAAGGTAGCCGACGCTGGGGCAAGCTTTGCCATGAGCGCCACAACGACGCCCGTCCGAAACAGGCAATGCATGTACACTCTCCACCACTGCAAGCGCTAACTAATGGAGCTCCGCTGAACCTTCCTGCCCTCACCCGTCTGCCCAACGAGGACTTTCGCCTGTTCTTGGCGCTGCACCGCATCACTCGCGGGCTAGAGCAGTCCGGAAGAGGCAATGCTTCTTGGATCCAAATGTCGCTTATCGCTGGTGACGATGCGTGGGGCCTTCTCCAGTCGCGACGGCATGAGAGGCGTGCAGTGTCGGCGGTGCTCGCAATGGGCACTCGATCGTAGAGGTGCCGCTCGCTGCAGCGCGTCCGCCGCTCCGAGACACGGCATGTCTCGGTCGAGCGAGGTCAACGGTGGACTAGCTCATGCTCCTCCTCTCTCTTCCCGAATGGGCAATGAGTGGCAGAAGCGGAGCGGGGAGTCCATTGGTGAGGTGAGGTCCAGAGCTCTCATCACCCACGTGGCTGCCGAGTCGCAAGCCCGTCCAGCTTTCTGTCGCCTGCTGCAGCGCCGGGCCTGGCTTGGCAGACTCGCTTTACCCGATCGGGCTGCGCCGCTAGCCGAAAAGGTTCGTGAAGAGCCCTCCCGACTTCCACTCCGCGGCGAATCACCAGCCTGCGCAGCGTTCTTCCAGCGCGTTCCCTTCACGCCACCAGTGCAGCACGGCGGGCGCCACGAGCAAGCCTTCGCCTTCGCCTTCACTTGCAGCACGCAACAACAGCAACAGCAACAGCGACAGCAACAGCGACAGCTCCGGCACCTCCCCGCTCCGTCGTCCTCCCTACCGGATGTGGGACTCTCCGTCGCTCCCAGCTACCGTACTTCCAGCCCTCGCTTCTGCCTGCGATGGATGGAAGCTTCAGCTGCATTGCATTGCATGAGAGACACCCTCCATCGCACCAAGGTCCTCCATTGCGCGTCCATGACGCCAATGCGGCGTGCTCATACCACGATTTCCTGGACCAGAGGGCGGGGAATCATAGAGCAACCGAACTTCTGCCTCAGGCGATCGATGACTTGCCGCCCAAACAACAGAGTCCGCATGTGAAATCCGAACTGGACCAGGAAGGGAAATGCATGCAGAGTTTTCAACAGAATCCTGTGCATTGCCGCCCTCCTGCGTGATGGAGATGAGCAGGTCAGAGTCCGCTGTTGGCATTATTGCAGTGGCGTCAATCCCTATACGTGCAACTCGGGGCACAGATGATTTCGCACTGCCAGCACAGCTTGGGCTGGAATCAACTCCGACGACCCTCTCTCGTCTTCACGAGAGGCGCGATAGCAACTGCGACAAGTCGGAGGGACAACATGACGCGACATAATGCGAAAGATACCACCAACGGCAGTGAAAGTTCTCTGGCGCCCCATTGTTGGCTCAGCAGATGACGTGCGATCAGCTTACTACTGGACTGCTGTCGTAGTAGGGCGGGTGCTATCTTCTTATCTCGAAGCCTCCTACATACGGAACCGGATCGTGGTGGTCAACGTTCCAGTGAAGTGAGTATGATAGGCGTCTCGTTCTGTATTTCGCTCCCGACTTACGCCAGCCACGAAATTAGCATCGACCGGCGATGTGTCGACCCCTTCGGCTTGAGTCGGATTGGCCACATGCAAACGGTGGGGAGACACGTCCTGACTGGTGCAGATCGATGCATTTCTGTGCCAAGCTCACCAAGTCAGCCACGCTTCCAGACCGCTGGGCTACTGCACCAGCTCGTCTCCGAACCCTATCAAGTGCTTGTCGCTTGAGCAGTCGGGACCCCGAAATCCAGATCCGCGCCACGAAACTCAAAGCGCGCGAGCTTGACGCGAGCCTCAATCGTCACTGCTTGCTGTGGTGCACAGATATTTTTGCTCTGCTCAGAACATGCTCTACACAGCACACTGGGACTGCCGTCGCTGCGGGTGATCTGGCCTCATCATGAAGCAATGGGATGACGAGAAGATGCTCGATGCTCCTACACCTTCATCGAGTGTCCGAGGAGTCCTCAACCGGCTGAGCGGGCGGCTATGGAACCCTCGTCGACGCATAGTCCGTACAGCCGTGTGTGTGATACTGCTCACCTTTGGCTGCGCATCGTATTGGAGATCTCAGGTCCGTGGAACCAAGAGCAGGCATCCTTGTCGCAAACCTCAGGCGCTTGAAGGCTAACACTCTTGCAGGTGCCTTCGCTCGACGATCTCCTTCCATCATCGGCAGCGTTCACATCCAGCAATGTAAGCGGCTTCGTAAACATGGGAGCCATGCAGAAACATGAGACTTGCGACGAGATTCGGCATCGGGGTGAAATCAGCGTGCAGGAGAGCCTACACGTCGACGACGATCTCGTTGCGATCGCGAAAAGTCTCGACGACCACCCCATGGTGGACTATGGCGGTGGAAAGAAGCAACACACGTTCGAACATCTTGTTTCCAAGACTTGGCTGCGAATGGCTCAGTCCAGCGTGTGGCTCGAAAAGTACCAAGTCTATCTTACAGTCACGCGCGTGCTCTTCTACAACAAAGGCGTCCGGCATTGGCCCGCAATTAGTTTTGTCCGAGGCCAGATTCACGACCGACACTGGAAGGAGCTCAAAGGATATGTCATTCGCTGGCAAGACGAGCGCATCGTTTTTCCAAGAATCTTCGACATACCCATCCCATATTTCATCGGTGGTGGATTCTACGGCCCCGAGGATCCACGGATCATCATTGAGGATCATCCCGATGCCGAGCCTGTCATCGTGTTCAACATGCTCGGCGATCTTGACAAGAGCCGTCGGAGCATGTGGGTCTATCGCCCCTTCTCGAACAAGGCCACTGAACTCGCCATGCGTGGAAAAGAGCCTGGTGGCGTGGAAAAGAATTGGATGCCCTTCTTCTATAAAAGCCAGAACAAGGAGGAGAGCAAAATTCCAGGTCCAAATCGCTATCTACACTTTGTGTACTTGTTTGCGCCTCTCACCATTGTCAAATGCCGCCTCCAATATGGCTGGTGTGACGAGGTGTACCATCAGCAAATTCCGGACGAGCACAGGATAGAGCACAAAAATACAATCTACAACGACACCGGGGGATCCCTGCGAGGTGGCACAAACTTTCAAGCAGTAACACTCGCAGATGGGAAACAATCTTTCGTTGGATTCCCCAGGACTCATGTTGATGGAACTTGCCATGACGGGGTGTATCGTCCGGAACTCGCTGTCTTGTCTGCCACTGCAGACAATCAGTTCCACCTCGACTATCTTTCTGGTCCCTTGGATTTTGGTACTGCGGTCATCCATAATTCTTCAGACATTTGTGCAGAAGGCCGAATCTTGATTGCGAACAGTATCGCCAAATGGGATAAAACTGCCGCAGACGATACCATGACGCTTTCTGTGAGCGTGGATGATTTCACAACGGAAGTGGTCAGGATACGAGGTGTACATTCTCTGCTGCAGAGTTTGCCTGGAATATCTACACCTCACACGGAGGACACCTCGGAGAACGACAATTTGGCACTAGCTGTTCCCGGCTACGACGTGCTTGGATGCTGCCTCGAATCGGCGATCAGGGGTGCTGAAGAGGCGTATACTCTGAGCCCGCAGAAAATCAGAAACGATGCCGAGAAAGAGAAGAGGAAGAAGGAAGACGAGGAGAAGAGGCAGAAGGAGGAAGAGGGGAAGCGGAAAGAGGAGGAGGAAAGGAAGAGCAAAGAGGAAGACGAGAAGAAGCGGAAAGAAGAGGAAGAAAGGAAGCTACGGCGAAAAGACAAACAGAGTAAGCAGAAAGAAACGGAGAACAAGAGCGAGGGTGAGAGGAGCGATCGAGTGAACGAAAGTAATGATACCACAGATTTGCGATAACATTTAGACTTGTTGAATTCGAATTTTTGGCTGTATTGGCATGGGTAGGCAGACAGTTTGGATCGGTGGCCATGTTGACAGCAATCAGTGGTCGTGAGCGATCTCTGACGTGTGAAGCTCGCAAATGCTGCTGAGAAAACGTGCTGCTGTTCGGCCGACTTTGTGGCTTGGGCCAGACCGGCTCTCCTTGCCACGTCGAGGGCGAGGGAGCCAAAGGGACTGATGGCCCGTGCACCAAGCACACCCTATGCTGTCTTGGGCACTAGCTGAGGCCCGCATCTCGTGAGACAGGGTGCGAAACTGTCCCGATCACAGCACTCCGACGACAACAGTATTTGTGCCACCGCGAATGGACACTGTCAAGTCTGCCTTTGCAGGCTCGCACTCTTTGAAAACCACTGTACGAAGCTGGGGAAACCGAGAAGCCATGCACACATCATGGCCCGACAATTCCAGGTTTCGTAGAGCTCTCAAATTGGCTGCTTGCCTCGTCTTGGTCTACATCATCTTCTCAATTCCCACCCCATGGCATCGAAGCAGTCATCAACGACAACAATACATGAAGCCAGACTCTTCATTCCAAGAAATCGAAATCACAGGCTTCGTCAACAAAGGTCTCCCCATCAACGTCTCCTGCGAAAGCCTCCGCCACAACACCACAATCTCCGTACAAAATAGCACCCACCTCACCGACGACTTAGAAGCAATCGCAAACTCCCTCTCATCCCACCCCATGGTCGTCTACCGCGAAGACCGAAAATCCATCTCTCAAACCTGGTCCCGCATGGCCGGCTCCAGCGTCTGGCTCCCAGACCATCAAGTCTACCTCTCCATCACGCGCATAATCTTCTACGACGACGGCGTCATCAGCTGGCCCGTAATCAGTTTCATCCGCGCCCAACTCTACGATGAAAATTTCAACGAACTCCATCAAACTCTGACCTGGCCCCACAATGGCCAAAAATTCTCTTTCCCGCACATCTTGGACATTCCTGTAGACTACGAGAAAGGCGGTAAAGTTTTTGGACCCGAGGATGCGAGGATTACAATTGAACAGGGAGTGAAAGGTGCGGAACCCGTGATTGTTTTTAATATGATTTCCAAGGAATCCAAGTGGAAGCGCGCGATGCATACTTATCGGCCTTTTTCGAGGGAATTGAAAATGTTGAAGATTCGAGGGAGGGAGCCGTTGGACAAAGAGAAAAATTGGGCGCCGTTTTTCCATGGGGAAGGGGTTACCGCGAGTCGGCATATTATGATTGTGTATATGCCGTCTCCGTTGCAGATTCTGTGGTGCTCGTTGGAGAATGGGGAGTGCGATGTGGCGTATCATCAGCAGGGTTTGGAGCCCGGGTTGTTGACGGAGCATGTGGGGGAAGCGCATGCTTTGAAGGGAGGGTCGAATTTTGTGAGTGTGAGGCCGGGGGTTTGGATCGGGTTGCCGAGGACGCATATTGATGTGAAGTGTGGGTGGAATAATCCGATTTATCGGCCGATGTTTATGTTTCTGGTGAGTGCTGGGGATACGTATCATGTGGCGTATGCGTCGGGAGCTGTCGACTTTGGGGCTGCGGTGTTGAATGAGGAGCAGCAAAAGGATCCTTGTCATGCGGGGAGAATTTTGATCCCGAATAGTATTGCGAGACTGGACGGGAATGCTTTGACGATTACGTTCTCTGTGGACGATAGAACGAACCAGGCGGCGAAAGTCATTATGGATATGGATTGGCAGGCTGTGGGGGCGGTCAATGTTTCGGAGAGGGTCAATCGAGCAGCGGTGGGAAATGATGTTGTGAAGTGTGGCATCGAGTCACACATCAACAATACACATGCCATGGCGGACGTGTGGTATCGAGAGCATCCTGATCAGACACCATGATCTCATCTAACGAAAGAATGCAATGTGTCACGATATACACAAGACTCTTGGATCCAACCCGCTCGGAAACTTACTCTTGCCCTCCAGTCATTGGGGAATTATCTGCTGTAGAGCGACTGCACACTGCGAGAGATTGACCGTGTCATTGTTGGAGGCTATCTGGAAATCCCATCGACGGTCGGGTCACGAAAACCATGGATCTGGTTCTGGAATGACTGATGTCGCTTGTTTGAGTTGCAGTTTCCAGCTTATACTCAACAAACAATGCACAAGGAGAAGGAGACCTATACGAATCACGGTATACCTGGAGCATTCATGATGCGGAAGAACATTCAGGCATGCTTGAGAAGGTCTCATGACACCTCCTGCATTGGCACATACAATCTGAGAAGTTGGCTTTACACACAGCCGCTGCACGGCTTTAGAGTCTAGAAGAGCGTGATAATCGAGCATCCATTCGAGCGCTTCTTTCACTTCGCCAGTGGCCTGTCGTTGTCCCACGTAGCTACATTACATGTCTACACTGAAAAGTGCTGCTCGAAGTCCCCAGTGACCCATAATCTCATGTCCACTTTCCACTCTGCCACAATTGCTCATCATGATATCGCTCCGTCAAGCAAGACAAAGCAAACAACGTGACCGTATGAGGGCCAGTACCCATCCAGAACAATGCCTCGTGGCGATGCCCGGGTCGCTTGCATAGTGCATACTGGACAACGACACGTTCATCACAATGAAATGCACGAGTCAAACATGATGATCACTGTCTCGCCAAAAATCCAGCCGCAACGCATTCCCAACTCAGTAAACGGACAAGCACGCCAAGCAGTCTCGCCTAAATTGAGGCCAATGTCCACAGGGCTGGCCGGATGGGATGGTGGCTGATCTAGAGGCGCCACAAACCATTAGCGTCGTCCGACCATCTGAAGCTTATCCCTGATCAATACCTTGGCAAATTCCAGAGTGAGAGCCAGACTTCGAGCTTGTCCGGAGGAGCCACACGAAGCCGACAACCAGATCTTCGCCGCGAGGATATGTTATCGGGGGGTGAAGAGTCGAGCGTACTCAGGTCATGACTGGTCATCATAAATCGACGAAGGCAATGATGGATCAAACCAGGCACCGATTGCATATCAGGGACGGTGAGGATAGCTCGTGATCGGTTGCGAGCAGACTGCACTGCGTATGCTCTCAGACGCTCACCCAATTCCTCTGGGCCTCTTGCTCGACACGCTTCCGCCGTCTAGAATTGGCAGCAGCTTTGTCGTCCTTCGCAGCATTTCTCTCATTCTTCTTGCGCTCAATCTTGACCCGGCGGGCCTGATAGTCCTGAGCCAGAAGCTTTGCCCGCGCAACTATGGCAGACAAAGTGTCTCGGAAGTCTTGTGACAATGGTTTCCATCGCTCAGGGTGATTCATGTCGCACGTATCCCATTTGGGCTGGTGAGCGACGGCTTCTTTGGCAAACTCTTCTTTGACCTTAGCATCCGCATGTGTAGACCAGTCAAAGTCGGGTGGCAAGTTGAGCTTTGCTTTAGTACGACTGAGAGCATCGGGAATAGTTTCTCCAAGGTACCAGTGCGTCCAGTTGACGAAGCCAGATTCGATCGCCTTCCCGTTCCCAAGTATACCACCATTGGTGAGCCAAGGCTGTTTGCCATCCCAAGTTGAGTGTACCATGTGCTCAGTACAATCTATGTGTGTGCCCGCATCGATGGCCGCCGAATAGCTCAGCTCTTCTGGAGCACGGCCAGCCCTGCCCGAAGACCACGGATTGAAGTGGAAGGGAATACCAGTGAGCTCCCCTGCAACCCAGTAGGTCTCTTTGTCCCCGTGGAAATAGCTGTAGATCTCTGGTTTGCCGCCAGACGCTGCATTCATCCAGGCGGTGAACAGCATCATCATGTAATTGCGAGGCCGAGACTTGTCAAACATGACAACGGCTGAATCTTGGCTCTCAGTCACAAATCCGCCCGCCCACAAGAATGATTGCCGAGTGAGGAATGTCGAAGGCTCACGTCCTGCTTTGGATAATTGTGCAGTCAACCACTTGGTGCGTTCTTCCACAGGTTTGCGTCTCGGGTCTCCCCAATACTTGGCGCGGTCATGGAAGTACAGAGAGCCATACTCTTTCAAGGAAGGATGAGTCTCGAAAGCATCGTCAGGTTTGGTGTAAAAGACGGCATCTGCGTCAAGTAGGATGACACGAGCGTGCCTCGACGCCAATATCGCAAACGGTTTCGTATCGTAACCTTTCAGGTCAACGAGCTTCTGATCAAAGGATTTGGTCAGATCTATAGCTTCGATATCGACCCCATCTACGAGATCAAAGAGGTATTCTCGCCATTCGAGTGGTAGGTCGTCCTCTCCCAGATAGGCCAGTTCGATCGGTAAAGTGCTGTTAAGAATTTCTCGCAAGGTTACCATCGTGATCGCAGCCATGTAGACATAATCCTTCCCAACCGGAATAACGATTCCAGTAGACTGATCTTCGTGCGGATCCCGGTCTTTTCGCCATGGAAAGTACTCAATCTTCTCCGAACTCCAAAAGGAGAACAAATTCGTGACCGCTGTGCTCAATGCAGCTGAAAGCTCCGATGTCGAGCTGATATTCTGCTCGGCAATCTCTGCCAACTTGCTCACCATGCGAGCCATCTCGCCAAAGTCCCGAGTCTCTGTAAAGTTCCCCATCTCTGACGGTATGATTTGCACGGGTGAGTGGCTCGCTGGTGCGTCTTGCTGCTGACTTCTCATCGGACGCAGGTATCCAACAAGATAGAATTGTACAACGCAGAATACCAGAAATCCGGCCACGAGTGGGCAGTAATAACGGCGCATGGGCGCCCGCGCCATCCTCATGCTCGCGTCGCCGTGCCAGGCGTCTGGATAGGATGGTCAGGAAAGATGATGGCGAAAGGTCGACGGCACGTTGGCCTGGTTGCTGCTGAAAAAACCTAGTTGTGTCGTCTACCTGCTTGTCGACATGCGTTAGCGACTTCTACCGCCCCTGGAGCTTCGCAGTAGCTGCGAAGGTGCGAAGGCTGCCACGTTCGTTCTGGAACCATTACCGGCGCGCCAGATCCACTGACCCACTATTCCCTTTCCGTGGTCGGATGGGACACTGAGTTCACACTAGTTCAGCCACTCTGCAGTGCAGGCGTCCATCCTCCGGAGAGTTGCTATCGGGCCCGTGACTTCGATATCCAGCGTAACCCTCACTGTCGCACGGACTCCAAACCATGATTAGACAAGCGAGGCGAGCTTGCGAGCGAAGTGAGTACTCGGAGCTGCGAGCTTGCGAGCAATAGCGACGACGTACATTACCCGAGCGCGTGAGGCATATGCCCCTTAAAAAGATAGTATTATTTCTTTTAGGCAACGAACGAGCGCAAAGCGCCGTAAGGCGCGCGCGAGAGAGGCGGCAGTGTCGTTCGGACGAGGTGTCGGACAGGCGTGTAATTGTCGCGAGTCTTACCCTACCCTAAAGAAGTCACGGGCCCAATAGTAAACAGTCACGGGCCCAATAGCAACTCTCCATCCTCCGTTGCTCTGCACACAACACACCAGATTGTGTTTCTCATCATCAATCTGTGTCGCGTCTTGCGAGATGTTGATGCAAGCGTCATGATCAAGTCTAAGGGCTCTAGAACGTTGCAGCATACCGACTACGACTGCCGTGGTGCAGGTCGTCAAAACACTGTTCTGGTAGGTGCGATCACTGCCTGTGATATTGCGACTCATTCAACCGCCCATTGGTCTCGTTTCAATGAACTGGATCACAGCAAAACCCATGCATGGAGAACCATCGTGGTCGGGATCTATGGTCTTCTACCTAACGTGTTGCTGGTGTTCCACCGCTTACTAGTCTGCAAAAAGATGATCTTTCATCCGTCTTGCCAGATCAACGCACCTCATATCGACTCTTCGGAAGCCCTCTGCTGCCCAAATGACGAGGAATGTCATAGCAAAGTAGCCGGGTAGAATGAGCCAAATGTCTCTACGTGTCTCGCCAAAGGTTCTCACTGTCCATGGCTCAAAATACTGCTCCCAGACGATCCACCGCACAGTATTGTGCATTGCATATATGCCAAAGGAGAGTTCCCCAATGAATTGAGAGAACGGCGTCTCGAGCGGTCGCCGGAGCAGCGATGAATGCTCCAAGGCATAGCACAAGAACAGTGCCCCAATAGCCTGTGGCCAATCGTTCTTGGCCGCCCATGAATCTTTGTATGTGGGTGGCATGAGCATAGCTCCAATGTTGTATGGAAACCGCATGTCCGTGGTGATGATGTCAGGAGCAGCCAGGAAAATAATACCAAGGTAGGCCAGAATCATGTAAGGCAATTGCCGAAGAAACTTGAATTTTGTCGGCAGAGCCGAGGGGTTCCTCCCTTCATTTCGGAGAAAGTGAGTCCAGTCAGACCACTTCGATTCTCCCGTGACGACCTGGATCCCAGCTTCCTCGACCTCAGACAAATCATGTTCAAGCTTTCTAGAAAAAGCAGAGTCGTCTGCATCCGGTACACACGTTGTCAAAGTTGTCAACTTGGCCTGCTCGTGTTCCGCCCGACCCAGTTGACGGTCTGCCAGCCACATGCCGAATAAGAACAGTCCAGCGTAAGCAGTCTGATACCAAAAGCATGCCACGCTTGTCGCCAGTGTCACATACCCCCGCTTCCGTGCATTCATTTTGCAAACTGCCGCACAAAAGAGGAATAAGAACATGCTGCCTCGAAATTCGACAGGAATGGTCCATAGCTGAGGAAGATAGTGTCCGCCTTGTGCCTCAACTTTCCAATGGGTCGTGACATGGGGAAACGGGTCGATTAATCGCATGGTCTCGCAGATCCAGTGCCAGAGGTTCCCGAGATATGTCGATTCCAACACACCCGGCGCTTCAGTTTTCTTCGCGATGCCGGTTGAGAAGCATACCATCGCAATGAAGGTGGCAAAGATGGTGGGAAGATACAGCCGGACATGGCGACGGACGATGGAAGAAGCAAGAGAGTCGAGTATCTTGTCAGGTTGATTTCGGTGCATGTTACGCAGCATCGTATAGCTCAAGGCGAAACCAGAGATGACGAAGAAGACGTGGACCATAGGGTGACCTTTGTAAAGGACCTGGAAAATGGCCAATTGCATGAAAGCTCTCCCTTCGGATCGCCATCCCGAGGATACTGTGTGGCTGTTGTACACTACCCAAGCAGCGTATCCTCGAAGGGCGTCCAAGTAGGCAGTTGAATGGAGTTCGTGAGCTTCTTTGTTATGTGTTGGCCGCAGAGATCGAGGGAAAGCTCTTGCCACGCCTGAGAGAAGGACTCCGAGGGTGCGTCTTAGCTTGTGAAGTCCAGTTCCGGTCATGGAGACTGCTGTAGAGGCAGCCATAATGTTGGCGGTGATAGGTGATGGATGCCGGTCAAGGCCATACAGCTTCGCGCAACCACACAAGCGGCTACGTTCGAAGAGACGACTGTGACCACTGAGCGGTATTCCAATCACGATAATCTCGGCCTGCACGTTGCGGTACTTCCTTGAGCTGCAAGACTCCAGGCTAGGGAGGCGAGGGTTCGCCAATCCACGGACCTGCACCTCAGACCCCCAAAGTCTATTCTGGCTGCTTGAGATGAAAGTGTGGATAGTGGCGCATGGTCAGTGCGGTCTTGCTGACGCTTAGAAAGTCTATCTGCTATGCCACTTCTAGACCGCCGAGACAACGTGCTGCGGTGGAAGCTCGTGCGCCCCGGCGCGCCACCCGCCGACGATCGACGTGCAAACATGGGTCACAGTGCCGACTGGGTAATCACTCTGTCAAGTGGTACTGTTCTCATGTGGCAGCTAAGATCCCCCATTGGCAGCGCATTGTGATGGTACACACAATACAAATATGTGATACGCAGTGTCCAGTCTGCTTCGACAAAGAGTAATCTTAGGATCTGCGAGATGCTGCTCCAACTCCTCCCCCTTCGATCGATGATCTCTGGAATCCGTCGTAACAGAAACGACTTTGTCAAATGCATAAATTCCAGAGATAGCCTATGATGACTGAGAACACCTCAAATCAATCGCCAGCATGCATATCTTGCTCTGGTGAAATCGAAGCTTCCTAGCTCATGATGTTGGATGTGAAGAGAAAAGTGCCTCAGACCTCTTCGAGTAACACGGCTGCAATTGCGACTTGCCTCTGAACACGGCGGAAGGCCTCTGCTCGTTGATATAATTGCGAGACAGATTTCTGGCGCCGTGTTCTCAGCCGAGCGATCGCCATATTTTGACGCTGCACACGACACGGCTTGAAGCCATGGTGAACGAATCGTTTGGTCTTTGTTGTGCGTACACGTGTTGTCTTCAGGAAACCTCGTGCTTCGACAATTCATGATGAGAACAATTTTGCAGCAGAATGAGCAATGCTCGTGAAGGGCTCGTTGCCCTCATACTATTGTGCGTCTTCATCAACCGCAGCCGCCGTAGCCTGATCCAAAGCCGCAATCCTGCTGTAGAAAGGCGCAAAAAGTCCACAGCGATAATTGACCTCTTCTGAATCAATGACAGTGACTCCAGAGCTCAAAACATCACCTCTATTTCCAAACACCGCCATATTCAAATTGCCCTTGGAAGTCTGATTGGTTCCAAGCATCAATCCACCATCCACATTGATAGCTCCCTCCGCTCCAACACCTCTCGCTGCACCCAATACTTGCGCAGGAGAACCAGTCCCGACCGCATTCCATCCCGGTCCTCCAGCAGGATTCTTCGCAAAACGTGCCCAAGCACTTTGCATCGTTTTCGATAGTGCATACTGTTGTACAGTCGTGTTGATTTGCGGATATGTACCGAAGACCAATGGGATTTCACTCGAGTGAAAAGCGCCAAGGGCTTGGAAACCTGGAACCGGCTGGGTATTCGAGAACGAAGCATTGAAGCAGTATTGCCAGGTAGGAATGCCTGCGGCAGCCGAGGCGTTGGCCCACGAGCCTGCGGTGCATTGGAAGACGTATTCGGTGTAGATCTGTGACAGTTGGTCGTATCCAGTGGGACCGGAATCGAGAGCGTCGAGAGGATATGCAGCAGTGATTGTGTTGATCAGAGAGCTGGTGTTACCGGTGATCTGGTTGAGAAATGCTGTCGGGGATGTTTGAGCAATGTTGAAAACGCGGCCTTCTTGCGAGTTCGTGCCTCCCATGACGGGAATCTTGGGGATGAGTCCATCTGCACGTCTCTGCGCGGCATTGGCGTACAAGGTTGTGTTATCCAACGTCGGATTGAACCTCAGAATTTGTTGTTCGATGACTGTCTTGATTGTCGTAGCATTCGCTGCACGGATGCATGTCAAATTGCTGCTGTGCGTGGTTGAGCAGTTGAGTGCTGCTGCCAGCTGGTCCCACTGCTGGTATGTGCTCGTTTGCGGTTGGGCTCTGTATGTCGACTGCCCACTCTGGAGTATGGCGCCTCTGAAGGGCACCTTATCTTCCTTGTTATACGATGTCAAAAGGGCATCCACAGATCGTGACCCGGCAGATTCGCCAAAGATCGTCACTTTATCAGGCGAGCCTCCAAAGTTGTGAATCTCGCGCTGAACCCAATCTAGAGCAGCTCTCTGGTCTAGGAAACCGAGGTTTCGCTCAGTGATGGGGAGTTCAGGAGAGCTTGCAAAGCCTGGTAATTAATTCTTAGCAAAGTGTATTGCGGGTGATCTCGTTCTGTATACGTACCAAAGACATTGGTGCGGTAATTGAAAGTGACCTGACGAGGGGAGTCATCGTATTAGCGAATGAATTCTGCGTCGTTTCTGTGAAAGGCCACTCACAACAATAACATCCTCGTATGCAGCAAATGAGCTGCCATCGTAGAACTCTTGGCCCGCATTACCAAACTGTAGCGATCCTCCGTAGATCCAGACAAGCACTGGCCGACCATCGCAAGGCGCTGGTGTGCTCGGTGCATAGACGTTCAGATAGAGGCAGTCCTCTGACTCTTCTGGAGCGGGGTTGTTGAAGATGAGCTTCGTGAATTGCGCCACCAGCTCAGGGTATGCAAATTGCTGAATACATGCTGGCTTGAATGCCGTTGCATTGATCGTCTGTCCTGCTGCTTGCACCGGTGCTGGAGGGGCGAATCTCTGAGGCGGACTTTGAGCGAAGGGTATTCCCAGGTATTTGTTGACTGTGGCAGTTGCTGCAGGCAATAACGTGGTTGTATCATGGACCACCCCGGCGCTGATCGTGGCGGTTGGACCTCCCCCATTGTAGCATGAATTAACGGAAGGCGAGGACGGTGTCAAAGATGGAGCAGTCGACTGGTTATCGTCGCAGAAGTTCATCTCTCCGTTCCGGCAACAAACACTTTCGGAAGTAGGCTTCCAGACAATCTTTCCCCAGTCACACTGTCCAAAATAGCGATCACCATTGCATAGGATAGCGCCATGTTCAGTACAGGTGCCAGTCTCTGGTGAATCGCCTGGATGAACCACACTCGCGGGTGATTGGCCGACAGCACGTCCAGCAACGCCCAAGGATAGAAATGCTACCGCGTTGTGGATTCTCATCGCGCTTGAGTTGAACAAAGATGGATGTGAAATTTCAAGCCTTCAGCATAGTCGACGCCTTGAGAGTTATGGGTGTTGATCGTGTCTTTAAACAGCAGATCCGGATGAATTGTGATGGTTCAGAATCCTCCATGGCTGCCGCCATCCTCCTCGCACTCGTACATTCTCCAGCCAGCCGAGGCTTGAAAGGGGTGGTACACGGCCCGCAGACACGTACGTTGCGGCAGCGCAGTCTTCTTCCAGAGAGATGGACTTTGCCAAAGGAAAATTTTGGCTTCTCGTGAGGTCTGATGCCGATTCACTGAGAGAAAGTTTGTCCTTTCCCCGCAAAGGAGCGCCAGAGGTCGGTGTAAGAGCTGACCGAGCACCGACTTACTGGGATGGTGGTCGACACGATTGGCTGCAAGTGAGCGGGGGATGGACGCTCCGCAGCCGAATTGTGGAGTCCCCGCCATTGTGCATTGCGAGGCTCCTGTGCTCTCTTGGGCTGGAGGGACCGACCATATGCCAATATGCAGCCTCAGAAGTGTCGATTGCAGCCTCGGACCTTGAAGACAAGTCGCTTGGTGCATCGCTTCCGGAGCAGAGATCAAAGGTTCAAATGATGCAAAAGGACTGAAAATCAGCCTCCAGTAGCCGTTGGCATTTCAGACAATGCGAATCAATGGGCTGTATGGGACTCGTCAATGAATCCGCAGAGTGGATTTGACTGCCTGGCGTCCAGTCGAGAGCAAAGCCGCCATGGCTCACTTGTGTTTGGTCCCTGAATATGTTGAGGTGCCAAATTTGGACCTGTAAGAGTATATGCCCAAAACAATTTCCAGCCTGCCCAGCTTCAGAGGCTGGATCTGGCCAGAAGTGGGTCTTGGATATTGCCCTGAGCCATGGCCGCAAGGAAAGCTTGCTCCGAACGGAGTCGAAGTTCAGGCTGAACTCATATGGCTTGGACTGCACCATAACTCATCCTTCTCGCACTCGTGCATGCTCAGGCAGAGGGGATGCCATTGTGGACAGGATATCATCGACCGAGGCCTGAAACGTGCGGGATCTGGACCGAGGGAGGATGCACTGCGGAATCGCAGATTCAATCTCGGGCAAATGTTTGATCTGGTGAGGCAGAATGCAATCTTGCAATTGCAGAGCTGATCTCACGGACTGAAGTCCGTCGTTCCCCCGCACGGAGGTCGGGCGCCGACTGTCTCCGCTAGTTAGCGCGAATCCACACGCGGACGCGCCGTATTTCATACCATCCCAGCTGTTCACAAATGCTCTTTCTGGTCACGGACATATATGTAGGAGCGTCTTTTCTCACCACACCCGGCTTTGCGCCCATCTCCCGAAAATGTATGCGACCGCAGTCGACACATACACGACCAACCGCGGACGCCTTTACTGGTAGTTCTGCAAAGTCGCAATCGCGACATCCTCCAACGCGTCAAGTCACCGCGACTTCTTCAAACGCGTCACGCACCAGCGACAACCGAGATTTGAACTGCAGTCGGGATCATCTGCGCCGTGGCTTGTGCCTGTACCGAAAAACCGAAAATAGGCAAGGCTGCCATGCGTGAGCACCACACTGCTGAGGGTCAGGAGAAGGGAGAGAAGAGAATGGCGAAGTGGGGTTATACAGCTAGTAGGAGGTAGGAAGGGATGGACGGTCAAGGTCGTGCAGGAGGAAGAAGAGAAGCTGGTAGAAATGTACAGTGTTGCGAAGATCAGCGACAAGATCCTACAGCTAAATATATGAAGATTGTCATATCAAGCCACTTTCCATCTTCCGCCACGAGGTTGCCGCCATCTTATGCCATCGTTCTCATTGCCCGTCTGAATTTGAGCTCGACCGTGGTGATCATCTCCTGCATCATGCCGATTGCCTCTTCAATGTCTCGTCAACCCTGGAACAGAACTTCTCTGAAACTCCACTTGCCTCTTTCCCGTTTTCGGAAACGTGGAATGCTCATAGAACCGATGGGGTCGACGTTGTTCCACAGCTTTGAAAAGTTTCATCGCAACGACTTTGGCCGCATCTTGTCAATAGACTCCGACCATTGGTTGGGTCGAACGACCCCGGGACACCGAAAAGATCCGCCAATGTCAGTTTCTCGGAGAGACGTGCGGCAGCCCTGAAGACGGTCGGCCTCGCGCTCCTTGCAGAATGCGTCGTTGTTGATATGATTCGATATGCATCCGACCCTGCCCTGCTTGCGTTTTTGGGGTCTTTATTTCCGCATGACCGTACAAGATGCAGCAGCCCTTCGTGATATTCACAAAGTTGGCTGACATCTCACTTTATTGGTTATTCTGACGAACCACAGATTGAGGTTTCGAATCGATTCTGGGCAAGTTTCAGCTGTCCAGATTGCCGGTTGTGTGGTTGAAAAGTTTTAGGAAATTTCTCTATTTAGCTAGCAGATCCTGGAACGTCTTGTGCCTTGCAGCGGTAGCTTTTCGCAGGCCCGTAGATTAGATCTTAATGCGACGGGACCGAAGTGATCAATTTCTTAGTGCCAACGTGCCGTGCTTAACTCGAATGCTGAATTGGACTCCTCCGACAGAGTTGTCGCGTGGAAGCCATGGAGCTTTGGTTCGTACTGTACTATTGTTCCATGCACGGCAGGAGAACACATTGCACTATTTCGTGCTACGAAAGAGCTGTGCCGCGACACGAATGCGATCTGCAGTCCCCAGCTCTGTATGTGCCCATGTCTCGGTCCCTCACCGAGGCATGGGAACTGGCATCTGGTCGATCTCATTCAAGACATCTCGAATGCTCTACTTACGCATGAATCGGCGACTCCGACAATACTTTCCTACGCTATCCTGCCTCTTCTCTAGACTCACCAGCAGAGAATGTTTTGACTTACCGGAGACAGAGCCAGTTTGCCGCGATGACTTAAACAACGGACATTGGACTCTGGAAATTTCCTGGATATGACTTCTTGGCCGTAGCTCGCCTCGGCAGCTTCGAACCCTCCAATCCTACAGAGCACGCTATGTTTGGTGGCGACAAGTCGGCTACCAGAAATACACATGCACTAATATCTCAGACACTCTGCTGTTGAGCTACTGCGCCTCTTCACTAAGCTCAGAAGCAGAGAAAGTCTTGTGGTTCTGGAGCCATGTCCTCTTTCTCTCGATCACTCACCGCATCCAAGAGGGCTTGTCACGGCTCGATTTCGATCGTAGCCAATCTTGAAAGCTCCAATGGCTCTAATTGTGCGGAGAACTGTATTTATGAACAATGTGGCAACGCATCACTCTTGCCAGAAATACTACAGGCCTGCTGTCTTTCTCCAGTGGTTTGTCTTGCTGAATTCCCGCATCAATTCGTCATTAGATGGCTCTGACAGACTCGGAACGGCGGGGATACTAGACGCTCGTTGCGTGGCTCCAGTGCTTGATTTGGCCGCATATCCGGACTAATTTCATCATAGTTGGCTTTGACGGGGTCACAATTACAGAGATATTAGGGGCATGCTATCTTTCTCCGGCGGTTTGCTTGGCTGCATTTCTGCATCGACTGGACACTAAATGGCTTTGACAGAGTCAAGATTGCAGAGATACCAGAGGCCCGCCGCGTGCCTCCAGTGCTCTATCAGGCCACATCTCTGCACCATTCTGATATTGGGTACCTCACAGCTGGGTCATGTTGCAGAGACACTAGAGCCTCGCTGTCTTTCTCCGGTTGTTGATTTGGCTGCATTCCCACATCAGTTTGACACTCAATGGCTTTGACAGAGTCAGAACTGCAGAGATACCAGAGGCTCGCTACATGTCTCCAGTGCTCCGTCAGGCCGTAACCTCGACCGTTCTGATATTAGGTGCCTCACAGCTGGAGCATGTTGCAAAGGAATTGGGTGCCTGATGCGTTGCGGACAGCAACATGGAATCTGTGGAATAAGCTCACTTCGCGGAATCTCTCGCAAACTTGATTCCGTAGCTGCCTCGCGTGTCGAGACAAAGCGCCTTAGCAATGCCACACAAAGCGGAGATACGAGCTTCAGGAACAGCCAACGCTTTATCGAACTCAGGATCCTCCTTGTTCTTGCTCTTGGGAGGTGGCGGTAATTGCCAGAGCTCTACCTTCACCTCCTTGCCCTTCGCTGTCATCAGATCGTTCACGTACTTGTACACTTAGTAGTCCTCGGGCTTCCAGACCTTCTCAGAGTCCGAGCGCTACTTGAGGTTGCATTGACCTGCTATATACATGCCATCGTTACACCTGAACGTCAAGATGTACACGTAAGAAGGGCCACGGGGCTTATGCTCGAGCCGATAGTCCCTCAAAGCGCCTTTGCTAGTGGATGGAATGTCCTAGACAGCTTTGTTAGGGACACGGTCATCGTTAGGCCACGACAGCTCTACTCTCACTGCTGATGCTACGTCCATGTCCACGAGAGAGCAGTTCATCTTCAGAGAGTCGACCAACTTACGCTGCTTCTCTAACTCGATGTTCGCAAGGAAGGTGTGATCAATGACGAAGTGGGCGGGAAGATCGGGGTCTACGACCTTGATGTGATTGCCGAGCTCCTTTGCATCAGAGCTTCCTGACACACAAAGGACGACCATGATAGTGTCTGCTGTTACGGGCAGATCGTCCCAAGTCTGCGTCTCCTCGTTCCAGTTCTTGTGGAAGTCCTTGATTAGGGCCAGATGGGAGTAGTACTTCTCAGACGGCACAGCGTTTGGGTCGGACTCAGGCGCAATGTTGATGAAATCTTGAATGCGGGCGGCGACGTCTTCTCCGTGCTGGTCCGCGAAAGTGACTGGCGTGAAGGCGGCGTACTGTGCGTTATACGCGTCATTATCGATGTTAACCGACAACTCGAAGCCGCCTGCCGTGAGCGAGAAGCTGGCGAAGACTTCGCCCAAGCCGCCGAACTTGTGTTTGAGGATAACAACTTCGCCGTTGTGTTGCATAGAATAGCAGACGTCAACGCAGAATGTCTCTTCGTCTCCTGACTTCTCCTTGCGCAGGGTGACCTTGTCCATTTGTCCCACGCTGGCGTCGTAGATTCCGGCATCGTCGAGGAGCTCAATCAGGTCGGGCTCCAAGAAGCTGAGATCGAGACCCATGGCTGAACTGCCAGAGCCTTGATGTCTTCGAGGGTAAGCAGTCTTCAGAAGCGGCGAGACCTTGACCGAAGTTGGAGACTCAGACATGATGGCTTGCGAGGAAGTGCGCAGATTGATGCGTTGGTTCTTGGGTGTGTGCGATGGGCGAAGCGCCGAGTGCGTCGAGAACGGTGGTGTATGGACTGCCGTGGACTTGCGAGTCGCGTAGGCAAAGGGTAGGGAGTAATAGTGGGCTACCGAAGGAAGGGTAATGGAATTGGGGGTTACCATGTACAGGTATAGCTTGTGAGTTGGGCATATAGCTGCGTGCGCTTCGAACCCTCGATCGATCTCAATCGCAGGGTGCTCACAGGAAGCCGGCCAGGAGGCTTACAGTTGTCCGAGATGGCGCGGATGAACAGCGCACCTTTATGGAAGACCACCGGCTGTGCGAAAAAGACAGCTTGGTTTGCTTTCCAGTCCTAGTACCTTCCATATTGATGATGTCCTCGTTGGCTCTCCGCCTGTCAAACGAGAGGAATAATCAAATGGCGCCTTCGAGCACTCGCTACATTGAACTTCAATGACCTGGACCAACAGCTCATGAAACTCCTTCCAGCACATCCAGACATCTAAAGATGACTTTTGCATACTGCCAACGACTTCTTCTCTCAAAGACAGTCCGGGCCCATGTAGTCGCCATCTTCGGTTCTCTGTCGGGGATACCAATAACTTCCATGACGCCTTCTGAAGCTTGCTGCAAGCACTGCCATGCCAACAGAAAGACTCGATAGGCAAACAACAACACCCATGGGGGGTCTCCGGCGTGCTCGGACGCTGCGTCCAGGTACCTCAAGAACCAGTCAAAATGCGGCTGTATTGTATGCAGTATCTCTGCGCTGAAAGTCAGGCTGCGTGATGCCGCAAGGTAGGTTGAATGTTCCAATGCAGCATCAATACTGGAGTGTACCACGCCGTCAGTGTGTGAAATGGACCAGATGCGGAGGTCTATCATGGCCATTTCCCACGTCGCTCTGAAGCTGATGTTGTCTGCGATGCTGGAAGTCTCAGTGCCATTGGTGGACTCATTGTAGGGCGAGATAGTGTGCAGAGAGGCTTTGAGTGGCTCCACTCGGTCCATGCTGACACAGCCGGTTATCGAAGACCACCCGGAAACCTCACGAATGCTTGATAATGCGAAGTGTGCGAAGCTCGTCAGGCCGAACGGATCGGAGGCTGCGGTGATGTGCTCTGCCGGGCAGTCGCTCGCGAATATCTGGCGCACGGCGCTGCATACGTGGGACAGGAGCTTGATGTCGGCTGACGAGTCAGTCGGCGATAGGCCCACTGAGCGGACGTGGGAGCTGTCCAGTCAAGTGTCGAACACGGTAGATCATGTTTGATCTCAAGATGGGAGAGCAAGCGAGGAACTGAAAGTAAGTGGTACCACAGAGCGTCCATTTGATGCACGGCAAGAATGGTGCGCTTACATGATTCCGCAAAGGCGAAGTGCTCCCACACGGCTTCGAGGTCTTCGGCCATGGTTTCATCTTGTTGTGGCCTGGCTTGTAGAAGCCGGTGGGAGCGAGCCAATGTGATCAAGCGAGTATGCAATCTAAATCCAGTTGCAGAGTGGCGTCCGCAGAGGTAAAGCACTGCGCAGATCTCGAGTAGGAAAAGACTTTGCGCCAGGACAAGGGCATCTTTCGCATCGCTAACTTCGACATCGTCAATGGAGTCCACAAGAGCGACTGCTCGTTCGTAATAGTGCATGGAGGTATTCGCTGCCGAGCTGGTTTTTTCGTTGTATTGAAATCCGATTGATAGCATACCAAGAAGTAAGAACTCTGGCACAGCCGCAGGATCGAACGTGCCCTGGTGAATTATTGGCAACGATGGCGCAAACATGTCGAAGTAAAGCTTAATGCCATATTTTGTATGCGTCTCCAGGGAAGTCCAGTCTTGCTGAACGTCCATATTCTCGGATCTTGCGCGCGGCTGCGCGCCATAGTCGAGCAAAGCTGCCGATGGAGCTTCGTACGAGCCTTGATTGCTTGACATGGGAAAATAGCCATCGTGTGAAGACCAGGAATGCCCGCCAGGCGAATCATCGAGCAGTACCTCGTCCTCATAGCGGGATCCCGCACCAGTACTGTCGTCGGTCTGGCATGGCTGCCAGTCTCTGCTTCGATCTTCGGGAGATTCGAGGTCCAGTCTGCTGTCTGGCGGGCTGTGGGGAGCCAATGCCACCTCGATCGACACAGCAGCATCTGCAGCCACTTGACGTCGTGTCATCGAGGCTCCTCCATCTGCCAACTCTGGATGCTTCCTTTTCATGTGGCGATGCTGGAGATCACGTCGCGAGAAGGTCGTCTCGCATATAGAACATGCAATGGCTCTGCCAGGACGAGGCGGCCCATGCAGCGCTGCGTGCCGTTTGAGGTTCTCATGTCGAGTGAATCGTCTCTCGCAGATGGTACATTCAAAAGGCTGGTTGCTTGTGGCGTGGTTTGGAGACATGGCGGCTTAGGTTGGAAGGACTCTGTGGGCAGATGCCTTTGCGCGAGCATCGAGCTCCGCCTTGAATGAGATGCCCGTCGGCATCTGGCGGCCCAGAATTACCCAGAGTTCATTGGCATTACATAGTGTGCCTATCGTGATGGCCGCTGGCCGTGTGAGATACTTATCTTTGTCGGCAATGGGAGAATCAGGGAAGGCGGCGCCAAGCCTCGCAGGGATTCTCCGCTCGCCTCCTGCTCCCCGCTCTTCTCTTTTGCATCAACTTCGGCAGAGGCATCATCGAGAATGGTGTGAATGTGCGCCGAAGCAGGCTGCCATATATGGCCAGCCTCTAGCTCGCGTCTACAAATAAGGAAGCATCGACCTTACGAAGCACGGGACGACCATGGTTCTGGGCAGCTACGCCAGAGTGATAAGTGGGCATCAAGCCATAAGTACTGAAGACACGATTTACACTGCGTCGATTTCACCGCCTCTGGATGCTCCTACACAGGAAGCACTACTCTGACGCCCATGTAGTCTCGCTGCTGCATCAGCTTACCATTGACCAGCACCTGATCTGCTCCAATCCGGTTGCGAACCGTATCAGTCGGATCTGTTGCAGTTGCGATCTGTATTTCTCGCCATTCTCGATTTGTTGGCACCTCCATTCCCATGGCTCTTCTTCTGGCGAATTCTTTGTATACGCCTTGGTCTTCGACACAACCTTCTCGCTGGATAAGTGGTGATGCTACAGGATCTTGGTCAGCAAGTGTTTACAGAGAGGTGCTGAATTCGGACTTACTCGCAGCCGGTGTCATGCGCAGGTCGCCCACAGAGCTGTTGAACAGTACCAAAGAAAGTCGCTCTTCGTGCTGCTGGTCAGCTGGCGGCGAGAACACTCGATGACGCGTGGCCTTGAAGTGACCGCCAGACACAATTTCGAGAGTGTCGCCAATGTTAACGACCAAAGCTCCAGGCTTGTAAGGCACATAGTGCCACTGCTCATCGCGACCCCAGATCTGTAAACACGAGATCGGAACAGAGAACAGCAGAGTTGTCAGGCCAAAATCGGTATGACCATGCATTCGAAGTCCTTTCGAAGCTTCCTTGGTCGTCTCCTCTACTGGTCGGAAGAGCGCATGCCGGAAGTAGCCTTCGCCTGTTGGGCTGCCGTGCGACTGCACATTCTCCCAGAGGTAGTCATCTGGAAGTTCCAGCACGCGAGAGAACAATGTCAGCAGTCTGCGGTTGACTGACTTGGTGAGATACTCGCAAAAGACGGTGATCTCGTCCATGAATGGGTGCAGGCACTTTGGTACTCGGTCCAAATTGTCCCAATCATCCTTGTACCAGTTGAATTGCTCAATGCCGTCTGGCATTGCTCGATGACGCTGATGAATAGATCAGCAAGCTGTTATCACCTGAAAGCACGGTACTTCCGCTCACCTTGAAGCCATACGGGTGCTTATATCCCGACCATCGACCGGTATCCGGATCGAAAAGCAGCCTTTCCTTATCTTCTTCGGTAATATTGTGATACAAGTACTGTGCCAGCGCGAACTGACGATGAAGCTGTTCTAGCGATACGCCATAGTTCTCCAGGAAGAGGAAACCATCGTCTCGAATGGCTGTCTTGACTTGCTGGACAAGACCTTCGACCACTGCAGGATCCTCGGAGTCAAGAAGCGACAAGTCGATGGAGCTCAGCTTTGCAAACCTTTCCTTCTGCTGTGTCGCTGGAGGTGGGATCCAGTCTGAAACGAAAGGCTTGCCAGTTTGTGTTGGCGAAGGAGGGCTGAAGGGAGCTGTTGGCGCCATCTTCGATGCAATCGATAATCTGATGTTGACTGATGTGCAGGTATGTCTGAAGAAATGCGAATAGTAGCAATCATCAGCCCTGACAAGCTGTTATATGCTTGACTCCATCTCTCAGCTTTTGGTGGCTGACAGCTGCGGCAGATCCGAATGTTGCCATATCGACATTCCTATCTGACATCTTGCCGACTTTGCTGGATCGACTAACAACTTCCAACGACTGATCCGGTATCTGGAGCTCATGCTCCTTGATGCTCCTCCGAACTGCTATCAGTGCCAATGCTGAGCTCCTCCCTGCTCCTCCGGGAGGAGCTCCTCCCATCTGCTGCGGTAAGTGGGTCGCCTTGCATGACATCTCCACATGCACGATCTCCATGCCAGTGAGCAACATTCAGTCTAGTCGAGGGCGCAGCTGATGGGGTTCCTTATCTGCATTGACTGTGAATGGTGGTCATAGGGTTGGATCACGTAGCACCGAAAACCGGCGTCCTAGGCTTGACCGAGCTACAAAATTTCCTATCGTCCTGGAAATCGCCTTCATACCTGCTCGAACTCAACCCTCTACTCATCCATTCTTTGCTCAACACGTCAAACCAACACACAATCAGGAATCATGTCTCGCCAACTGATCTCGAGCGAAAAATTCCCTCCCAAGCCACACAACTGTCAGTACATCAACCACAACATCGATTCCCATGATTCGAGATCAGATTTCTAACAATACCCTCAGCCCCAGCAACCAAAATCCCCGGCCTCGTCTTCTGCGCCGGCCAAACGGCAACAGGCGAAATCAAACAAGCAACAGTAACGCTCCCACCTCCCCACCCACCTCCCCTTCCCCACCGAATCCTAACACTTCAAACAGCGCACCGTCCTCCAAAACCTCAAAGAAGTTCTCGAACTCTCCGGATCCTCACTAGAACAAGTCGTAAAATACAATGTGTATCTAGCAGATATGAAAGATTTCGCAGCGATGAATGAGGTGTATATTGAATTTCTGCCGAAGCCGATGCCTTCGAGGTCATGTTTGCAGGCTGTGCCGCCGGGAGAGGGGACGGTGATTGAGATTGAGTGTATTGCGCAGGCGTAGAAGAGAATGTTATTATTCATAGAAGCCCGGAGGCAGAATGAACATCATATGGCAATTAGCGGATGTGTGTTTTGGGCTCTTCAAAAGTGAGGGGGATGATTCCATGTATCTTAGAATGATCTTTGATGGGAGGTTTCGATGAAATGTAGATCGGTTGGCAGTGAGAGTGAGATTGATTGAGAGTTGAGGCATGTTTCCCAACGATTATATTCAAGACTTCCGACGCTGCGAGACTGGTTGTACATGTTTTGACAGAACGATTTGCTAGCTAGACTTAGGTCTCGTATCAACGCTTTGTGACATTGCATTTAGAAAGAGCGCGATACCGTGGCTCATCTGGTGTCCATTCTATGATCCTCAATGTAGGCGTAGCGCCCAGGTAAAAATATTGCATGAATACGACGAAACACTTGATTCAGAAGCACTGCGCATGAACGGCTTCCACGAGTAGATGCTGGTGTTCACTCGACAAGTCTTGATGCAGGCGTTACGCCCAGTGACTCTACTGCATGAATGCGATGAAACACTTGATCTGGAGACAGTGCACTTTTTGCGCGTGATCTTGCCGGGAATAGTTGGAACAGCATCAAGGCCACCGGAAAGTCCACAAGGCAGTCTTTGGAAGACATTGAACCTCCATCTGGTTGGATACACTCTCCTACGACCTAGCAGTCACCAACTCACTAACATACCAATTCTGAATCGCCTTCGTATCACCCGTCATAGCCACAGTATCATACTTCCCTCTCGCTTCTTTCGCTGTAACACCATTATTCACCATTCTTCCCGCCCACTTCCCATGTCTCCTCGCCGCACCAACAATTTTCTCGATCGCTTTGACGAATTCTGGCTCATCTCCTCGAGCTGGCACATAGCCCAGTAAAGCTTGCGCGAGATCATTAGGTCCGATGAAAATCAAATCTACGCCTGGTGTAGCAGCGATCGCGTCGACGTTTTCCAACCCCTCGCGAGTTTCGATTTGAATCATTGTAATAATCGTTTCATTCGCGGATTTCATGTATTCTGGTGTTGTGAGACCATGACCGATAGCAGGAAACGCCGATCCCTGGCCTCGAATTCCTTGAGGCGGAAACTTAGATGACGCTACGACTTGAGCTGCTTCTTCTGCTGTATTGATTTGAGGGACCATGATGCCGTGTGCTCCTGTATCAAGAGCCCGCTTGATGATATCGTGAGCTGGACCGCGAATTCGGATGATGGGTGACACGCCGAGTGCGGAAATTGCTGCTACGGAGTTGTGCATTGCGTCGTCTCCGATGTGGCCGTGTTCGCAGTCGATGATGATGCCGTCGAGGTCTGTGAGGGCTACGATTTGGGCCATGCGGACGGAGGGAATTGCCATGAATGTCATGACGGGGTAGTCTCCGGATTTGAGCTTGTTGAGTAGTCGGAGGCGATCATTTTGGACTTTTGTGGTGAGTGGTGTTGCAAATTCTGGCGAAGGCGGAGATATGCTGCCCATGTTGTTAAGATGTACTGTGGACTCTTTTGCTGGGAGTCTGCTGCTTGGAAGGATACACCAAGAGAAAGATGAGGGGGTGCTGAGGACGAATTTCTTGTAGATGGAGGTGGGAGTGCGCTTGAAAGAGGACAGTCCTCAAGATGTACTGCCCAGAGACGTTGACTTCCTCGCCGATGTCGAAATCACAGAGCGGAGCATTTGACCTTACCGGACCAATCGCGCTGTCTACATCGCGATGACTGCATCGTTCCTCCGGATGCACACTGCGTACGGAGCTCAGGCTGCTGCGTACCTTGCATGATGCGTCGCTGAAGTAGTGTGGAGAAGACCGGCAACTGCAGATTTGGGAGGAGGAGGAGTTGGGAGGAGCTCCTCCCAAGCTTGACAGGGATCCTATCTTTCGGGCCGGGGCATTGCCGTGAGCGTCGGCCTTCGTACTCCTCCTCAACTTCACTTACCATCGACAAGCATTAGCGGAGTCCCTGGAGTACAATCGGCTTCCCAGAAGTACTTGCTGTGCGCCTTATCATCAGATGAGGAGGAGTTGCAAGGCAGACGGCATTGGGAATGGCTAGAGTGTAGACGCAAGCCACGTCCTATCCGAGGGTCCGTATCGCGCAGTAGGTAATGTATTGATAAGTGATAGTCATATAAGGTTCACCAAGAGTGTGTTGTGTAGTATGCGAGTGAGGTATCTCTGCCTCTTTCCGATACACTTCTCTTCGCTCCACGAACAGTCATGGCCAGCGCCATCTCTTCCCAGCCGGACAAGGGGCCCAGTATTGCTGCAACTCCTGGAGAGGTCGACGCAGACAAGAAACCTCAGCTTGATGAAGGCGAAGACAACGTCAGCACTGTCGGCGTTGGAATGTGGAAAGATCTCAGCCACTTGCCCAATCCTCGCGAACCCGCAGCAGTCCACAATCTCAGCCATGAGGAGAATGCCCGCCTCAACCGGAAACTGGTTCGCAAGATGGATCTCATCATCTTACCAACAATCGGAATTCTGTACATCCTCAACTATATCGATCGTCAGAACCTCTCTGCTGCCAAACTGCAAGGCATCATGGACGACTTACAGATAAACGAGCAACAATTCGCTACAGCAATCTCCATCTTATTCGCAGGTTACCTGCCTTTCCAGATTCCCAGCAACCTAATCATCACCAAGATTTCGAGACCAGGATTGTACATCTGCTCCGCTGCAGTGATTTGGGGCGCGATCTCGGCGGCGACATCTGCTGTACAGACATATGGCCAGCTCCTGGCAGTACGATGCGTGCTTGGAATTGTAGAAGCGGTTTTTTTCCCTGGAGCGATCTACTACTTGTCTGCGTGGTACACGAAGAAAGAGCTTGGAAAGCGTCTTGCTGGACTTTATATTGCGCAGCAGGTGGGCAACGCATTTGGCGGACTCTTCGCTGCTGCTATACTCCAGCTTGATGGAACGCATGGGATTGCGGGCTGGCGATGGCTGTTCATTATCGAGTAAGTTACCATGTGCTCTGTGGTTGCTTGGCCTGATGCTGACTGCACTCACCTTCAGAGGTTCTGCGACTGTAGGAATCGGTCTGATCTTTGCCTTCATTATGCCTGAGTTCCCTCACAATTGTCGCATGCTGTCCACAACCGAGCGAGAATTGGCGGTCTGGCGTATCGAATCCGAAGCAGGAGCGGCAGAAGGCACGGAAAATGAGAGTGTCCTCAAAGGCTTCGCTGCCGCGTTATCGGATCCGAAACTCATCCTACTCATCCTCTGCAACATGTTCTCCCAAGGTCAAGGCTCCATCGCAAACTACTTTCCGTCTCTAGTAGCTTCGCTCGGCTACTCGCGAACGATCAGCCTGCTTTTGACGGCACCGCCATACATCCTTGCCGGGTTTGTGTACTACGGCATCTCCTTCTTCTCGGACAGGAAGAATACGGTATATCCCATCATCCTGGTGTGTATCGCCATCGCCACTGTGATGTACATCATTCCAATGTCGACTCAAAACGTCGGAGCTCGATACTTTGCGATGATGATCCTGCCATTCGCATCAGTTGGACCACAGATTCTGCTTTTCAAGACCATCAACCTGCATCTAGCACGGCCAGTCTCGAAACGTGCCGCCGCTTCCGCTCTGGTCAATGCCATTGGTGGGACCTCCAACATTTGGTCATCCTACCTGTACTACGCACCTCCACACTTCTATGCGGCATTTGGAGCGCTCATGGGCTGCGCTTTACTTTTTGCAGCCACGATCAGTGTTTACCGCTGGCTTGTGCTTCGTGAGAACAAGCGTCTTGATTCTGACAAACCTGAACTCATTGCGAAAGTCATGAAGGGAGGAGTGACGCAAGAGATGGTGGAGTTGAGATGGAGGTATGAGATGTTCTAGGCTCAGTAAGCGTGATACGAATTCGAATGCAGATTTCCATGAGAGAATGAGCTTTGCTGGATTGAAAGTTCATCTCAAGCTTCCCGAAAAAGCTCCAGTACCATCCGTCTTATTCGTGTTGGGGATGCTGGCTTGACTTGTCAATTGCGGCTAATGGTGCCGCTCGTCCTGCCAGGTCTTAACCCAGACGACAGCTTGCATCTTCCCGGGCAGAGCTTCTTCACGCCTGCTGTCTTGTCTGCAATCAACTGGTTAGGGGGGCCAAGACAGGTGCCTCTGTAGTTCCGAACGCCAAGATCATAAATGTCGGCATGACTGTGGTAGAGAGAAGACGAAAGGAGACGGAAGATAGAAGTTCGCCGATGGAGACGAGCGAAACGACATCGCCGATAAAATCGCCGCAAAAACGTTTGTCCGATCCCGACCCTGCGTCATCCTCCAGCAAGGTTGAGAAGGAGAGTGGTGATGTTCCACGACAATCTCCAAACACCTCAACATCAGCACACACAAGGACAAGCGCTCTATCGGGCTGACCATCGGCAGGCAACGGCAGCAGTCTTTGTCCAATATGGCTGACGAAAACACCCCGGAGACATGTTGGACGCCAGGCATCGTGCATATCGCCCAGATGCCTCTCGGCCCATCTTCACTCATCTTTTGGTGACTGAACGCACTTGATTACAATATCACAGCTCTGCAATACCGTATACCCAAAGCTGTAGCGGTCGATCGTGGACGCCAGCTACCAGGTGCCGTCGAAACAAGCGCCGTCGGACATACGAAGCGGCCGCTCGGATTACGAAGCACATCCGCAGCCCTCACCCACATTGTTCCGCTGACTACACAACCAAGCCTCACAAAAGGAGCGCCAAGATCACATGCTGACGACCAAGCCTACCACATACCGGCACTAGCACGTTTATGCACAGCGCATCACTTTACATAGCCCACTAATGCACTGCATAGACCTCTAATGCATACATAAGGCTGTGTATATCTTCGGATCTGCGCCATAAGCGAGCCAGTGATGACTCTTTGAGTTCTCACGCTGCTTCGTCTGAGCATGGTACCCATGGCACGCCATCTGCCAAGCAAGACGGTAACGACATTCGTCGGCCTCGATCCGCAAAACAAGTCACCGCGGGCTCGTTGAGCTGTTTATATGCACTGATTGTTCGTCAGCCCGATGACACCTTGGCCTATTCGGTGTTAGTCCCCATAGGCTGCTCAACGATGTGAGCGATTTTGAGCATGGCTGCCTGGTGTGCTACGAGGAATGCGACCTGGCTCCGTCCTATATGCTGCCAGCAACCGGATCGGCAACCTGAAACCTTTCCGACTCCGTGTCCGTTCCCCTGCACGCAAACCATGGCGTACAATGGCAGCACGTCCACAGCACCATGCTGATTAACTCACGGGAGATCGATGTTTGCGGTCTCCGTTCTCAGACAGCGGGCGACCGGGGATGGTCAACATGCTATACAAAAGTCTCCGTCCTACACGTCTAGCCAGGCTGTACAAATCCGTGGACACCCTTTGCTCGGTGGCTGACTTGAAGACTCGTTGTGGAAGGAACGCCGTTGTCCTTACAGCAGCACCATGAGTCAAGGATCAACGATGGCGGTGGAGGAGAAGAAGACGGACAGCGACGATGGCATCAGCCTCACAGAGCAGGACGAGCTGGAGATCATCCGTCGACACGACTACTTGGAGCTTGAAGATGCAAAGACTTTAACCCATTTGGCCTCGCTAGCCAAGCAGCAGTCAATAGGCGCTCTCAGCAATGCCGCCTCACAGTCCAACCCGAACGCACTAGATCGATATGCGACGTTGCAAGGGCTGCAACCGGACGATGATGTTTTTGACCCCAGCAGCGACAAATTCGACCTCTACAAATGGATTCGATGGAACACGAAGATGACAAACGAAGAAGGCATCAAGGTCAAGCGTACAGGCGTAGCTTTTCGCAATGTCAACGTGCGAGGCACTGGACCGGCTCTGAACATTCAGTCCACCGTCGGCAGCTTACTCACAGCACCATTCCGAGCGGGTGACATGTGGAGATCAAGAAAGAAGGTACCCCGTCACATTCTCAAAGACTTCAACGGCCTGGTCAAAAGCGGCGAACTTCTCGTCGTTCTTGGACGTCCTGGTGCAGGTTGCAGCACGCTGTTGAAAACTCTTACAGGAGAGATGCATGGATTGCAAGTGGACCACGATACGGTCATACACTACAACGGCATCGAGCAGAACAGAATGATGAAGGAGTTCAAGGGTGAAGTGATCTACAATCAAGAAGTGGACAAGCATTTTCCACACCTGACGGTATGCTTTCCACGTTGAATGTTCTTCGCGATGATTGCTAATGGCGCTACGCCGTGATAGGTTGGTCAAACTCTCGAGCACGCTGCTGCACTGCGAATGCCACAGAACCGCCCGTACCAAGGCTCGCGACAAGACGCCGTCGAGCATGTCACCAAAGTTATAATGGCCGTGTAAGTGCCGCAATCCACTGAGCGTAACCCAGCTCTGACCCAGCCTGTCCAGATACGGCTTGAGCCACACATACAACACCAAGGTCGGCAACGACTTTATCCGAGGTGTCTCAGGAGGCGAGCGAAAACGTGTCAGCATAGCAGAAATGGCACTGGCCAAGCCTGCTGTTGCAGCCTGGGTGAGTTCCACAGCCCCACGTTCTTGCTATTGCGACACCGGCTGACCATGATCAGGACAATTCAACGCGAGGTCTCGACTCAGCAACTGCTCTCAAATTTGTGAAAGCTCTCCGTGTCAACGCAGATCTCGATGGCTCAGCGCACATCGTAGCGATTTATCAAGCCAGTCAGCCCATCTATGATGTCTTCGACAAAGCTGTCGTGCTGTACGAAGGGCGACAGGTATTCTTTGGTAAGGCTAAAGATGGCAAGGCCTACTTCGAGCGCATGGGTTGGTACTGTCCTCCTCGACAGACAGCGGGAGACTTCTTGACAAGTGTCACCAACCCGGGCGAGAGACAACCGCGTGCCGGATACCACAGCAAGGTCCCACGTACGCCGGACGAGTTCGAAGCATACTGGAAGAATAGCCCTGAGTACCAGCAACTGCAGCGCGAGATCGCCGAATACGAGCAGGAAAAGCCCATTGGAAACCCAGAGGAGCTACAGGACTTCCGTGATTTCAAATCTGGTGTGCAATCACGGCACACGCGCAAATCGTCGCCATACACCGTCAGCGTGCCTATGCAGATCAAGCTCAATACCAAACGCGCATTTCAGCGTATACTAGGCGATCCACCGGCCACGGTCGCGCCCATAGTCATGAACATCATCATGGTGAGTACATCCAACATCCCAACTTGGTCGCTCATACTAAGCCGCACAGGCACTTCTCATCGGTAGCATCTACTTTGGTGGTGAAGATGACACCGCGTCTTTCTCCGCTAGAGGAGCGACATTGTTCTTCGCCATCCTGCTTTGCGTGTTCGCCGCCATTAATGAGGTGAACGCCTTATACGAGCAGCGACCCATCGTAGAGAAACACAAGTCCTACGCCTTCTATCATCCCGCCACGGAAGCGATCGCAGGGGTCGTAATCGACATTATCCCCAAATTCCTGCTTGGGACGGCGTTCAACGTGGTTATCTACTTTCTCTCCGGATTGAGGGCTGAGCCAGGAAACTTCTTCCTCTACTTCCTAATCACTTATATCGCGACATTTACCATGGCGGCACTGTTCAGATCGATCGCGGCACTGTCGTCTACCGTGTCGCAGGCGATGACATATTGCGGAGTCCTCCTACTAGCGGTCGCAGTGTACACCGGGTTCATTCTTCCTACGCAATATATGAAAGACTGGTTTGCTTGGATTCGCTGGATCAATCCAGTCTTCTACGGATTCGAAATTCTGGTAGCCAACGAATTCCATGGCAGGGAGTTCGATTGCGCTGTCTTTGTCCCGGACTATGCGAATCTGACAGGAGACACCTTCGTTTGCTCATCGCGTGGTGCGGTGGCTGGCCAATTGACGGTACAAGGCGATGCATTCATTGATGCCGCTTTTGGGTACACTTATGACCACGTCTGGCGAAACTTTGGGATCCTCATCGCGTTCCTGATCGGATTCTTGTCGCTGTACTTCACCATTGTGGAACTCAACTCGACGACTGCATCGAAAGCGGAGGTCCTCGTATTTCGTCGCGGGCGCGTGCCGGACTACTTGAAAGACGCCAATGCGAAGAAAGCAACCGATGTCGAGGCTGGCGAACCGGACAGGGCGAAACCCATCAAAGACCTCAGCACCGAGGATGAGAAGAGCAACGACAGCACGAGTGATATCCAGATCACTGCGCAGACGGACATGTTTACATGGCGAAATGTCACCTACGACATTGAGATCAAAGGTGAACCTCGACGTCTGCTTGACGACATTAGTGGATATGTCAAACCTGGTACACTGACCGCCTTGATGGGTACCTCTGGTGCAGGAAAGACGACTCTACTGGACGTAAGTTTGACTTTCGACTATACAGCTTTCTGCTTGAACTGACACGCATTTAACTTTAGGTGCTCGCTCAACGTGTCAGCATGGGTGTCATTACTGGCTCCATGTTCGTCAATGGTGCCCCTCTTGATGCAAGTTTCCAGCGGAAAACAGGCTATGTGCAGCAGCAAGACCTGCATCTAGACACAGCAACAGTAAGAGAATCGCTTCGCTTTTCTGCGCTCCTTCGACAGCCAGCAAGCGTATCCAAAGAAGAGAAATTCGCATATGTGGAACAAATCATCAAGCTCCTTAGCATGGAGGACTTCGCCGAAGCCGTCGTTGGTGTACCTGGTGAAGGACTCAACGTTGAGCAGCGCAAGTTGCTCACCATTGGAGTCGAGTAAGTGCAGCCCGTCTCTGTCACTCGCATTCACCTGCTGACTGACAATCCCACAGGCTTGCCGCGAAGCCCAAGTTGCTCCTTTTCCTCGACGAACCAACAAGTGGACTTGACTCTCAAAGTGCATGGGCTATTTGCTCTCTACTGCGAAAGTTGGCCGACAACGGACAGGCTGTCTTGTGCACAATCCATCAGCCCAGTGCTACATTGTTTGCAGAGTTCGATCGCCTTCTCTTCCTCCGGAAAGGCGGACAAACAGTATATTTCGGTGAGATTGGACAAGACTACAGAACGCTACTCGACTACTTCACCAAGAACGGAGCCAGGCCTTGCGATCCGGAAGAGAACCCTGCAGAGTACATGCTCGACATCGTTGGAGATGAGAAAGCAGACTGGGTTTCTACGTGGCGACAAAGTCCTGAAGCCGAACGACTTCAGGACGAAATCGAGGAAATTCATCAGACTCAGCGACAATTGACTTCTTCCAGCGATGACGACCATGCTATGGCGCAGTCCGAATTTGCCATGCCGCTCTCTGCCCAGATGGTCGAAGTCACGAAGCGAGTGTTCCAGCAGTACTGGCGGATGCCGGAATACATTATTGCGAAGATTGGACTTGGATTCTGCTCGGGCCTGTTCATTGGCTTCTCATTCTACGACGCCCAAACCTCGCTGCAAGGAATGCAGAACGTCCTCTACGCCGTCTTTATGGTCGTCTGTATCTTCACCAATATCACAAACCAGGTCATGCCGCTTTTCGTCACGCAACGCGCTTTGTACGAGGTCAGAGAGCGTCCAAGCAAAGCATACAGCTGGAAGGCTTTCCTACTGGCGAACATCATCGTCGAAGTCCCGTGGCAAATCCTCTCTGGAATCTTCACCTGGACAGTCTTTTACTACCCCGTCGTCGGCGCCGGCCAAACGGTAGAAAGACATATCCTGGTCCTCCTCCTGTTCATCGCATTCTTCATCTATGCTTCCGTCTTTGCGCAAATGTGCATCGTCGTCATGCCAGACGCTTTGACAGCAAGTGCGATTGTCGTTCTGCTGTTTTCGATGATGATCATTTTCTGCGGTGTCATGCAGCCTCCAAGCCAATTGCCAGGATTCTGGATGTTCATGTACAGGACATCTCCTATGACTTACCTCATCTCCTCCATCGCGATTACAATGCTTCACCAACGACCGATCGAGTGTTCATCAAGCGAGATCAACGTCTTCCAACCTCCAGCCGGACAGACTTGTGGCGAATACATGGCAGACTACATGACCACCGCGAACGGCGTGCTACAGAATCCTCAAGCGACGAGCGATTGCGGATACTGTTCTCTCACGACCGCCGATCAATACCTCTCGAATGCTGGAATTGAGTGGGGGAATCGATGGCGAGATTTCGGACTTGTGTATGTTGAACCCAACCATGTTGACCCTCTTGTGAATTTTGAAGCTGACATTCGCACAGATGGGTCTATATCATCGCCAGCGTGGGCATTGCCGTCTCGCTGTACTATGTGTTCAGAGTTTTGCCAGTGCAGAGAAAGCGAAGGACTCAGAACGTCTCGCAGGGAGAGACAAAGGAGAAGAAATGAAGGGGCTTTTGGGTAAAACGAACAATTAATGAGATATAGATTATAGAAAATTTGTATCAACACAGAGGTTTTGAATACACGCAGGTTTGCTGCGAGGCGAGCTTCGAAATCATGCCCGCTCTTAGGACAGGACCGATTTTGCCACAAATCGTTCGAATCCAATCCAATCTTTGGTCTCCATCATTTCTATCGGACAAGAGTCGCAGGATCAACTGGGCTCACGTACTTACCGCCAGAGCCTCTACACATTTGGTGTCTCTGATTTCCATGGCCAGTGACTGACCTGCTACATGGCATCCATCTGTAGTCCTCTCCTCATCTCCAGAGTTGCGGAGCACACCGCCATAAACCAAAAACGCGATCCCTGTCTCTCTCTGCACAGACTCTTCGCTTGACATCACCTCACTTCCTCGATCTCAAGGCACGCGGAACACTTCTGCAAGTTCCCGATGACTTTGTGGAAATAGCGAGATTGGGTGCGCGGAAAGATGCATATCGATGTCCACGTCTCAAGACCATAGACCATCGGCAGCCCGCAGGCTCCCGAGCGAACCTCCGAGCCTGCCGCAAGATCCATTTGCCTCTTTGGTCGCGAGATGACACTGTCTCTTTGGCGTCCAGAAAGTTCGCGGCTCGGAGAGCTCGTCGATCAGCACATCGATGAACGTTTGCGGCGGCCATTTCGTTAGGCCGAAGTGGTGAGAAGCCTGAAGCAGAAGTCAAGCCACATGGGTTGGAGAGCATGTCAGGTTCGACAGTGCCTCAAACGCGATGCGAGCACCGCCGCCATCGCGAGAAACATCCACGTCTGCTCGTGTCTGGTCTGAACTTACGATGAGTCTACTTCTCGCTTCTCACTTCTCCTTTGAGGCCGTGAAGACATGATGGCGCTGGGGATTTGCCATCCCGGCAACGGCGTGCCATGTTCTCGATTCACACGATTGCCACTGATCGAATGTGGCTTGGCGGGGCCAATCTACGTATCTGACACCTTCACTTGATGGGCCTCGACCTGATCAATGCGTCGCAAGTTTCGATGAACTCATTCTCTATCGGCTATTGGCATTACAGCGCGCCTCACGGGCACTCAAACTTCTTCTGCTGTGAGCAGCATGGCCATCCTCCACATTCCCTAGCATTCTCTGAACCATGAATCGGCAATAGACCAAGTCCGTGCCACTGATGCTCAGAAATGACTCAGATGTCATGGCACTCGTCAAGCAGTAAATCGCATCGAGGCAAGGACCGGACATGGTCCATGCCTCCAGTCTTCGCCTCAAGATTTTCCGGCAAAGGCCGCACGAAGCCACGAGTAGACGTCGACAACCTTCGTCGGACTCCACGGCGAGAGACCAAGCATCATTATCATGGATCTTCGGATACTTCTATGGCGATGGCTTGCATTTCTCGCTGTCTGGCAATGCGTGGTCCAGCCTGGTCACGCCCAAGATCTTGCGACTATTACACCTTGTCCGCACTGCAGCGCCTCCATTGCACCCAAGCCTGTCGCGATCACTGCTCAGTATCAAATGGTGTCAACCTGCGAGCCGTCTACTTCGACAGTTTTCCATCCCTACACAAAGCGGCACAAGACTGGCGTTACATCTACGATCAAGACCGTCCCCTCGTGTAGCACATATGCTTGGGTGTCTACGACGATTCCTGTCTATTTGAACAAGACGAAGACCATAACTGTGGTGACTACAACAAACCAGCCGGTCACATTCGAGGAATTTCGCTACACCGTGGCGCACACCACGACAATTACTACTCCCCAACGGCATCTGCCAAGAATTGGAATAAGCTCCAATGGCACAAACCTGAATGGTACATATCACAACTCATCAAGCCCGACCACTGCGATCAAGGTTACCCACACTACGATTAATGTCAAGAGATACTGCGAGTACGACTCCATCGGCCCACTGGCGATTTCAGGTTATGGAGGAAGCGGGCTTTGTCCGGACTGTGAACCGCATGCCCACAACGCTCTCACACAGCGACTTACAGTCATTTCTTGCTCCGATCGGTACTGCACAACTTTCAACGAGACCTGGATCGCGTCACCCACCACGTGCACTGCGAGTGGCAATACTCATACCGTCACCACGACAAAGACGAAATGTCCGATCGCTGTACATGAGACGGCAGAGCCTGGATATGCGCACTCGCTCTCTGCACCCACAACCACTCGTTCGACTACGGACAAACCTACGGCAAAGCCATCCAAACATTCCCAGGAACCTGCTCCCTATTCCGTTGTCCCAACAACTGGAAGCACAGGCTGTACGACTTCCTCCCGTTCATCAACACATTCTTCACCAATCACATACATTACTACCACTATCACTATGACCGAAGACGAGCCGGAGCCAACGGAAGGATATGGTGGTGGAGGAGCCGACCCATCTGCTGATCCATCGGCGGATCCATCTGGAGATATGGGATACGAGCATCCAGCGCCTACTGTTTACCATCATCATCGAACTCATTCCTACAAGGCGTTTGAACGACGTGGTCTCGAGCAGCCGCGAGGACATGTCATGAAACGTGGTGGTCTTCTTTTCTGGGGCTCGTGAGACGCTTTTAGGCCTGCAAGCATTTGACGGGCCTAAAGTCACATCGTCAGACGGTATGATGATTGGATTGGACGATCGCATCCCCAGCGCAACGAGATCACTTTCTTATATTCAATTCTTTCACTTCATTAGCTCTGGTTGCAGACTTTAGCTTACGGTCGCTGCAGATGTGCCTTTGCGCCTGACCACAATGATGCCTTCGAAAAGTAGTTTGATCACCCATACGGAATCATCAACAATCTGAAGAAACTCCTGGGCGGAACCTTGCTTCACTTCTGTCGTATCCATCTACATCTATGGCCCATAATCTCAACAACAGAGAGCTTTCATTAGTTTGACCGAGTGGCGATTTGTTGTGCTAAGTATGAGAGGGCCGTATGCGAGGCAAAGTGTCTCGGCTATCGTTTGACCGTCTACTTCTCCTGAACTGTAGAGAACAAGCCACAAAGCCACAAAGCCACAATCTAATGAACTTGGGCGCTTCCAGCGGTTTCGCCCATCAGTCTTGTGGAGCTGGACAGGGACCCGAAGAAGCCCGAAACATGCATGTTTCCGTCCGCAACAAATATGCAGCACAGCATTTGCTCGATTCAGCCTTCGATACGACCGGGCTGCGTATTAGACCATTGGCGAATGAAGAATGGCGCTCTAAGATGGCGTGAATGACATCGACTCCAGCAAAATCTCGCCAGAAGCTCTTGCCGTCATCATCCAGGCCAACGTGGACGCCCAATGGGCTCTTCATGGATCTCGAGGACACGTCGTCGAGGAGCTCTTCCACGTTGGTTGATTCTTTTCCCGGCCATTGCGCTACTGTCCCTCCTGTGGTCGACGTCAAGGTTGGCATCGCAGGTCTGGGATGGCGATGTCTCGATCGCACGACAGCCAAACGATTTTGACACCTCACAAGCACCTATCATTGATATCACAGAGGCAAGTACCAAACACAAGGCAGGAATTCCCATTCAAGCCGATCACAAGGCGGGCCAAAAGCGAGGCAGCAGCAAGTCCACGAGCCGCCCCATCAGCTCATCCGTTGAAGCACCTCCAAGATCATTGAACGCTCCAGACACTCCGGGGTTTCCATCATATGCGAAATATGCTGCTCTTGTGGAGATTGCCGATACACTGCCGGATATAGTCTATATTCCCTTTGAAGATGCTGTCCAGAACGATACTCTGGACGGATGGGAAGCGGAGTGGGTTGTCAACGGGACGTATGATGTCAGTAAATGGGGTCTTTTGAGAGAGTCTCGCATAGACTTCGTTTACACCTGGGTCAATGGCTCCGAGCAGGCCTTCAGAGACACAATGCGCCCTTATGAGCTCAATTCGACGCTCAACGACGACGATGGCACGTGGCTTGGCAGACACGGCGAGAATCGTTATCGGGATTGGAATGAGTTGAAGTACTCGATCCGAAGCGTCGAGAAACATGCGCCCTTTCGGAACAAGATTCAGCTCTTGGTCAACTCGTTGAATGACAATAACGATTCTGGAGTTCCAATCAAGCAAATACCCACATGGCTGGACGAGAGGAAGGTTGGTGGCATCTTGGAAGTCCTCACGCAGAAAGACTTCTTTGGAGAGGAGAAACGAGGATGTCTGCCAACGTTCAATTCTCTTAGTATTGAGAACGAATTGCACAACACAAAATCCGCTGTCGATAGACTATTCGCTTTGTCCGACGACATGCTTCTTGGTCGACTGCATGCCGCTTCCGACATCTATTCACCCCTGTACGGTCCGCTTTACGCCTTCAAAACCAATGGCTACAACACACTGCATGCGCCAACCGAAGCAGATGCCAAAAGATTCGGCGAGAAACCCTGGCTAATCTACACGTCGTGGTTGTTGAACAAGAGATTCGGCTCTCGAAAGCGAAAAGGACAGGCACACTTTGGACATTCACTTTCCCGCAAACTCCATCGAGAAGCTATGCTGTCTTTCCCCAAACCTGAGCTACAAAGTGCTTGCAGCAGGTTTAGAGGGGACTTTGGTTTCCAGCTTTACAGCTGGTACGCAAGCTTTCACTACGCAATCGAAAGACATCGAGAGGTACTGCTATGGAGCTATCTTATGCACCGATCAGATAAAGATCACAACGGGTATCTATCATGGCCAGAACGAGAACAGGTTATCGAAGATCTTCAAGATGGCCTGCGGAACATGGGAGGCTCATACCGCACGCGGCACTTCTACCATCTCCCAGAGACACTGGAAAGTGCAGGCCTAGATCCTCCCAAGGTCAATCTCGACATTCTATGGACTTCGATGGACGGCCCTCTCGCGATAAAAGACGTAGACTGTCTGAGCTTCGATGTGAACGACTGTCTTGCACCAGGCTTTTCTGCAGAGGATATCACGAAAAGTTCCTCCAAAGCATCAGTCTTCTCGACTGCTGCGATTCTCGATCGCGCAGCACGTCAGCAGCCCGAATGTGGTGACTGCTTGATTAAAATCTTACTTCATCGGCAGCGCAAAGGGTTCGGTTCCATGATGCCTCTTTCCACAGATTCAAAGGAGTTCGGCATTGTGGTCAAGGCATTGATGCGGTATCAGTATGTCGTTCATGAGCCTGATGCATTGTTTGTCATGGTTACCGATGCTGAACAAGTGGAAACGACGCTGATCAAGAGATTATTGACCAAGAAGAAACAAGTCGGCCAGCTATGCTTGAATGACGATATGTCTACTCACAATCCTGCAGAGTTGCGAGATCTGGCAGAATCAATGACCAGACTATTTGAAGGCCTTTGGCCCAAGGCTAGTCGATTCGAGCGGTCGTGAGAACACATCTCTACTGGAAGATGGCCTCACATTACGCAGGATAGCAACAAGTGATCCATTGATTAATCGATCAACCACAGCTTCAGCAAGTGCTTTTGCTTGCATGGGCTGAGGAGGCCATCTCGTCAGCATCAAGCGGTATCTTCCGAATATTAAAGTTCCTGTTGTAGCAGAGTGAAGTTCTCTACTGTTAATCTTCTGCTCTTCGCTCATGACGAGACCGACCTCCGGAACACGCCAGAACCAGCGCACGAGACTCCTCTCTTGCTTTGACGCAATAGCACCTCAGCCACATGCTGGCTCCCGAAACACGATCGCCAAAGGACGATTGCAGTTGCAACTAGATTTGATCTGGACACAGCGATCCGGAGCTTCCATCTATTGTAAGGTGGTCAGGGCAATTGTGGCGCACAGAATGTGCTAAACAGCTTACACTCGCCCTCTCTAGCCTTGAAACAAGGAAAGATCGATTGCGGCCATTGTGATGTTGTCTGCACACACTCTCAAACTCTGAACTCGCCCATCACAGCGACCTCCCGGCCTCTATCGTCTAGCATACTCGCTGGAAGATCGCGAAGATGGTCCAACGGGCAACACTGCTCATGTTATTGGCCCTTTTCGTGATTTACACCTCAGTGGAATACGTTTCGACGCGACAAGTACTCTCACATTGCATTGAACTCAAAGATCATAGAGAGACACAAGTACTTCCAGCCACCTCGACTCCCAGTCAATCGGCAATCAGTTCTTCCACTGGATCCCGTCCAGAATCTGGCTCGACAATGCAAGGCAACGCACAGCATACGATGAACGAAGGGCACGAAACGAAAGAAACCAGAGTCGCATCCAAAGTCGGCAAAGTGATGGTTGTCTATGGCACACTAGCTGAATCAGATATCACCAAGCGAGTGGTCGACGGCCACAGACAGCATGCACTTCTCCAAGGCCACCCTTTCCAGCTCTTCGAACGACAAGTTTTGGATGGCTTGTGGACCAAGCATGCGTGGCTTCTGAGCGTCTTGCTCAACGAGTTGCACAAGCCGGAGAAGGATCGCTTGCAGTGGCTGCATTTCTGCGATGCAGATGTCGTCCTCATGAATCAAAATGTGCCTTTGAACACTTTCCTCCCGCCTAAGGACTTCGACCACATCAACTTCCTGATTTCGAACGACCACAATGGCCTGAATACAGGAGCGTTTTTCGTTCGAGTACACGAATGGAGTGTTCGACTATTGATCGATGTGCTTGCATTGCGCTCTGATCGACCAGAAGAAAAGCTTAAGTACTCAGAACAATCCGCAACCGAGATCCTGCTCGACACTGTAAGCAATCCTTCGATTGAACACATTTCGAAAGAACCGCACTAACGTGGATCATAGGAGAAATACAAAAACAACACAGCATTCGTACCGCAGAGATGGTTCAACGCTTATCGAGGACCACGCGAAGGAGACAAGTTGATTCGTGGAGCAACGGTTCCTTCGAACACGATCAAAGAGGGTGATCTCCAATCACATTTCGCAGGGAAGAAGAAGAACAAGGCGCACATTTCTGAGTGGCTGGACTACGCAGCAAACACATCTTCTGGTTGGACTCGTCAACTCAAATACACGACTTTGCCAGCGGAGGTTGCGTTATTTTGGAAACTTGAGAAGGAGAGACTTTCGTGGGATAAGCCAGTGGTGTCCGAAGCGAAGGATAAGGCAATTGGAGGGTAGCATGGGACAATGTTTGTCGGGGTCTGAAGAGAGGAGCTCGAGAGCGATGAGCTGGGTGGCATGGAGTCTGATGGGGAAAATGGGAACCTTGAGTCTGAACACTATAATGGGCAGTTCTTTTCGTTGACGAGCCAGGAATCGACACACAACGCATTCAACATTGACCTTTGCAGGCGTCGATAGATTGACATCCGTGCAAATTTCTGGGCCAAACAGCATTCGATAAATGGCACACCATAGTCAGACAAGATTTCTTCGTAGCAATGCTCTAGCAACGTTGGGCGTGCACTCGGGCTAAGCTCTGCAGCGGCGTGAGAAGCGATTCCACAATACCCATGCGGACGTTAGCCTGGAACCAATGACCTACATCGAGACCAGGAGCGCTGCATGTACCCAGGACTGCGGGCGTTCGTAATCATCGGTCTTGGCTATTTCGACGCTTTGGTGCTCGCAAGTCGGGTAGATATTGCTGCCGTCGGGTGGCTGCATACATCAATACGAAGCTGCAAGTACGCGAGCAGAGTGTTGACACATCTAAGCAGGCGTGTTATTTAAACGAGACATGATTAATGAATATGTGCGACTGGGCCAGAGTCAACGCCTTGGCTTGCCTGTCCCGTCGATCCATCAACAAGCCCCGATCAATCTAACTCAGGAGTGAGTAGCCCCCTCGAAAATGGCGCAGCACCATGGACAATGTTCGCCTACATGGATATCCAGAGAGAGCCCGCATTGCCGTGGAAGGGCTCGACTGGGCTGATCTTCTAGCATCGACTAGATACACCCTGCGGCATGCCAAGTTGATGATCAATACTTGCCCCATCCAACACTGAAGACCTCAATGCGAATTCGACCTGAAGGAGAACTCGGCCATGGCGATCGACCTTACACGCATCTGGCGAATCCAGAGCAAAGCAAGAAAGTCGGCCATCGTACTGCTGTTCTTCACTGCCATATGCCTCCTCATCACGTCATCCACCCAACGCTTCCAACCACTCCCGCCTCTCGTTGCTCTGCATGCAACAGATGGGAGAGCGAACATACTCGAATCCACAACGCGAACCGATATGCCGGAGCTCACAACTAACATCAACACTCTCCAATCCACGACCTCGAAATATGCCTATGCAACTTTTTTCACCGAAGGTGCCGAGAAAGAAGAGGACGACAAGTACCTAATATGCACACGGATGCTCACATATCAACTTCTGCATGACCCAGCAACACGTACCGAGAGATTGGTTCCATTCATCGTGCTCGTCCCTCCAAGCGTCTCACATACAAAACGAAATCGACTCCAAAGCGAAGGCGCCACAGTGGTCGAAGTGCCTACAACGAACTTTTCATGGATGAAGCCAGGTCGTGATCGATGGGCTCATGTTATTCACAAACTCAACGTGTTCAAGCTGGTCCAGTTTGAAAAGGTACTGCTTCTCGACTCAGACGTTGTCATTTTCAAACGACTGGACGACATTTTCGAATCACCGACGACGGAAATCCGCACCAACCTTGGTAACAGCTCCAACGTCAAGGACGATGAAGGACCACAGCCTCAAAGATATCTCATGGCGGGTGACACTTCACCAGAAGAAGGCATTAAACATTCTTGGCCTGCGAAGAGGAGAGCTTCACCAGTCAATGCCGGCTTCGTGGTTCTCCATCCTTCGGAAGAGATGTACGAGTATAATATGCGAATCGCATCGATAGAAGGAAGATTCTTGAGCAGCGCCCCAGAGCAGAATCTATGGAACTACATACATCGACCAGATGGCAATATGCCGTGGAACCGTATCGAACACACGTGGGTCATGAACAAGCCCAAATATGAGGACTACAAGAACGGAATCGCCGCAGTACACGAGAAATGGTTTCGGAGGAGTCAGGAGGACCCGGCTTTGAAAGAGGAGTTGCTGAAGAGCCGTTGGAAGATGGAAGGTTTTTGGGCTAGAGGGCCTCTGTATCAAGTTTAGCGGGCTCTTTTTGATCGCTTCTACCTTGAGAAGCAAGGTTGTCTGTACCTAGATGTAGTCCAAATTCGCGTGGTGTATTGCGTGACGCTACTTCCATTCTTGATCAGTTGTACAGTGGATTTTGATGTTTCCGCCCCATGTGATGTCGATGTTTTGCGCTTTCAAGTCCAAGCATTGCTTGCCAGGTGTGATAAGACGGTTGAGCATCACGAGATCTACAGAATGTGCATTTCTTTGAAGAAATGTCGAAGATATGGTTGGTAGTTATCGTCTCTCCATGCCCCTATGATGATCATCAAGCGGCGCTGCTCAGGCCTGAGGGCAGATATCGTGAGGAATCTCGGAAAGCCTCCATCGAAGGGCTTCTGCTCACTGACTGTGCTCATTGAGACTTCGTGCTTCGGCGATGTCGTGCCGTGCAAGTAGATCAAACAAGCAGAAATCCATATTACCACTCCTATGACGACCACGCGCGACTGGCCGATGCGTCGTAATAACCTGTTTCGATTCGCAAGTATCTCAGCAAACATTGCATGTGCTCTGGTCAAGACTCCGAGGCGAAGATACGAGAAAGCGATCAAGATCGCGGGGCTACCGCACTCAGACCTGCGAAGTTGTTGCTGGAGTTGTTGGCAGCAGCAGCCTTTTGTCTCCAGTGTGATTTTCGGTGGAGTTTCCTGTGTAGTCACTGTGCTATCGCTGTGGCCCTGCTCGTGACTCGCACTAATACTCATTGTGACTTGACCTCAATGACTTGTCATTACGAATATACAGGCTCACATAGATTTTGTTTGGAAGGTCACAGCCCAGCTCAACGCCCACACCCAGAATGTCCAAGGAGGGGTTTTCCACACCTGCGCACAGCGACGCATAACTTCGACGTGGCTTGCAGGTTTCAGCCCTTGCTCCCTCGTCCGATGAATGTGACACTCGAAGAGTATCGCTTGCTCATCACATCGAAGCGTATCTCGGAGAAGGAAACACCAATACTCTGACGTTTTAGTAGATTATTACATGTAGCGAGCCGGGGATTTTGTGCGGGTGATGTTTGTGATATAGGGGACGCATGCTTCCGAAACATGAATTGGCACTGGATATGAGTGCCCGAGACAACTGACGTCTGGATGCGCCACCGACCCGACATGTCGCCCAGCTCCGCGTTGGGACTATCGATTCTCCGTGCCCAGTCCAAACGATCATGACTGAGCTCAAGACCGCCCATTTGTGGACTCAGCTACGTCACGCAGGCCCTGGTTGCTCCTTATCGCGATTCGATGGATCATGCGCTTCGAAACCGATGCAAGCCTTTTCACTTCTCTACAGCATCCAGTCCAATTATATGTGGCACGGCTTGCCGTTGTTCTGCACTAAAGCATGAGGTCACTGAGTGTTGCCGCACTCAGGATCACTCCTAAACTCAACAACCTCGATATCATGGGGGAAAGTGAAAAGTATGGCGTACAGGCCTACTACTCACCGGCCTTGCGATCACTGAACGCATTCCGATCAGAAACTGTGCGCTTCTATGGACTCTGTGGGCTCTGCATATCGTTCCTCTTCTTCTTCTGCACAATGCATGGAGGGCCGCGTATCTACGGGTCATTACAATCAACCATCTCAGATATTACGAACACCACGCTTGGGGTATGGCATACATCTTATCCGAGAGACAATTCGTTGGAGACCAGACTAATAATGAGGTGACTATAGTTCCAAATGATCTTTGTGCTGAATATTGCGTCACGACACGACAAGCGGGATGCGGTATCGATGAGTGCTTCGGTATCTAATATGGATTTTGAGTGGTTAGAAGGTGTTGATGGAGCGTTAATTTCCAACAAAGCGAAACCACCAAAGGTATGAGCAACGCAAACAAGTCGCGATTGTCATTGCTAAGTGGAACTCAGCTGGAGGCGGGGCTTGAGAGGAGTAGCAACACCCTGGGGTGCTGGCGTGCCCACATGAACGCCATGCAGCAGTGAGTATTCTGCTTGTTAGCCTGTTCTCTACTGGCACTGACGGCTATCTGCTAGCATCGTGAAAGAGCGTATAGAATCCGCTCTGATCATGGAAGACGACGTGGATTGGGACGTGAATATTCGCAAGCAGCTTCTCGAATTCGCTAACGGGGCAAGGTTCGTCCAAGGCCCTGGAGGGGCGCGAGGAGATTCCAACAGCCCATATGGAAATGATTGGGATGTTCTCTGTTTGGGACATTGCGGTACTGGCAACTTCAATGATGAGAAGCGCTGGTGGGTTACTCCCAATGACCCTACAGCAGTGCCTCCAGAGCTGTACAAGTGGGGCAACGTACCCAACCTCAGCCCTCCGGCCTTGCGTGAAGGCAGGTTCAACCGCTATATCTATTCTGCTACCGGAGGCAGATGTCTTTGTGCCTACGCCGTCAGTCTCCGAGGCGCCAGGCTATTTTTGAACACAGAGACACTGGCACTAGAACAAGCTCTTCCTGCGGATCGTGGAATGGCTCGATTATGCCATGTTCGAAAGTTCGGGGCGAAATGTATCAGTCCTTATCCTTCGATTTTCGGATCCCATTTTGCAGCTGGGCCTATGTCGAAAGACTCGGATCGACAGACTATTGCAGAAATTTGGCGGAAGGTCGGATTAACCCCACATGTGGTGTTCTCAACCAGACTTCACTTGCAGAGAGCATGATCGGCATGCGAGGTAGTTCGCAGAAACCTTTCAAAAGTCAGTGGCCGAAGAACACGATGATTGCGCAATATACCGGAGATCTGAAGTACCCTGAAGGAGAAGGTATCCTCGTGAACAAGGACCAGTTTGTGGAGTATGCTCTGGTAGAGCCGCAGGTACCAGCATGAGTCGATATCGATCTCAGCCGGGGAAGTGTTGATCGCCAATGACAGCGATAAACGCGTGGGCCAAAATGTGGAGGAAATCTGGTCGCAGGTGTTGGTACATGCATGAGAGTCTTGAGACTCATTATCCGAATGGAATCGTCGATGGCGACGACGGGAAGCCTTGATGTGACCAAGTTGGCGAAGATTTTCTGGGGGTAGCATACGGTATACGGAGTGTTCCATCTATAAAGTCTTTTCTATTTTCTATCATCAGTAGGTTCTCATGCCACAGCGGTGATGTAACAGCGCAGAGTCCTGATCTGTGCAGTCGAACGTGCTTTCCGGCCTTGGAGTTAACCACGGGTTTGCATTGACCTGTCTTTTCCAGATTCCCAATCAGGCGATCAGGCAGATCGTAGGTTAAGAGTCTTGAGTTATCACGATATCGATCATGCGAACGTGACCTCCGCTCTAGATGCCACACTTGTGACCACTTATTTCCATGCCAGTAATCCATTCTCGATCATGAATCTCGGAGACCCACCCGCGCGGGCTTCCAGTGTACTTCGCCAGGAACAGATTTGGAAGCTTCGACTTTCCTACACCTCTTGAATGTTCTCCACAGAGCAAGCAAGAACGGAGTCTCGTCCCGATGATAAGAGTTCCCGAGAACGCCTTGAATGGCTTTGGTCGCTTCCCCCGCGTGGTAGAATGGTATTGAGCTTCGCAAAGTTAGTTCGACTTCGTCAAATCGGCTGCGAATCTCTTCAACTTACGTAAACAGGTGGTGTACAACGTGGTGCTCAATAATCCCGTGAAAAATGTAGCGGCCAATGAACCCGAACTCGCGATCCACAGTCGACAGAGCACCTTTTGTGTACGTCCAGGTAGAATCCTCGAAGTGAGGCACATCCGGATGCGTGTGGTGCAGGAAGGTGATTGCAACGAGCCAATGGTTCACCCAGAGATATGGCACACCATAAAGCAGAAACACAGTCGACCAGCTGGTGATGTCGGCAATCATCTTCAGTCCGAAGACAACAGCAGCCAAGCCGAAGGTGGACAGGCCAACAAAGAATCGCTGTGAAGGAGTCCAGATACAGGCGGAAGGGTTCAGAAGATTCGTATCGCCTAGTCTGTTCTCTGGAGCCCGAGGAGTCGATTTGCTGCCGCCGCTGGCATAGGTCAGGATGTACGCTTGCCAACCGAGCAGCTGGTGAAGAAGAAGAGTGCCGGCTGTGAAAAGAGGCGCATCCTCAGCAAGATGGAGCATGGCAGCTATCTTCTCAGAAATCGTTGGATCCGTTCCTCGAGAAGGCACGAAAGCGGTGTCCTTTTCCATGTGGTTCGTGTACCGATGGTGGCGTGCGTGGGCATATTTCCAGGAGAAGTACGGAACGCCGAGGACAGTGTGCAGTACGAAGCCTACGGAGTCGTTGGCCCAATTTGAAGTGAACAAAGCGCCATGTCCGCATTCATGCGCCAGAATCCAGATGCCTAAGATTGAAGTGAGCACCGCACTGCTGGAAAAGCTGCTCACTCGACATACCTGTGAACATGAGCCCTTGAAGATAGCCATATCCCGCCCATACGAGAGAGCGCAGCCACCAATCTTCTACTCGTGCTGTGATGGCGAAGACACCCAGAACGAGGCCGCTCGCGAGGGTCAAATCAAGAGCGATGTGCGCGCAGGTCCTGGTGACCGATGGCTGAAAGCATTTCGCCGGAATTGCGTCCTTGATCGTCTTCAGCGAGATTTCCTTTGGTTTCGTAGCCATTTTCACGTCAGTATTGGCCACTCCAGGTGGTTGTCGTTGTCACTCCCCACTGCGCCTTCAACTTTTTATTCCTGTGCTCGGTGCCCGGCGATCATGGCGGCGGCGGCCCCTATGACGGGTCTGCCGTCTACCGCCTTTCGTGTGCGTGCTGGGCGAGGGCCTGCTCTCAACACGATCGGCACTGGCATAGCGCTGTTTGCTGAAAGCACAGATCTCGTCCTTAGTCCTCACCTTATTCGTGCACTGTGGCTTCGCAGAAGTCGTACCGGCGCCAACAGCTACATTCCCGATAGCGACAGACGCCAACAGACGGCATCCTCACATTTTCGCGCGCTATCCTTCGACACCGCATCCCCGTCAGGAGGGGCCTGGAGAATGGTCTGCGTCGCCATCACTTCGGTACTTGGTCCCCACACCGCAATCGCGGCTCGGCTGCACCCAGAGTTCTCGGTCTGCCAGAACGTGGTCGTCTTGAAGGCGATGCACTCTAGTATGTAACGTGCCAGGAAACGTGCCATGACTGGTCGCGCATCGCACCATAAAATCCGAGATCTGCGGTCCAAGGAGAAATTTTGTCGGCCCAAGGGTCCGCCATGGCGGAAATTCCGCCCACGCGATCGAAAACTCTGAAACAGGCCGGGATTTTTTCGAGCCAATTTGAACCCTGGTTCCAGTGAGCCGGCGAACGAGCAAGGGAGTGACAGGGGACGAAAAAGACCCTGATTATTAGCCCCATCTGCTTTGGGCCTAGAAAAGCTCACCTGCGTCTCTGCAGAATAAATGCCATGGACGGGCTGGAGATGTGGCTGTTTTCGCATCTCTTGGCTGACTTCGATAAATTGGGCTCGTCATCGAGCTGAGATCGAGTCTGTGATTTGGAAGACTGACACGAGCTACACGACTAAAATCTCCGAGCAGATATCGCATGCCTGCCTATTGTGCCACAACGAGAGGCAGTTCGAGAGTAGCAAGTCTCGATTTTCCTGGCCGCTTTGCTCTGAACCACTCCCATCTGTGCCAATGGAACGTGGCATGACAAGCATAATACTCCAATGGACCTTGAGAAGCCAAAACACTCGCGACCCTGCACCTTGAAATTCGTTCGGCCATCTATCGTCGGTACAAGACGACTGAAAAGTAAAAAAGTCATCCCAGCTGGCGTCGTTCTTGCGCATCACGGCATCTGTTCGTACGTTGCCTTGATCAAGTCCGCAGCCTATTGAACATCAAGTCAGCTATACCCAGCAAATGACCCACTTCTCCTCATACCTTCTCTGCAACCGCATAGGCCGTCGAAGATGTATGTGCGGCGGGTATCAGCGGCATGATAGAGGCATCAATAACACGCAGTCCTTCAACACCATACACTTTGAGCTCAGAATCCACGACTCCGCCAGCCTCGCGCGGCATCATGGCAATGGTTCCGACTGGATGCTGCCATGAACTTTGAGTTTTGTTCCGCAACAACTCCACAATCTGCTCATCACTTCCAGCATCAGCTTCAACATCCGGTATCGTAGTACCAATCTCTTGCATGGTACCAGAGCGAATGAACTCCATGTTCTTGCGATAAATCGCGACCATGATATCGAGGTCCGAAGGATGCATGAAAGTGCCGAAGTCGATAACAGGATCGTCCTCAGGATCCGTAGAATTGATCAAGATGGATCCACGACTCCGCGGCTTGAGATGCACAAACGCCAGGCCTGATCCTCCGTTGTGAGCACTCTCTTGGACAGCTGTCCGGGGCGAACCATAATACTTCAGAAGTATATCTTGCTGCGCCTTATAGCCACGAAGCACCGATTCGCTTGCTCCTCGAGGCACGCATTGAGCCATGTCGACTTTCTTGGCAGCCTCGATAATTGCTTCGTGCTGTTGAGTTACATTCTGCAGTGGGAGGAACGCAACATCGCATCCTCCTGTCGCTGGAAGTGTATAAGCGCCTTGCTTTGCCTCGGTATACAGTTTCCACTGCTCCTGGACGAAGTCACGATGCGAGGCATTTGCTGAGAACAGCCAATCCGGCGTAGGCTCGGACCAGCTCGTGAAGTTGAGCTGCATGATGTACGAAGGCTGATCTTGGAAATTGTAGCCGACTCCTGGTAAGTCTTCCACGACTGGGATACCAAGATCAGAGAGCAACTTCTCGGAGCCTATGCCTGAAAGCAGCGCCAGCTGCGGAGTACGCTGTGCGCCTGCTGCAAGCAAGACTTCCCGAGACGCTCGGACTTGTCGAATGGTGCGGACTCCGTCTCTCGCAAAGTACTAACAGTCCCTCAGCAGTGCCTCCTCAGCTGACCGATATCATTCTCACCTCAACTCCACTTGCTCGCTTTCCATCGAAGATGACCTTACTCACACGCTGCCCAGTCAACAGGTGCAGATTAGGTCTGTGGTCGGCGATTGGCTTATAGTAAGCTGCACTTGCTGAACTTCTTGTCATGCTGTCATTTCTTATTGACAAGCTGGAATGGAAAACTCCAACGGCAAGACCGTTGTCAGGCTGGGGATTCCTCTTGACACCTATACTTTCCCAGGCTCGATACAAGTAATCGATGATTGCAAAAGAGCAAGGCGGATGATAACTCGTTCCCACAGGACCATCGATTCCATGGGCACTTATATCAGCCGGTATCTGATATTGTGCTGCGATCTCGGGAGTTGCTGGCGTAAAGCTCCCGCTCTGGAAGATGTCAGTCCGCTGCTCCGAGGTACTCGAGTACATTCTCATGCTTTTTTGAAATACGGAAACAAATCGTTCCAGCCCCAGCCCGGATTCCCCAATTCCTCCCAAGAATTATAGTCCTCGGCTGATCCACGATTGAAGAACATGGCGTTCACGACGGTGCCACCGCCAACGACCTGTCCGGTGTGAAGGCTACCTGATCGATTGTTCAATCCAGGCTGAGGAATACTGGTGTAAGTTCGCCAGTATTTGTCTGAAGGCTTGATGCCTGGCACTAAAGTGTCTGGTCCGCCATCGTCACTGTTTGCTTATCAGCTCAGATCTCCACAGACAAGGGTGCCCTTGGGCAATACAGGAATCCATATTCGATTACCAAGACGCTGACTGCACGACCAATGTCAACAATGCACATTCGCATCAGCGACGTGGAGAATTCGCTTACTATTAGGGTCCTCTGTCAATCGATTTGCAACGACGAGGCCGCTTGTACCACCTCCGGCTATGATATAGTCGTAGCTAGGCCTCAGATCACTGGCTTCGAGGGTGGTTCCGGGAGACGCGCTAACGACAGTGAGAATGACCAGACATAAGTGCAAGAGAGGAACCCACGCCATGGTGATAGTTGTGTCCAGAGAGCGACTTATACGAACACTCTTCCTGCGGCAGAGCAACTTAAGCACGATGTTGCAGCGCTACAAATCGAACGAATTCGACAAAATCTTGCTTGGGCCATCAACAGCAGGCTTCGCACTTAAGGTATCAAGATTCTTGTCTCGGCAATAGCTGTACCCTTTCCAGATCGACCCCGGAATCGGATCCCTACACAGCCGCACGATTAAAAGTGACAAGCTTAAAGCTTGTTGAAGCTTGAGTTGGTACAGAACATTGAGGTTCTATCAACACAGTTCAAGCTGTACGGAGAAACCGGCGGACCTTACTAGTCATGCATGTTCTAGGCTGCTGTGAGTGTCTCCAGCTCGTCGCTTGCTGCATCATGGTGAGTCTGTGCCACCGGAGCCATAGACTTACTACTTTCCAAGGAGATGCTGAATTTTCTAGCAGCTAAAGTGTGCATCTAACAAATTTTTCTAAGAACCACAATCTGCAACAAGCTACGAAACATCGATCCGAGCTCAGCCATTCTAGCAAAAGCAAAGCAGCCCATTCGAATCTATGAAAGGTCCTCCAGCTCACTTAAAGTAAGCCTCCGCAACAAGAGTCTGCCAACTCCCATTAAACCCATCCTGCGGCCTCCCAAACCTTGTCCCATTAGGAAGTCTCATAGCATAATTCGTACTCGGCCCAGCACACAACCCATACAACTGCAAATTGCTAGGCGTCTGTTCAATAACATTAACATTCGCCTGAACATTACCATCTCCAAAATTCCAGCTCGCACTCGCATAGCTAACGATATTGCTTCCGCCTTTGAACCACTGATTCATCGTCATGCGGCAGACAGCAGGAGCATTGTTGCAGTGATCCCAGCTGGGGTCAGAACTTGTGGGAGTGAAAGGTCCTGGTGGAGGGTCGCTTGGAGCACCGGAGCCGTTTTGGGAGTTGCCTTCTTGGTAGTTGGTCTCGGATTGGAGCATAGAGACGAAGACGTTGGAGGCTTTGTTGTAGCCTAGGTTGTAGTACCACCAGTGTTCGCTGCCTAGGCCAGTGAGCCATGTTCCTTTGGTTGCTTCCACGAGAACGCCGCCTTTGCCGGCGGTATCTGTGCCCACGTTGGCGTGGTCGACGGCATGATCGGCGACCCAGACCCAAGCATTGTTGATGTAGGCGGAAGAGGTGGAGGAAAGGTGGAGGCCGAGGTATGCGGCTGCACAATTATTCTTGCCGCCACAGCTCAGTCCAGTATTGAGTGTTCCACCTAGAGTGATGAGGGAGTTATGGATGACAACATCTCCTGGAGCGCCAGCCATGTTCACCTGGACAAGAATTGCACCAGGAAGTTGCTCGCCAGCATTAACGTGGATGTCATGGATCTCAGCTGTTCCCGTAGATCCTGGAGCACCAACTTGCACGACTGGCCGAGGATTACTCTCCTCTTTGAAGCTGTTGCCAACGCCTTGGATTGTGGACCAACCGTTGCCAAAGAGAATCGTTCCAGGTGGGATTGTGAGTGTTTGGTCGACACGATACACACCGAATGGCAGGTATGCGATTTTGCCAGCGGAAGCAGCTTTGTTCAGACCACTCTGTAGACCTGGTCCGTCGATGTTGTTGGCGTCTCCGCGGACTGTGAAGCCCCCATTTTGAGTGGAATCTTTGAGGTTGAGAACGTCCGCTGAGGATTTGTCTGTGTGCTGGTTCGGCGTCACTGAAGCATACTTGCCGTTGACCAGCAGAGATGAGGGACGACGATCCGCTGATGGCTGGTTGTCGGTCTTGTGGGCCGGATTGGCGCCATACGTGTTGCCATAGACATAGTGGCCAACTTTCTGGGTGCCACCGACGAGAGTCTTGCCGTCCAGAGTGGCCATGGCATTATTGTTGTCCCGATTGACATTCTCGAGCAAGAAATTTGCATTTCCGGTCGTTTGTAGAAGAGTTCCAGAGTTGGTAATAGTCGCATCGACAATAGACAGCCAAGGAGATCCATTCGTTTGCTTGACGCAAACGCCGACAGTATCGAATGAAGGGTTCAAAACGTTGATAGCGAAGCCGCCAGCCACCTCGATAGCATTAGTCGTCTTGTCGAACTTCAAATTCTTGAGCGTGACCTGTTGGTTTCGGATCCGGACACCAGTGGTACCATAACTGAAGCCCACATCTGCGACTTGGACAGTCGAGCCTTGACCGACGTACAGACCAGTATGTTTCTGTGGAGGCATGTTAATCTGAACGTTGACCAAGGCACAGTTCTGTGCTACGCCCCATTCGAGTGCGATCAAGTCCGAGTTGCCAGTCGCTTGCGTTGTGTCGATGATGACGTTCTTGATGACTCTAGAAAAGCGAAGCTCTCCGTGGCCACCGTTGTCGTTGGGGCCAGTGATGCCGGAGCCTCCTTGGATGACATAGGGGTCACCAAAGCCTGATGAGGCCTTCAACACAGGCGGGTTCGCAGCGTCGCCAATTAGGATGGTGTCACCTGTGAGAGCAAGCTTGCGGTTTAGAACATAAGTTCCAGGTGCGATATACACAACTCTCGGCAATGCGGCAAGGTAGTCATTGGAGATGATGTTGCCTGGCTCCTGGTCGCCCAGCGCCGATGGTCTTTGACTGCCATTGGGTCCGTCGGACAGAATTGCATTGTAGAGATCGTTGACGTTGCTGACGGACTTGTATATCGGATAGTTGGAGTCGCCTACACCTGGGGCATAGTCGCGGACAGCACCGGTGGTATGATCGATGTTTGCATACCACCAGTTGGAAGATGCTGCTGCGGCTAAGCGTGATGTATTTGCGGACGTATGAGCAGTCGAGTTTCTTAGAGACGGTACGGGGTTTTGATGGGGAAAGACAAGTGGAGAAGCTTGCGATAGCCCAGCTAGGGGCAGAACAAAAGATAGGAGATGCATGCTGCTGTGAGAGAAAAGATAGGAGAAAGCTGAGATGACCTATGAGCGGAAGGGGCGAAATTATTGTCTTTTGTATTATTTTTGAACGACATGCCGTCATGGATGTTCCTCCATCGGTCGTGCCCGGTGAAGAATGCTGTACGATGTGAAGCATGGCACGCCTCACGAGATGGCAATGCAGCGATGTCACCCTCCTGTATGGCTCAAAATCAGCGCAGGGTTACCGAAGCAGAATGATGCGACTCGTGCTAACTACTCTGAGAAGGAGTTCCAATCACGAAATGATGACCGACTTCTCGAGCTGAGCCCGGCTGTAAGAATTGAGCGCATGATATGCAAATCTTTTCCGTATCGTGAAGGTAGTATGTAGACGTTTCGTCGGAGCAGCATATAGCATAAGGCGTCCCAGATCTTCGCCGTCACTGCATTGGCATGCTTATACTATTGCTTGTCAATAGAGCATAAAAGGGTGCAACCGTAATGTCCGTCAATCAAGAAGAAGTGAATGCAGTGGCACGCCTGACGGGATAGATGCTGCACTGATATAAGGCCACCAATCCGAACTGCCTAGTCTGGAGCTAGTCTCGAGTGCTTGATCCGAGGTGAAATTTGCTTGTCTCCTGAGATGTGTCCCTGAATTGAAAGGAACAAATCGGATCTGGATCGTTTAGCATGCTAAGCTTTTCAGTGACGATCACTTCTTTGATCGGCATCCCGCTCCTATAGCGTCCTACGTAGCGTGAACAAGTGCTGGGGCTAGGACGAGATCGACATCCTCTTGGTGCCACGACCGACGCATGGTCGACACGTTGTTCACGTACGCCAGACAAGAGCTTCGAAGCTGCTGTTGTCTTCCATCAGAGAACAATTGAAGTCATGTCAAATGTCAACAACTTCGTTAAAATACACCGACTGCAGAACTACAACCACGATCCCCGATGCAAAGAACTCCGTCTCTCTCCAAGTTAGGAACATCCACTGACGACTCACTGATATTGAGCGCGGTTCATTGCAGCCCTCCAACGCTAACACAGCGCCACTGTCACCATCGATGTGCATGGACTTGGTAAGCGTTGACTGGTCTGCACCAGTACAATTTGGAGCACAAAATCAACGGCATGCACCAATTCCGGATCTCAGCTGACCGGCAATGGACCGCACGTGGACGCATCTCTTCATTTGTAGATGGGTCGCCTTACACAGACGATCTTCAAGAGAAATATTGGCTGCTTGCCTGACGATAGCGATGTAACCTCAGCGAATGGAACTATCAGTTTTGGGCGATGAACAATGGTCACTGTCCATGGTCGATGAGTTACTGAAGTTTTGAGTCCGCTCATACATAAGACATGACATTCTGTATCACCAGGATGAGTATCTCAATCGCCCTTTGCCATCTATACTTTCAACATGTTGTTCAAGACTGCACTTCTTGCCTTCGCCGCACAAGGTGCTTTCGCTGAGATCGTTGCATACTGGGTAACATCTCCCTTCCTCTCTCCACAGATCGTTCTCAGCTAACCGTAACAGGGCAACGGAGGCTACACCGAAGCAGACGGCAACCTAGCAGACTGGTGCAAAGACAAAGAGCACATCGACATCCTCGTCCTAGCCTTCCTCACCAACTTCGGCCATGGTCAATACCCCAACGGCAACTTGGGCTACTGCCAAATCAACCCCGACGGCACAAGCAGCGGCTGCGAACAACTCGAACAAGACATCGGAACCTGTCAACAACTAGGCAAGAAAGTCTTCATCAGTATGCCAGGCTCAGAAGGAGATTTTGGTCTGAACAGCAAAGGAGACGCAGAAGGAGTCGCATATTCTCTCTGGAACTCCTACGGAGCTCCAAACGCTGTTCAAGACAAGAGTAAAAGACCTCTCGGCAACGTGAGAATCGATGGCTGGGACATCGATATCGAATCCAATCCCTACGATGAGGACGGGAAAGGATACCTTGGCGCAATGCTCAACAAGCTCCGCAGCTACTTCGAAGCTGATACTGCTCACAAGTATTATATCGGTGGAGCACCTCAATGCTACCTCAACCATGATCAAGGCAAGAATATGGACTTGAACATGGGAAACTCAATCAATCAGGCCAAGTATGATTATCTCTGGATTCAATTTTACAACAACGAATGCGCCGCAACACATGCATATGACGGCTCCAACCAATTCAATTTGAACGAATGGCCAGGCGTCATCTCAAATGGTGCTTCCAAGAATGCGAAGCTTTATGTCGGCATCCCAGGTAATAAGGCTGAAGCTCCGGAGTACGTGCCTACTGCTCATCTTGCAGATGTCTACAATGCTGCCAAGGGCGTCAAAGGATTCGCTGGTTTCATGGTATACGAGGTGGGCGATACCAAGTCTGTCGTCGTCAAGAATGGCTGCGATTACTTTGGTCAGATCTATTCCGTCCTCACGACTGGGCATTTGTGCTAGGCTTTCTTCCGGCTCGGATCGCGTTTCCTCGTCTTTTCAGCGATTTCCTTGTGCGTGTGAAGTTGGAGAATTTTATCTTTTCAGCATTTCGTAGTCATCGGATACTCAATACAGTCAGCATGCATCTCTCATGATTTCAGCGCCATCTTCTGCATCTCCAACTCGGTCTTGAGCATCTCCACTGGCTTCTTGTGACCCATGACAGCAATGTCTCCTTCTGACCACTGTTTCTTCATTCTGAAAGTCTTGGCTTTCCAAAGACCAGTGGTTTCATCCTTGACGACGTCGAAATAGTACTGGCCTCCAGTTGTGAAGCGATGCGAATCTGGCAATCTGTGTTAGCGTAGCTCCCATGATGCTCTTCGCCTCCACTTACCAGGATGCATGCCCATCCCACCTGGCCAATGCCAAGCAACGTATAAGCAAGTCATGCTGGCTTCGGTGCCATTCTCTTCGATGTGGACTCGTACATTGCTGACCATGTGCGTTGTGTCGAGGCGAACAATGTTGTAATAGTAGCATTCCTTGTGGATGGCCTCCAAGCCATGAACTTTCTTGCCGCTGAGATCCCAGAATGCGTCTGCAGTGAAAGCCGAATCGAAGAGTTCCACGTCGTTGGTATCCATGCCGAGGCAGAATCGAGAGAGCGTGTCTGCAATGGCTTCCCTGTCGCTGAGTGCAGGCGAGAGCTTGGCAGGAAGAGCCATCTGTGGCTCTGCTGGAGGTGAGATTGAACCCATGATGAATAGCAATGTATTAGTCAGTTGCTTTGATGTTAGTGATTGCTCAAAACGTCGTGAGTTCTTGAGGTCGCGGCAACTTTTGTATATACATTCTTATATTCCGTGGCGGGAAAAGGTGCAAAGCCGGACTTCCTGCCATTGACCGAGATACAAAGCCCTCATATTCCCAGCACCACCTACTGTACATTGAGAGCCGACCGCCCATCACTTGAGCTGAGGCTCCAGCTGCGCGGTTGACCTGGCACCGTCGGAGGACCAGCGGTCATCATACATGGGCCCATGCTTGCCTCGAGCCTATCGCAGTTTCGGGAGGTTCGTTCTGCCTGGCGGAAGACGAGCGGTCGACCTGTGATCTTCGTGTCGGGATATGCGAATCCTGTGTGAAGCTGGAGAAGCTGTGCAGTCCCATCTCATCCTCGGCCGCTCGGAGATTGAGCAGAGGAGGAACGGGCCGTACGGCACGCTCTTCCGCTTTTGCACATGCTTGAGATTCGACCTGAGTTGCTACATATACACTACACGAACTTTGCCAGGATAAACAGGAAAAGGACGCTTCGTACAAGTCCTTTCGTATCCGGCACTCAGCTTATCAGAAACTACCGATCTTAATACTCGTGCATGCTTCACAGAATGCAGCTGCTGGGCACGTCGACAGCCCTCGGGTTTGAACCCCAAACTCTGTCTCGAAGGATGTCCGAAACCCCGAGCGACGCGCAATACGCAATAGCGATGACTTAACAGCGAAACTCAGTTGATCCTTGATAGCAGTATCAATGGAGTTACGGACTTCTCATCAGCTCATCTTGTACCTTTCTCTCACACTCACACTCACACTCGCATTCGCATTCGTATCCTCACTCAGCAGTGATCGAACCAGCGCCATGCCTCCAACTCCCAAGCAATTGATCCTGATTACAGGAGCAAACCAAGGCCTGGGGTACTATGCCACCCAACAGCTAGCCGCTACAGGCAAATACCACATCCTGATGGGAAGTCGAGACCTGAAGAAAGCCGACAAAGCCATCGACGACCTCGTGGCCGATAAATCGTACAACGTATCAAAATCCGATATCACTCCCCTTCAAATCGATGTCACAAACGATGAATCCATAGCCGGTGCGGCAAACCAAGTCAAGCAGAATTTCGGCAGCCTCGATATGCTACTCAACAACGCAGGAATCGCTACAGCACAGGCCGCAACTTCAAACCAATCGTTGCGAGAAGTCTATCACGAGCAATTCGACGTAAACGTATACGGTGCTGCAGCTGTGACGGAAGCATTCCTCCCTCTTCTTCAAAGAGGCTCCGGCAAGCGAATCGCCTTCACATCCACAGGCTTGAGCTCTCTGGCGAAAGCAGCGGATGGCACCCAACCAGTGGAGAAATTCCCCATCTATCGAACAACCAAAATCGCTCTGAATATGGTTATGCTGTATTACGCAAAGACTTTGGAAGCGGAAGGTTTTGTCGTCAGTGGTCCAGCTCCAGGATTTTGCGCCACGAATTTGAACGGACACGCTGGCAAGAAGGATCCTCGAGAGGGTGCCACAATGCTTGTGAAAGCATTGATCGCTCCGAAACAAGAGATTCATGGGCATGTCTTCAGTGATGCAGGCGTTGCGCCGTGGTGAATCCCCATACAGCCAGCGTACCGCAAAAAGATAAAGATTCTGGTGCATCGAGAGCCGGAGCTCGGCGAAGTCTGGATGCCTGAGTCGAGATTATGAAGAAGGATCCGAGAACCACGATGCAAAGTCACTGCATATGTAGCGAGGCCGGCGGTCGGGCTTACCCTAGCAAGAGCTATCTCGTGGAAGCTCTCACTCCAGTGGACGAGCTGACGACGTTGAGCAAGCGTGCAACACTGGCGCAGAGATCATCTTGCAATCGGGGGAGCCGCAGCGCATCAGCGAAAGAGGCATTGCCGAATCTTGCGCCAACACGCTCAAGCCTCAGTCGCATGGCGCACGGGCAGGCTATTGTCTCTTTGGACTCAATCATCACTGGGTGTCGAGCATCAATCATCGAAAGACACATATCTGCGCGTGTCCGCCCCACATTTCAGTAGCTCGATAGCTCACTCATCAATTCATCCTCTACACCCAACTTCTCCACATAGACTCACATACACACCTCCCTTCATCTCCCACCCCATCCCTTATCAAAGCCCACAATTCGCAACCCCCAACCCCCTCTCCCTCGCAACCCCCAACCACTTCACATCCTCCATCCTCCCACCCATCGCCACAACCCTCCTCTGCTCCTCCCTAACCTCCACGAGCAGTTGTCTCGTCCTAGCCGTATTCTGCCCAATTCCATTGCCCTCAAATCCTCTTATAAGCTCAATCGCCCGGACTTTAGACGCGTCGATATTACTGGCCACTCCAGCGATGAAAATTGCAAAAACGGAATTTCGTCTCTCAACTTGACCATTTTCGATTTGTCGATTTGATAGTGTAAAGATAGTATTGATGCGTCGTTCGGTGTCTTGTGGGATGTCCATGTGTGTTGCGGTGGGGATTGGACGTTGACCGCGGAACATGCTGGTGCGGGAGTAGATGATCATGGCGTGGTAGAGGAGGAGAGCGCCTTCGAAGACTGTTTTGGCGCGGTCGGGTAGGTCACCAATCGTATTTGGATTTGTAGATTCGGAAGTGAGCTGTGGTGGTAGTGCGTGTTGCCAAAATGCTAAGAGGTCATTCTGTGCTTGTGCAGCGATTGCAGTCCAGTGAGCGAGTCGACCAGGTGACAGCAGAGCGGCTTGCTGGTCATTTACCATTCCTGCTCTGCAATTCTGAGCTCTTTGAGCTATGATTGCAGCTCGAAGGAGGACTCCTTCGTTCAGTCGAAGAATCGCCGAGAATAGCTGCTCTTTGTGCGGACTGAGTTGTGGAGTGTGCCCCATTGTGAGCTTTGGCACTTGCTGACTTATATGTGGCAGCATGTTGTTCTGGATGATCGTCCGCAGAAATTCGCATGTACCACTGCCCATCAAACAAGCATAGATATCAAGCTCGCAAATATTCCAGATCGTATACGCGTGCAACTCTTGCCCTCTGTGATGGTGATGCCGTTGAACCGCGATCCGTTGTAGTTGTGTCAGGTGCTTCGCCCACATGTCGGATCCGAGATCGTCAGACTGCATCGGTACACAGATGTCGTACACGAAAAGCAGATAATGTCTGAAGAAGACGCCGTCTGATAGGAGATCGTTCGCCATATTGGAAGCAGAAGACGCTGCGAGCGCCTGGTGGTAATTCTGCATGGCTTCTTCCAACGAGGAATGACCACTGTATGCCAGATTCAGAGCACTGATGGCACACAACGCATGTCGAAGAGGCGGGAATCTCGCAGCTTCACGCTCGAGAACATCGGTCGTTGATCCTTGCGACGCAATGCCGCGCATCGCTTCAGATTGTGGATGAACGAGCCTCGGAACGATGTATTGTCGAAAATGGGTGACCAACTCCTCGTCTTCTCTTATACTTGCCGTCGCTGCTGTTGAAGTCGTACTCGGTGTGTAGGGTGGACTCGTGATCGAGAGAGCTTGGATCGATTCAGAGAAGTCCTCTCTTGAGCTGCATATCGGCATCGTAGCTTCTGACGATGAATCTTCGAATCGATCCAGAATCACCATATTCGGATCTGGAGGCAGTGTTGTAGCTCGCCTTGGTGAAGGTCGTGGGCTACTCCTTCCGCCTCGACATGAATGAGTACTTGTTCTTCGTCGATTACTCGATTCATGGGATGTTGAGGCTGCATATTCTGGCAGATCGTGGAAGCTCTCTGGAGTAACAATCACGCCAAAAGTACCTGGCTTGTGAGATTCAGCTTTTCGTTCCCGGTCTTCTTCTGACTTGAGCTCAGAAAAGGCAGGAAGATCGTCTCGTTGATAGTAAGAAGAGGGAGACGTGGACGTGGGCGTGGTAGGATCCCAGACCGCATTGCCCTCTGTCTTGACATTACTGAATCGCTTTTGAGTATTCGTCGTAGCATCAGTGAAGTTCCATCTGAAGTTCCAGTCGCATTTGCGATTCAGTCGTGTGCATTGCCCACATCGCGGATCTGGACACAGTTCGATGGTCAGCACAGATGATCGAAGACGTCCAATCTACCGACGCCGATTCGCGATGGCATGCTGTGTCGTTTTGACCTGTGTTCGCAGATCTGCAAACCTGTCAAAGGAAATAACTTACGAGCTTCGTCGCATTTCACTTTCCGACTCCGACAAGTCCAGCAACCAGCCCTCGATCGATGCGATAGGCGAGCGGTACGTGCTTTGGTAGTAGAAGGAGCAGAAGGTCGTTTCTCCTTCGAAGACGACAAAGCATCACTAGGAGCCAGCGGCGGCAGTTGAGGTCGTGGTGGTTGTTGTTGTTTCGAAGGGCCAGACGTGGCCTGCTGTCGGCCGGGTTGCATCCTCTTACTCGCTTGCCAGCACAACAACGGCCGACCAAGAGGGTCTCTCCGAACTGTGGTCAATGTAGCCGATGAAGCGTCCAAGAATTGTATGAGAGCTGTCACTGCGCCAAAAGTCAGCTCTGCCAGCTCGAAAGGTCTTAGAAGTCCAGTCTTACTGGGTATACGATCATTTCAGAGCCTGCACTTGAGAATAGTCACGAGCACTGCGAGCGCATCGCTCATATATATGAACTCAAATTGAGTAGCATGGCTGCGGCGAGTTGTCCGATCAGTGTCGAAGAAGCGTCCGACTGGTAGTAACACTTGGACGACGACCACATACGCTCGGCGGCACACTTTGTGGACGGAAACAACTGCAGCCACATTCGAGAAAAGAGCAAAAGGCGAGCCTCGGATCGCGCCCGATTCTGCTCTGTCAATCGACTCGAACGCTTGCTACACGTCCTTCGAGGAGGAAGGGGCTCCCGAAAGCGCGATGCAAGTATCAGCCTCATGGTCGTAGTCGACGGCTAAGGTCCTGGGCTGATGATAGTGGCTGCCACGTGCTGCCACATAGTGCCACTGGAACGGAACCGAATGGCACAACCTGTTGCTGTCTCGGGATATGAAGGCGAATCGAAGAATGGTAAGCTACTGAGCTGCTACTGTTTCTTTGGAGAGCCTAGCGCAGGGTGGCCGGAAGCTTGCTTAAAGAAGACCATTGGAAGCTGGCCTTGTCATGATCACAGCCCATCTGTGTTAAGCGAACGAGGAAGCCATGGCCACCAGCGTGCAGCGTGTGTAGTCACGCCAAGAAGCTGCAAGCCCGGTGGGTGGGTGTGGCCGGTGGCAGAGAGTAGGCATTAGGGCTCCGGCTGAGGGCTTGTGCTTTGTTCCGCCCTTGCATGCCCCCCAGCACTGCGTGAATATTCGAGAACCCGTGTGACCATTCACGGACGATTTTGCACCATAGGTGGAGTTATACATAGCCTGACCATAATGCAAATTCTCCGCATGCGGTCTGCGCTGCGTGCACAGCAGGGCAGCGAAACTGGAACCGCCTTGCCGGTCACAGTCCTAGCTCGTGCATTGTGGCTTGCAATTGCCAATAGGAGCGTGTCCGTGGCCCCGATGCAGCGTCCTTGACGCTGCACGAGCACGCTGGCGGAGGAAGGAATTCGCCTCCAGCTTCTGCATCACTCATCGCTCTTCTGGTGTCAACATGGCGGTTTTTCCGTGTCGTTTCGGTTACGATGGCGTCACGAGAGTCATGCAGACGGCGCGCAAGACACATTGAATTACCGTAGGCTTGTGTCCCATTGGGCAGCGATGGTCTGGTATCGAGGTGTTGTGGCGAAAAGGACGTCTCGGTCCAAACCCAATCGAGCAAGCTCTTGCGCCATGTGGCTTGCTTGGCTTGCTTGAAATTCTGGAACAGACTGGCATCCTCGACGAATGCGAGTCGAATTGACCATTTGCTGTTGATGGCCTAGAAGTGTTGTCAACGAGGCTCACCTCAGACCTCGAACAGCCTCGCAGGGTAGGTAGGCTGGCGTCACGATGAAGTGCTAGCTAGTCTACGAATGCCCTATGTATGGCTGCAGGAAGGCTGCAGTCTAGCTCCGGGACCACATTCCCACGTGTTGGCCATGCGCGTGGTCGTACAGACAGCGCCTCATAACGCCTCGCAGCCTTTCCATGCAGATTCTAGAACCTGTCGAACTTCATTCGACGGCTCCTCCGCCATGGTCGCACGGATTCCTTCCCCCAACTGGGCCGACATCGTGGGACAGGTGGTCACAGACGCCAGCACCGCACGCGCCCTTGCCAAGCGAATAGCCTGAATCGATATCGAAGGGCCGAATAGCAGCGTCTTCAGGTCTGTGATGGCTGTGGCATCCAGTTCAAACTTTCGCTCTTCCCTCCGGACCCGCTCGAACATGCTTTGAAGGCTTTCGAAAAGGCTTCGCAAGGTACGCGCACTCGTGGCAGTCTTCGCAGCAGCCACTTCGTGTAGACCACGAGACGCCTTGTGCTCCAATTCCGTTCTGGATGATGCACGAGGATTGATGGAAGCGAAGATGGCTTCGATAGCACCCGCCGTGGTGATCTCCTTGCTTGAGGGACGTCAGCGGGGGGCATATGAGGGGTTGTTGGAGCACGTACATTTCATCCGCTTTACGGCCGCCGTCAGCTCCATCGATCTCCATAGCATCTTCGTCCGGAGTCTCGCTTAACAATGGAGCAGCAACTTCCAAGACCGCCTCGCTCAGGTCTACATCAGTCCGTGCAAGTGCAACCTTTGCGAGTGCACCTATGGAGTGCTGGCGATAACCCACATTCTGACGTTTGGCTTCTCTGATCGCAATCTGAGAACACGATACTGTCAGCAAAGGATTACTAAGAGCAATATACCATCATCGACTCACCTTGACGATGGCGTTTCGAACCACTTCATTCTCGGAGTAGTACACCTGCGCCGACTCGACGAATTTGACAAAAGCCGAGAGCACATCCTCCTTGCCATCCCAAGTCTTGCCCGAAAGAGCCTTTTCGATAGCTGGCCACAAGGCGGCACCGGTGGCTGCAGATAGCTGCGACTCGCCGGCGCACGCAGTCTTGGTAGCTTCAGCTACCGTGCGAGCGGCCGTATGCTTCAGGTGCCACTGTGGAGAGTCCAAATGTGACATGCAGAGGTCCAATATCTCTTTCAGGTATAGCTGCGCAGCTCGTGATCCTCCAGCAGCCTCCTCCCAAGTGTCTTTGAAAGGCGTGCGCACTTGCTCGTTGGAATCATGCTTGCCGACAAAGACGAAAGGTAGAGCTGCTGTGGCGAAGGCACTGAACTTGTCACTCGCATTCTTTGCAAAAGCGAGCATCAATTCTCCAGAAGCGATGCTGCGCCGTGGCGTTGAAGAAGCTCGGTCTCCTTCAGAGTCAAAGTATAACTTGCTTGCGAAACTAATGTAGCGTAGGATTTGCTTGTCAGAAGCTCCACGCGCCACATACCCTGCGGCGGCGGCATACGAGCTCGAGACGGTGTCGTTGCGATCGATGATTAGCCGTTCCAGCAGCTTGAGTGTATCATCCGCATAAGTTCGGAACAGCAACATACGCCTCGTCGCCAGTGATACGAGCACCCGACTGGACCCGACCTTCGAAGGCAGCCCGACTGAGCTCTTCATGGCACTCTCAAGCCTAGGCTGAAGTTGGCGCATCGTCTCCTCGTCCAGCAGATCCAGACAACGCTCAATAGCTTCCATCAACGGACTGCTGCGTACGCTAGACAGGCGCATATCGTCGATCTTCTGCTCGGTAAGATTGTATTTTGATGCATTCATGTGCACATAGTTCACTGCTTCGGGTTCAAGAGAACTTAGCAGGCCGATCAGTCTTTCGACCAACTCCGGTATGAAAGGCCGTAACGTCGCTCCATTGGCCTTCTTGATGATTTCCAGAAGAGTGTGCACAGAGAACATTTGTGTCTCCTTCGCGCTCGACTCCATGCCAGACGGCGATAACAGAAACGGCAGTACGTGCTTCAACATGGCTGACGCATTTTTGGTTGAGCTATGATCAGCCTCGAGAGCTCTGGTGAGTACTCCGGTCAGTGTTCTCGCGAGCGAAGCGGCGGCCGCGCGGACAGACTCCTTGATGTCGTCCAGCACCTTGAAGCACTGCGTCCAGATACGCTCAAGATAGCCCTCGTACTGCTCCAGCGGCCTTCCTTGGACGAGATCTGCAACCGCAGCGCAGCATGCTTGCCGTACTCGCCATTCTTTTCCTAGGATGCTCACCAAGAGATCGTCCATGATAGCATCAAAGTGTTTGGTGATGGTGGCTGCAGAATCAGGCACAAGCGCTGTCCAGATTTCATTCATGGAGCGCTGCACGCCACTGTTGGGATCGAAGCGATATCGAAACAGCTTTGGATACAGCTTTGGATTGTTGGCCAGATATCCATCGACACTGGAGTCGGAAAGGACCCGGCTAAGGCCAAATCGGCCAAAGGCAGCCCTGCTAGACCAAATTGCATTGGAAGATGCCATGGACATGAACTTGTATACTAAGCTCGAGTCGCCCACTTCCGAAGCAAGACTCATGATGTCTTTGTAAGTAGAGACTGAACCGTCTCCGGTTGGCAGCTGTCCAGGCTCGAATAACTGAGTGTCAGCGGCGACGTTGCCAGCAAGTTGCTGCTTGTCCGATGAGAACGAAGACACCAATTCGCGCACGAGGTCGTCCTTGAGGTTACGATCACCTTTTTCATATACCAGCCCCAATCCTCTCGATGCGGTTTCCTGGACAAGTTCGTCTCTGTCGGCGAGACATCTTCGGAACGCAGTCTGACATTCTGAGAGTCGATCTTGCAATCGCTCGCCACAGAATTGCACCAGACACAATAGCCACATGACGGCGGCCTTCTTCAGAGCTGGTTTGGTATTCGCGCAGTCCGCAAGCACTTTGTCGACGAGCTTTCCGAGTGTGTGTTGTCTTACCTGGCCTAGCTGCGGCACTGGGTCGACATCGACATCCAGCTTCGTGGCAAGAGCAGTTGAGTGCCAGCCACTCGCCACGTAAGTCAATGCTTCGCCGACCGTGAAGTGCACTTCCGACTGTCGGACCTCGTGGAGTTTGTGCAAGCTGTCCTGAATCTTCTGCAAGTCGTCGCCATCTTCTGGCACGATCATCGATAGCTGTCCGAGGCATAGGACCGCTGGCTCGTTGCCATCTTTTGCTTTCGAATACAATTTTTCCGATACTTTGCCAATCGAAGAGTGCTCGCCGATTAACTCAGCCGTGAGGCAGCTGAACATGCATAGCTGACCAATCGTCACAAAGGTTGCTTCTTGCAGTAAATCATCTCTTGCATTCTCGAAGACATCGAACAGTGTAGGGAGGAATCGGCCAAAATTGGGGAGGTCAGCTGTCGATCGACCACGACAAGAAGCCCTGCTGTAAAAATACCCAAGGCTGACGAGGGCGCCGTGTGTGGCACTCAGGCTGGTACCGACAGCTGTCTGCCACGAACCGGCAACTTCTAGCAGGTCGTTCAGAATTGCCGCAGAGTTGAAACTCTGGTGAGACGCCAGAATTCCAAAGGCGTGAGCGGCGGCCATGCGACGTGTGTGGTTGTTCGACTTCAACACTTGCTGAAGCTCAGTCACGCGGCCGATATGTTTCTGGACCAGCGCATCTGGGCTGAGCGAGAGCAATTCGACGAGGTGCCCATGTTCTCCTGAGGTAGACTTCAGAGCTGTGCACTCAAATAGCGCCGAAAGCACAACATCTATCGTAAGTGCATCATCTACAGTCAGTGCTGAGACCCTGCTCTTGATTGCTTGCCGCGCAGGTAGATCCGATTCCGCCATCGCATCTAGTCGACGCTCCCATTCGCTGTCAAGATTGAGCGGTATTTGAGCTTCGCTCAATGCTTCTTGAATGAGCATCCGTCTGGCGAAAGCTGTGAGTCCGAGATATGAAGACTCATATACCTCTCTCGATCTTCGAGCTATGACACCTGCTTCATCGCTCATAATCTTGGTTTGCACGACAAAGAACTCCTGAACGACTGCCTGGAATCCCGGGAACTTCGTCTCTGCCGATTCGATCCCATCGCTAGTACCGTTGAGCATGCGATGCCAGTAAGGACTGAGACCTCGCTCGCCTTCTTCCCTGACTTCAGGACGATCGGAAGTTGCACCCATCGCGAGCGCATCGATCCAGCGCCCTTTGACTGAAGAATAAGGTAAACATCGATTCGCAAACCTTACCGCCACGTATCGGGTGCTGCGGAGCCGGGAGGAAGCCTCGAGATTCGCGGACTGATTCATCTGATCGATCAGTAGCTCTTCGAGAACTTGCTGCTCATGCGTCTGCAACGGAAAGCGATGCATTCCTCCGAGGATTGTCGAAAGAGATTCTTCTATGCTGACGATGATCGAGTTGCCAGAGGCATCGCGCGCTAACGAGTCGAGGAGCCATCGTAGCAGATCCAAAGAAGGATGCTCATCTTCAATGAGCAGGCTCTTGGGACCAGATTTGGAGAGAAGCCCTATGACTTCATACGCATATGCACGCGATGTCAGATCCTCACTTGGTCCAATTTTGGGCCAGCCCTGATTCTCGACGAAGTCCCGCAACTTGGTTACAATAGGTATGGCAACTGTCTCCAAAGTCGATTTATCGCCGAATCTTGCCACAAAAGTGATGTAGGCGAATATCGCTGCCCTCAATTTGAGAGTCTCCCGGCTGATGTTCGCGTTTTGTACTGGTCCATTCGACATGACGACATCTTCACCATCCGAGGTGGTCGATAGGCCGTCATGGACCAATTTGATGATCCGACTGTCGAAGGTGGTACTTTTGGTGGACTTGGCGAAAAGGTTCAGGATCTTGATTCGCAGAGGTGCACGTACTCTTGGTGCAGTACCTTTGCCAAAATACAAGTCATAGAGCGTATTGATGAGAGCCTCGTCTTCCAGGTCTGTAGCAGGTAGAGCTCGCTTCATTATATCATCTCCAACATCACTGATCGATGAAGCTGGATCGGCCGAGGCGAACAATGCTGGGAGGAAACGATCGCTATCGTGGAACAAGCCACTCGCAAGCAGCTTGGAAGCAAGAGTCTTGGTCTGAAGTAGGTTGAGACCACCAGCAGATGGATTCCACTCATCCTTGCCATTCACGCTCAAGAAAGCATAGTCTTCTGTAGTCAGACCTGGACATGTTGCAGTGCTGTTCCCCGCGGATTTTTGTGGCGTGAAAAGTATCAATTTGCCCAGATGCCCTGCTAGATATGCAGCATCTTCATCAGACACTGACAAATTGGACCTCAATTCAAGGTCCTCTTTGCTACCTCGAGCGGGTATCACGATGGATGGCAAAATACGCAAAAGCAGATAGAAGATCTGAGAGCCATGCTGTCCGGTCTTCGATATGCCGCTCACAACAACAGGAAGTAAATCTACCTTGTCGGCGTTGGACAGTCGGACAACGCCCTGTTGAATGTAAAGAAGATCGAAGTGGCGAATGAGAGAGCTTTCCTGCTCTTTGAATTGCTTAACAAGCGCAGCGACTGGCAGTTGAATGGACTTCGGCTGTATGCGAGTATTGACGTGCTGGCATATGGTGATGACCTTCTTCCTGACACTTTCGTGGGGCGAGGCGAGCTTGAGCAGCAGTGGTGCCAGGTAAGTCTTCAGAATCGTTTCGAGCTTGGTATCGGTATCCGTGAGGGCTATCTTCAGCTCGACCTTGCCGACGAGCGACAACTCACGTTGCTCGTCTGTAGAGGCCATGGTGAAGGCAAGTCGGACCTAGTGGATGATGTTGGCTGTTATCATGGTGTGTTTGAAGGGCAGACGTGTTGGGTGAATGTCTGAGGTCCAAATGAGAGCGAATGGCCCGCCGCCAAAGGAAGGACTTGGGGTATTGGAAATGCAGTGCCGGTGGAAACTCCCAGAAACGCCACAGTTGGATGCAGATGATGGTGTCGTAAACAGATGGCAGCCTCGAACTTGTCATCTGAGTGGAGCCAGCGATGGAGATCATCCGACTCTCTGATTGGCTGTTGCCGTCGGATTCCGGCCCGGCTCCTGCTGTCGCCTCTCTCACTTTCCGAACGAAGTGCACATCAACCTCCGTCGTTCATCGACCTCATCCAACCTTTTCCATTCAGGCCTTGTCGCTGTGCTATACCCTCCGAGTTTCAAGAACGCACGCGGCATAACGGCCATTTCCGCTTCTATGCAAATGTTCAAGACAAGGTGGTCGCACGGAATCTGCCTGGATTTAGACGTAGCTCGTGCCATGCCACGATTGAAAGCTGTTTTCAAGAGCCCTGTAGGCAAAGGCTGACAATTCCTTCAATGAGGGCCGATTATGCACACGTGTAGGGGTGGTAGATCAATGACTGCGAGAAGGGGATTTATGTGCTTTGAAACGCATTTGTTACGCTGACGCCCATCAAATAGTCGCTGTTTTGGGTATGGCTTCTCCTACTACGATGAGTGCCATACCGGGAAATTTCACTACCAGGCGTTTTGTTGGATCTGATCCGATGCGTGGACTGAAGTGACCTCTGCCCTCATCCCTTTGGCGATAAGCCCCTCGCTCTAGATCCCAGACTGGAATGCCACGAGCTTCACGTCCTGAAGATGCCACTCTGCTACTTTCACTCTACCGTTCCGACTGCAACATCATGCTACAATGACTGCTGCTAATCCGAAGACTGTCGGTCTTTGTATCTTTCTGTTCTTAGCCTCATCGCTCGTCACTCTCTCCTTGAAATCCACTCACCACAACCACCGCTGGCTTCCTCCTCGACCCAAAGGCGCGGCACCATATTCGCAGCAAGTCGTCCTCCAAACGCACAAAGTCGCCTACGCAACCTTCCTCGCCGGCAGCACAAGTGGCGATCGTCGAGAAACAGACGAGGAATCAGCAGCAATAGACGACGCAGATGATGGCTACTACCTAGGCGCTCGTGTCCTTGCCTACCAACTCCTCCACTCCAAATCCGCCGGAACAAACAACAGCATTCCCTTCCTCGTAGTCTGCACGCGCGACGTCTCCAAACGCAAACGCGACCGCCTCAAAAAAGACGGCGCAACAATCGTCCTCGTAGAAAAGCTCAAAAAAGACTGGGTCCAAGCCGCCGACCCTCGCTGGGCCGACGTCCTCTCCAAACTCCGCCTCTTCCAACTCACCGACTACGACAAAATTCTCTTCATCGACGCCGATACCCTCGTCACCGCACCGCTCGATGGCGTCTTCTTCGACGAATCGACTCTCACCCAAGGCACCAAAGCCCTCCCTCAAGCCATAAAAGAAGATGAAGCCGAACTTCCTCGCACTTACATGTTCGCCACACACAGCGATTTCTGGGGCTACGATCACCCATACCCTCCACCCACCGATCTCAGCTATCTCAACTGCGGCTTCTTCATTTTCACGCCATCTCTCAAGCTCTTTGACTACTACATGAGTCTCCTACAACTCCAGGGCCGTTTCGATCCGAGCTTTCCAGAGCAGAATTTACTCAATTATGCGCATCGACAAGATGGAAATATGCCGTGGAAGCCGTTGTGGTATGGCTGGAATGTTAATTGGCCGACGGCGAATGATTGGAGAGGTGGGGCGAGGAGTTTTCATGCCAAGTATTGGGATGGTGATCCGAGTCATGATCCGATTTTGAAGGCGATTTGGAAGGAGCAGAGGGCGGAGATGCAAGGGTTTTATCGAGGGAGGGATGGGGAGGCGGCGAGTCTGGGAGGGTAGGCTGGTAGATCATGGGTATCGTCGTTTGCCGTGCTTCTTTTGCTTGACAGGGTTTGCAGAGACTGGTTCGGTCGTGTATGAGAGGAGCGTGGTCTGGCGGTATTCAAACTTCTTCTATTTCGTATGCGTGTCTTGATGCAGTGGCCTGGGGCAGAATTTTCACCAGCTCAGCTTCATGTCTCGTCCATTTGATTCTCCATTGTGTTGTTCGCGCGTGAAACCCCCCACTGAAACATTTCGCGAGCGGGCCTCGTCACTTACCGTTCTAAGACCTCGAGCGGGAAATCCACTGTGTTTGAACCTTGCAACGCTCAATTACGATCGAGATGCCACTATACAGATATCAAAAGCACCAACCGAAGTCTCGCGTCCAGCTCCATCGCCATTTCCAGACAACTTCGCACGCGCAAGTCCGTGTCGCACTTCCCACACCGCACTCCAACTGAGATATACTCCCCCTCATCAACACCTTAACCTCTTCCTTCCAAGTTTATCCCAGGCTCTTGACCTTACCGTCCAACCTTCTCCTCCACCTTCCCAACCAACTCCTTCGCCTTCTCCTGCGCCTGCCCCACAACCCCCTCAGCCTTATTCAAACCCTCTTTCGCCTTGGCCTCAAAATTCTTTTCCCGTCCACCCATATACCACCAGTTGATAAATCTGTAAGCCTGCGTCGATTGCGCGCTGAAATTGACCAAATGGCAGCCGAAGAGGAGGTAGTTCTTCGGTGTGACGGCGAGAGAGTAGCGCATGAAAACGGCGGAGTAGCCGCAGAGGGCGGCGGTCATGCGGCCGGAGATACTATAAACAAGAAAGAAAGGCGTGTTAGTTTGGGCTGGTGGGAGGAGTGGAAAGGGAGAGGAGGAGGAAAAGGACGTACATTTCAGGATCCTTTTGCGTATCCATGACTGCGGCGAGAGGAATACCAAAGTTACTCGCGGGACCCCAGAAATCTGTTGCGCATGATCATATCAGCTTCTCTTCTTTCCGAGTATTTCGCGCACGCTTATGGAGCACAGCGAGCCCGTGGTCGGGACGTACGTGTTGAGCAGAGGTAATCCGACACCGGGTTCGACCGGATTTTGGCGTTGATCGCCTTGATCGCGGCGGCCATGATTACTGACTTGCTTCCTTGGCCGGATATGCGCTGTCGAAGGTGAGAACCGAGCGAGTGGGCGGAGGTCGTTGGCGGCGCGAGAGGGTGCTGGTTTTGGAGCTGTCGTTGTGCGCAACTCAATGGCTGGCTGACGGAGCTGGAAGAGTTGAGGTCGGCTTGTTATCCCCGCTTCCAAGTCCGCTCTTCCGAAGGGTCAGTGCGGGAGTTCACTTCACTCTCAATTCATTCCGAGTTCGAGCGAACCATGCTGATTCATTGTTCGCCATTGTGAATTGCGATACTATATGTTAAGACTTAGCAGGGAAATTGTACTGGAAAAGCAAATGGCGATTGAGGAAAATTCCGAAGAGGCAACAGAGTTGAATTAGTACTCATAAGTATCATCTGCCCATCATACATGTAGCCGCTGTGTCGACAAGAATTGCATCAAAGTTCTAATCATGTACACATTAACATTCCACGCCTTCGCCGCGCCCTCATGCCTCCGCCTCGTACTCAAAATTTCGCCTGGGCTCATGCCTCTGATCGCAATCATAGCTTGTTGTCTAGCCGACAGACCTCAATTGCCTGAACTGCCACTGGCTCGTGAGCAAGAGCGGCACAGTTCTCACCGCTGCATGACACACGCAGGGGAACATCAAAGACATTGCCTCGTCGCAGGTCTTATGCAAAATTCTTCCAGGGCGAAGCAAGGGTGCATGTTCGCCGTGCATGCCATCGCCGAACACTGAGATGTGCGTGCTTCCATCCTTCCAGGCGTGCTTGTCGCAAGCAGCTTTGCGACATACCAGTCAGCCTTCTGTCTCCGGCACTGACTGTTTCAGTAAAGATACGAATCCTGGCCAGTCGAACAATCGTTGCTAATAGATAGCCTCTCCATAAATCTGCTCCTACTAGCTGAAGGTNNGACCCTGCTAGCTGACGGAGCCAATGTGGTCCTGCTCTCCGATGGCGTCAACGTCGTCCTGCTCGAATCCCGCTCCAACTAATAGCGTTCGCGAGGACCATTCCCGTGTACGTCGAGCATGTCGTCGAAAATTGCCGAAGGAGCTCTTTGGCCAGGCAGGTCACTTTGGCTCTGGCCAACTGCGAGACTACTGCTGCTAGGATGCGTGTAGAGGTGGCTGCCTCTGCCTCCGCCGTATCCATCTCTGCTGGGCGGTCCTCGAGATGCCGTGCGAAGACCTGCCCGAGAGTCGCCATGGAAGTTTGTTGTTGACCGGGACCCGGGAAGGGTAGGATTTGGCGACCCAGGTGGCGAAGGCGAAGCACCTCCAATGTGACTGTTGCGCGCATACGGAGCCAAATGTGAACCGCCAATCACTGTGCTATTACGGCCACCTGCTGGAGCATCCGCCGAGGGCGACGCGTAGTAACCCGCGGGCAAGAATGCAGAGCTGCGGTTGTTGTCCACAGTGTATGAGCTCGCACGATTGGAAGCCTGTGCCGTCGGAGAGAAGAACAGGCCAGCCGGTGGCGCAGAAGAATGTCTGTGTGAATCGTCGTGCTTGCCCGGCTTCTGTGTTTTGCCATTGGCAGTCAAATGATCCAGTGACATACTACTGCCAGCCTCGTACTCCTTGTAGTAGGCACTTTTGGTGCTGTATCCTTGACTGCCACCCCAGGCGCCATGTTTCTCGCCACGGATAGATGCCAATGCGGCACGCTTGACAGATCTGTTGATGCTCCAGGCAACAAGACCTCGCCAAGCCAACACGCAAGCGCCGAGGAAAGCCAGTACTGCACCAACTGCAATGAACACGGTGCCCTCTGGCATGGACGACTTTTGCATGAATGGCGCGTTGGCAGTGTAAGGAACGCCAATCTCAGGAACACCAGCACCAGCAATGGTTGGGAGACCGGTCAGACGGAACGTCGCCGGAGCAGTGTTTGTTGTAGCATCCGGGAACGTCGCTGTCGTGGGCGCCTGTGTGGCTCCACTCGTGGTCTCCGTGCTGTCACCTGTTGTTGTCGCATCTCCTGTCGATTCTGCGGTAGACTCGGCCGTGGTCTCTGCGGTGTTCTCGGCGGTGGTCTGGTCGCCAGTGGATTCGGGGGTAGCGCTGGCAGTGTTCTCGGTGGGCGTGACATCGTTGGTGTTCGTGGCGGTTTCGAGATTCGGGAGGTCTTGTTGAGCGTATACAGCGACAACTGAGAGGAAGAGCAGCAGCGCGATGAGGCGCATCAACCGGGAAGACGCGGCCATGATGTCGGCGGTGTCGAACAACAATCACGGTAGCACAGCGGGAGTAGTGGGAGGGCCCTGCAGAGCGCAGGCGGCGGTGTCCTGCTGGTATATGATGTGCTCCCGGGTGGCTGTCGTTCTGGTAACGCTGTGGCAGGGATGTGAACCACTCGCTCAGCCTCTCGATTGCTTCCAACCGTCTCTTCCGCTCAGTGATGACGGGTAAGAATGCGGCGACAACGTCGACGGTGTGTATCGCGGTGTGCCTGTGAGCGACAGACGGGCGCGTGAACGAGTGTGTCCCAAACGAGCGGAAGGTGTGTGCGTGTGCAGAGTCGTTGTGCGACCAGATGTGGGAAGGGGCGTTGGGAGGCGACAGGGATGGGCTCGGATGGGCAAGCACGGCGCCAGGAATAGAGCGCTACCGGCAGCACCCGCCGCTAGTGATACAGAATTTCTGGAGGGCGTCATTCTCGACTGCATTTCTTGTCGCATACAACCATGGGAGTGCAGAAGAAGACGCGCAAGTTCGCGGCAGTCAAGCGCGTGATCGGCCAGCGTGATGCGCGGCTGAAGAAGAACATTGTCGCCGAGGAGGCGAAGCAGAAAGAGAAGGCGAAGGGCAAAGATGAGCTGATACGAGAGATGTATGTGGATGCGGCAAAATGTATGCGACGCGTTCCTACTGACGATGCATTGCAGACCACAAGTGCCCTCGTCGATGTTCTTTCAGCACAACACCGCACTCACGCCGCCCTACTCGGTGCTCGTTGACACAAACTTCCTCAGTCACACAGTGCACCATAAGCTGCCCCTTCTTCCGACGTGAGTACATCATACTTTGCCATAGGAAGATGCAGGGAATCTGACTATTTGCTAGGCTCATGGACACACTATACGCCTCATGTACCCCGATCATCACATCCTGCGTAATGGCGGAATTGGAAAAGCTGGGACCAAAATACAGAATCGCCTTGCAGATTGCTCGAGATGAACGATTCGAGAGATTGCAATGTGACCACAAAGGCACATACGCTGACGATTGTGAGTTCTTCCTTCTACACCCTCTTTGATTTTGAGGAACAGAATGGCTCAGGGTTTCCGTACGATGTGAGGTTTGCTGATGACTCTCTGCAGGCATCGTTACTCGTGTTAGCACGCAGCGTGTATATCTGGTGGCCACGAACGATCGCGATCTGAAGAGGCGTCTTCGAAAAATTCCAGGTGTGCCCATCATCTCTTGCAAGAGGGGAGGATATGCTGTGGAGAGACTGCCAGATGCGCCTGACGCGGGAGGACGAGGCATGGGCAAGGGCATATGATGAGTGGCAGGACACCGCCCTGTCGCTCGCAGGAACAACACAAAATTGTACGCATCACTGGGTGTCGATTTAGCGCGGCGTTGGAGGGGCATTGCATTTGAGACAGCGGGTAAAGCTGCTACGATATGAGCACGAAAAGCTCTGGGCATCGGTTTTTGCCAAGCACGAGATACAGTTCATGCACGTCCATTTGCCTTCACTGGGCGACAGTCGTCGGTGTGCTTCAATGTGACACAGCATTTAAGACTTGGAAGGTTTGATCACCTGGATAGAAGAGCAAGTTAGCTTCCAGGACAATAAGCTATCCAGTGAAACTGGCTGCCAAATCGTGGAATTTCTACTTCCGTCCAATCGACATCGATCTTCCGTCCACTCATCAGATTAAGCATCAGGCAATCTGGTCTTCTCATGCCGCTATCAGTCAGCCTATCTGTCTACTGTAGCTTCACTTCGTGTCCTGCGGCCGCACTCCGGACAGTTGCTAGACGGATCAAATGAACATCCGCATCTGATTACGAAATGCCGCTTCGTCAGCAGCGACCGCTGTAGGCTGTAGCTTTTGTGCAATGTCATCACAGCATGTTGCAATTTCGAATGCTACGCGTTCATGAGACTCGCCAAGTGAATGCTGAGCTGGCACGACCGCAGTATCGCAGCTGCAGCGCCACCGAACAAGCAGCAATATGCAAGTCCCGCGCAGATGCAGTATCAGAGCATCCACAGACGTGGGATCCCACTGCACGCTGCACAGGTGAACCCCTTCCCCATTCTCTCGCAGCAGATCGCAGCCATACTTTTCCACCAACCACACCGCCTCATCTTGACACGCTGATCGGAGACGCGTGCACTCCATACCAATTACCCAGTTGGGAAAACCGGAGAGTGGAGGGCGCAGCGCTTTGAAACAGAACGAAGCCAAGCCCTACCGGACACCGACGCTTTCCCAGTCCATTTCCCCCGTTACTCCTCCACCCCATCGAGCAGAGTCTGGAACAGGCGCCGTGCCCCGAACCGTCGCACCCCTCGCCTTCCGCTAACCCCGAGCGCAGGCAGGAGCAAAAAGTCCGTCAGGTCAAGCACGCACGCAAGAAGATCGGTGTGCATTAGCCCCTTGGCCACAACTCTTGAACAGCAGCAAACAGTGGGTAAAAGTGGGCAAGCCCAAGCACAGCAAGCTCCTGACTGGTGTGGGAGCACATCCGCGCTGCGACGGTTGCCAGGAAGAAGTTCTGGGCAAGGCTCGGCCTGATCTTAGACTGACCAGCATTCCCCAGCACTGTCGCTGCATTTCTCCAGAGCCAAGCCCAAACGTTTAAATCCCCCGTTCACAGATTTCCAACCGTCGATGGTCACATGGTCGATGACGAAGCAGAGATTTGCCCTGTCGCCTTCCCATTTGTGTGTGTTGTGCTGAGACGATGCTTCACTCGGCGTTATCAAACCTCCGCTTGGCGTGCTGCTCCCCGTTGCAGCGATGCATCCCACTTTCTTAGTGCCCCAGGTCTGTCTGGCACAGATGGGAGAGGAGGCATGTACGTGTTCAGAGCTATAAGAGAGCTTTCCCTCTTTCCTTTGTGTGATTCCTTTATCATCCCAGCACTACTTCACAACTTGAGCAGTGAACATTTATCAAAGACACGAGAATCGGAACATTACCTCGTTCACCTTCTACAACTTCTACAACACCACCAACAACAATGTCTGGACTCTGGAACAAGGACCGCCCAAGCGACAACGAGGTCAAAGCCGCACAGCAAGCCGCTACCCTCGATAGAATGCGAAGAGGTCTCATCCCAGGCACCTGGCTCCAATTGTCCGCTGCCGTCCCTCAAGAGAAGACATCCCCTCTTGCTCTTTCACCAAAAGACACCCTACCATCTCCAGCCATGAGTGCCGGCAAGAATGAGCAAGCCGTCGCAGATCTCGTCCTCGACGATGGAGGATTTCTAAGCAACCACGCCCCGGCTTCCCGCTCATCTTCGATCAGCAGCGCCGCCTCAGTCAGCACCAGGTCTCCGGTTTTCAAGCCAGTCCCCACAGTCTGTGAGCGTGAGACTATCGGTCTTGCTCGCTTCCGCGGCGATTGAGCATTACCTTACAGCTTCTAAGCAACATCAGCCACGACATCTCGATGCTTCCGTCGACATGTGTGCGTGAAGTGAAAGATCACAACCGAGACACTATCATCGTCATCAGGTTAGGCCTTTCGACGCCGTCTTGGCTCCGGCATCCGGCTTATGCTTATCCCACCACCACAAGAAACACCAAGAACAATGACAACACATCATCCGCTGCTTCCGCCATCACTTCGCCCACTTCATGATACGAATTATTACCAAGAGCACGGGCAACTCTTGTGATGACGAAAGCTGTTTTTCCTTGTCGGACACTCACAGATCGAAGTTGGCCGATGGTCTTTGTGTCGAAAGATGGACCGGATATCTGGGAACAGAGATATAGTCGTGCGAATGTCCTGAGGTAGCATAGTGCGGAATCGAACGACATATCTGACCCAATCCTGTGCAAATGACTTGTGACCTTGGACTGACTCTGAACGTCTTTCACGATCGTGCCATCATCGCTGCCTCCACTGGCGCCGTGGGTGTTGAATTCTGCATCGAGACATGGTGCACCGTATCAGTGGAGCGGTTCTTTGATCGCGCGTCGACTGGCCTCATATTCCGACACTGAAAGCACCGCAAGCTGCGGTGAAGTCGCACACTGCAAGTATTTGTGTCTCTCTCTCCACGAGACTTCTGCTAGCTGGGGACGCTGATTCGGCCATCGAGCGGTCCATTGGCCGGTCGTATTCACGAGAACAGGAGCTTCGCTCGGAGTCGAGCTGTATGTCTCCTGTCAGGCTCAGAAGCGCTAGCAACCCCATTATCCGCATCGAACACAGTATCAGTTCTGAGATCGGCCTCATCGTCTCGGCTGACAGCGAGAGTGGTTTCAAACGACCACATAATCGCAAGCTTTCCTGCTGCAAGGCTTGCTTCACAATATTGTAAACTGAAAATGATCCACAGCAGCCTGCCACCATGCAACATCTTCTTCAGAATGAAAACTCATTCCCATGACTGTGAGAACTGCACAAGCCCAAGAGGATCCATGCGCTTCCTCGGAATAGCTCTCTGACGCTGGCTCCGCGTCCTCAAATCCTTCTGGACCTTGTTGTCCGAGGATCGGTCTGCCGTGTAAATGCTGCAAGATGGACAGAGCGATCACAACGACATTCGCATGGTCGCGTTCGTAGTCTGGAAAGAATATCGACAAGAGCCGTCGTTCGTCATCTCTGATAAGGCCCATGAGAGCAAAGATCCTATCTCTTTTATCCAGGCATTCGCACGAATAGAATTCCAACATCCAGTCCAGCAATGATAATTTTCCAAGCCACTGGCTACTCCCATCGTATAGCACTACGAGATAGGCTCGCGCACCACCTCTGCTGGACGCCAATTGTGATTTCGGTATTTGTTCCAAGACCTGCTCAGCTATCAGGTCCATCACTTCGCCTCCGCGATCCAGCCAGAAGAAATGAATACGTGGCGCCAGTACAAATTCCTGTACTGTCCACGTTCGATCCCAATAATCGGCCTCCATGAATCCATTGAGCTCCACACTATGGCGATAGCGCTCTCGCTCTTTCTGCCGCTTTTCTTCTGTCCACTCTGGCCGACAACGCGGCTCAGAGCCAACAAGTCGGCCGAGCCAGACGAGCACCACAGCAGCGTCAGAGTATATCTGGTCCATCCTGGAGACCTGGGTGTTTCGTTCGTATACATTGCCTTGGTCGATGCAGAGCGCATCTACCCAGATGAATTCATACCAGCTCTCAGGCTCATGCCCGCGGGGATCTAGCGTCCCATAACAGAAGAAGTCAAAAAGGTTTTTGCGCACCAATATTGGCTGGCCATCGAGGTTTATCTCATGTGTAGGGACGTCCGTTCCCCATACATAGGACAAAGCAGCATATTTTGGCTGGCAGTTCACTGCAAATACATGCAAAGAGAGTGATAGCCGCTTGTTTGAACGACGAAGGCCGTTGACCTTGAGCAGGCGAAACGTCGACCTGGGGAGGGTTGTGTATATGGTTGTCGTCGGCATTGAAAATCTCAGCTGCCATAAGATATCAGGCGAATGGTGCAAGTCACAGAATTGCGGCGAATATCAACATAGAGTAATATAATTTAGCCGCCCATCGCCTACGTTCGGTTGTCAACTTCACAGCCACAGCAGCGGGCGCAGCTTCCATACGACCATACAGCCACATAACAACCAGTTGCAGCCTCAGAGGCTCTCTTCGTTTCATCAACCCCCTGCACCTAGCGCCTTGCGTTGAGTTGAGAGAAGAAGCTTGGCGTAAGTGCTCTGCTGCCACTGAAGCGTCCCGCCCATTGTGAGACTGAACATCCTGGCGTGCTGCGTGCATGACACATGTAGTGCAAATTCTTCCGCGGGTGCATAGATCTCAAGTGACTATGCGTCAGGTTGTGGTCCTGGAAAGCTGGGTGTGTTGTGCAAATTTATGCCGGCGGCAGCACCATTTCCTTGCCATTGCTCTCTGTGACGTCCAGACCTACCAGGAACCGGCTGACCATGTTGTAACCTCCGATGGTAATGGTAAGCTCCATGACCTGCTGATCCGTGTACCGCTCCTTGATCTTGGCGAACAGATCGTCTTCGACCTTGATGTTTCTCGTACTCTGCTCGGTGAAAGCCAGTACATCTCTCTCCTCTTCACTGAGCACCGACTCGTTACGGACGTCGCCCTTGAGAACCACCTCCAGCTTCTCCCGCTTGCCGCCTGCTTTCAAATAGATGGGAGCATGTGCAGTCCACTCATACGTTGCGGTGTTCAGCACGGCGATGTAGCAGATGGCCAATTCTGCCAGCTCTAATGGAAACGAAGACTTGGTACGAATGGCTCCCAGCAAGGAATTGTAGCCATCTGCAATCGCCGGATTATGGAGAAGAGCGAGATCGAGGGGAATCAGAGGTCGTGGTTTCCGTCGTTCCGCGATGCGATGGTATATTGCTTTGGTCTCCTCGGTGGAGTCCGCGGGCGGTTCGGAGGGAGCGTATGGGATGCGCATTGTGGCGGCAGCGGTGGCGCGAAAGGCTCGCGCTGTTGTATGCCGCTTTGGAGTGTATCGACGAAGTGGTCGAAGATGGTGCCAGAGATGAGTTGGAGACATGGGGATTCCTTCTCACCTGCTATGGAAGAGCTCTTACCATCATCGGCTGTGCAGCTCGGCAATGCTGCTCTCGCCATTCCGACATTGTGAACGACCTGCTCGGCCAAGCCGACAGCACTGCCATACTGCATGCTTCTATCTGCCCTGCCCTCGCACCGCTACGAGGAGGAATGATGGGACGATGTTTGCAGGACAGGACACCGCAGAGTGATGTATTTTCGGCGAATGGCATCGCACCAGAAATCAGACGAGGCACGAATGAGGCAATGACGCACGGTCCTGCGCTAATGCAGGTGGTTCCCGCGTGGATCCCTGTCAAAATGTTGAAATCGTACGATGGAGAAGGCGGCGACTTCTAATCATTTAGTGACCATTGGCCACGCATTTCAAGGCCAGCACCCACCATGCTTTGAACACCGCACTTCCACCACAACACCACCACCCACCACCGCCATGGGGCTCCTCCAGGACGTCGCCGTCGCCTTCGACAACCACTTTGGCCAAACAGCGACATGGAAACTCGTGCTGCTGGCCTCCACCACCTTCTTCCTCCTGTCCGTCGTCGTCAACGTCCTTCGACAGGTCCTCTTCCGCCAGCCCAAGAATGAACCGCCGCTCGTCTTCCACTTCGTACCCATCATCGGCAGCACCATCTCCTACGGCATCGACCCGTACAAGTTCTTCTTCTCCTGCCGCGAAAAATATGGCGACGTCTTCACCTTCATTCTGCTCGGCAAGAAGACGACCGTATGCCTGGGCACCAAGGGCAACGACTTCATCCTGAACGGCAAACTGCGCGATGTCAATGCCGAGGAGATCTACAGCCCTCTCACCACGCCCGTGTTTGGCAAGGACGTCGTCTACGACTGCCCCAACTCCAAATTGATGGAGCAGAAGAAGTTTGTCAAGTTCGGCTTGACCAGCGCTGCTCTGCAGTCCTATGTCACATTGATCACCGAAGAAACGCGCCAATTCTTCTCTAAGAACAACCCACATAAGCGATTCGCTTCGACCAGCGGCACTCTCGACCTCCCGCCTGCTTTCGCCGAGCTCACCATTTACACTGCTAGCCGATCGCTGCAAGGCAAGGAAGTCCGCAGCAAATTCGACTCGACATTCGCCGAACTGTATCACTACCTCGATATGGGTTTCACCCCGATCAACTTTATGTTGCCTTGGGCGCCGCTACCACAAAACAGGAGACGCGATTATGCTCAGAAAAAGATGACCGAAACATACATGTCCATCATCAAGCAGCGACGCGAGGCTGGCGACAAGACTTCAGAGAACGGAGAGGAGGATATGATCAAAAATTTGATGTCATGCACCTACAAAGATGGCACGCCTATCCCCGATCGAGAGGTGGCACACATGATGATTGCTCTGCTCATGGCTGGACAACATTCGTCTTCTTCCACATCTTCTTGGATCTTCCTGCGCCTTGCCACGCGACGAGACATTCAAGATGAGCTTGTGCAGGAACAGAAGGATGTGCTTGGAGTGAATGAGGATGGCAGCATCAAGGAGCTCACATACGAGAACCTCTCCAAGCTCACTCTGCTCAGCCAAGTTGTCAAGGAGACTCTGCGCATCCACGCACCGATCCACTCCATTCTTCGCAAAGTCAAATCTCCCATGCCTGTAGAAGGTACACCTTATGTCATCCCGACCACGCACTCCCTTCTCGCAGCACCAGGCGCCACAAGTCGAATGGACGAGCACTTCCCCGAACCACTTCTGTGGGAGCCTCACCGATGGGACGAGTCGCCGGATGAGAAGTACGCCCACCTGGTTCCCAGCATGGTCAAGGAAGCTGTTGCAGAGGAAAAAGAAGATTACGGCTACGGTCTGGTCAGCAAAGGAGCTGCTTCGCCGTACCTACCATTTGGTGCTGGGCGTCACCGATGTATCGGCGAGCAGTTCGCGTATGTGCAACTGCAAACCATTACGGCCACTGTACTTCGGGATTTCAAGTTCTACAACCCGGATGGAAGCAAGAAGGTCGTTGATACCGATTACAGCAGTCTTTTCTCGAGACCTTTGAGCCCCGCTGTTGTGAAGTGGGAGAGGCGGGAAAAGAAGTAAATCGTGTCAGAAGAACAGTTTAATGTCTTGTACGTCTTGAAACAGAAAGCATCCAGTATTGAAGCATTCGCATCAGTTTTGTCGTTACGAGTACAGTCTCCTTTTCTGTCTGAAAGGTCTTTTGTGTCTGACTCAATTGCACTTTCTGGTCTCTCGCCGCGACCTCGAATACACGCCTAGCTCGCCCATCGATACAGAGTGCCTTGGACACACTATACAATGTAGAGATACAGTGAGCTCAGGAGGTGACACTCGAGCCCACGGTCAATGTACGCAGTGTTCACGAGGTTCCCATTCTGCTGCCCCTCGGAAGACGTCCAGTAATGAAACATGTTCATCTACTCTTCAAGTGCACTCTCTTAGGTGATCGGATATTCGTCGGCACAACTCCCAGCTCGATATCCCTATTCGCATCGACTATTCTTCGCCAATATAAGGACCTCTCGGTCTGAGCAGCCCGATCATCCTTGCGCTGCTTCTTCTGTCTCGCGCGGCGCACGCGAACAAATGTCTGAATTATCTCTGTCAGCATAGATCTTTCACTAATTAGCAGAGCGAACTTACTGTGATGCATGTCGAAATAAGCACCACAGCCGCAGCTGCGATCGCGACGCCGAAGAAAACGGTATCGTGATGGACAAAGTCCGTTTTGTCGCTGCTATTGTGTCGATGACAGTCAGTCAATGGCAGGTGAATGATGACCGGATTGTTGGGACTCGTACTTGGTGTCCAGTCGCGAACAGCAAAACGGAAACTGGGCGATACGCTCACTTTGCGATCTCTCTCGCGAACTTAAACCCGCAGCTGCGTCGCTCGTCGAGACCAAGCACCTTGGCTACGCTGCGCAAGTCGGAGAAACGAGGATCGGAAGGGTGCTCGAGTCCCACGGCCGATAAGCTTGAGATTTGTGTTGTTTGTGCACAAGATGAATGCTTCTGCGGGTGTGGCGTGCAAGCATGCGCACAGAACTGGATATCACAACCCAGATCTAAACAACGGACCTCGGAGGCAGCGACACAGCAGTCATCGCTCTAGCCAACTACAAGTCCTGCTTTCCCTCATCTTGCTCACTCTTCTCGCCCTTCCCCAATGCGAAAAGTACAATCTTCTGATACCCTTCCACAGCATCCTCCAAGTCCTTTACGGTCAACTCCTCATTCGCGCTGTGCGCCACCAAAATCGATCCGGGTCCATACAAGTACCGTTTCTGGTCTTTGACCGTCTTCTTCAGCCACGGAATGTCAGTGCCATAATTCACGGTAATGACATCGAATCCTGGAACATCATGATCGATATCAATTGGTCCATAACCTTCTCCTGTGAAATCAATATCGATGATGTCGGAGAATTTAAGATCTTTGTCATCTTCGAGGAAAGATGCCACAGCATCGTGAACGGCGACGGTGATTTCCTTTTTTATGAGTTCGGGAGTTCCTTCTGCGATTCGGACTGCGATGTTCGCAGACGCGTTTTGCGCGATGACATTCGCAGCTACACCGCCTTCGATACGGCCGAGATTGAACGTCGTCGTGCCATATTTGTCGCTTTTGGGAAGCTTGTCTCCCAATTGCATAATAGCTGCAAGAGCGCTTACAAGGACCTCGTTCGCGGAACGGCCGAGCCAGGGGTATCCACTATGGCCGGATTTTCCTTTCGTGGTGAGGTGCACAGAGAGAATGCCTTTGTGGCCAGATACGAGCTTGAGTTCAGTGGGTTCGCCGAAGATGATAGTACTGGGCGTGAGGGAGAGTTGGTTTGCGTGCTTCATGCCTTCGCCGCCGACTTCTTCGCCAACGACGTAGAGGATTCCCACATCATCGCGGGAGATTTTGGAGGCGGCGAGGAGCTCGTTCACGGCGATGATCTGGGTCGCGACGCTTCCTTTGGCGTCTACTGAGCCACGGCCGAAGATTGTCGTGTTGTGCTTGTGCTTGGTAGATTTGTATGGAAGGAAGGGAGGCACCTGACGTCCTTCTTAGCATCTGCATGAATTGGGCCTTATCGTAGCTGCAAGGCATACCGTGTCAATGTGGCTACTCAATACAACAGGCGGGTCTCTGTTGTGGCCTGGCCAAGCGAATACATTGAATCTCTCCGGGTCCTTGGAAACGTATTGCCGCTCTGCATGATAGCCTTGGTTCACGAGGCTCTCGTAGAGCCAATCGCCGACGGCCTTCTCGTTGCCCGAAATGGATTCGATCTCGACCAATGCTTTGTGGAAATCGACGAGATCTGGTGCAAGAAGTAGCTTGTCTTCAGGTGCGGGCAAAATTGAAGCCACGGATGGCGATGCAGCGACCAGCGCCGAAAGCAATTGGGCGAGTCTCATTGTGTTGCTCAACCGCTGTTTCAGACGGGCAGAGACACGATGTATCGTGCAGGCGGCGCGCGGGCAAAGCAGGTACGACGCGGGCTTGGCGCGACTAGCGCGCGTCCCCAGTCGAGTCGCGCAGGGAAGCGAGTGGATTGGAGAGCTTGTTGATTGATACATAAACACCACATCCCGGCGCTTGACAACTGCCACCGGATCCAACAATCCAGCTGGCGCACCTGGTTGTTGCTGCCACCACCGACCCGCCCAGATTCCCATAAAACCGGGTCATTCCTCGCCGCTCCCTTCCTGCCCTTCTCGCCGCATGCTGGTCATTCGGCGGCAGTGACGAGCATTCGCGTATCGACTTCGGCCGAGCCACCCCAGAGGCTCTTGCTCCGCAGCAGCACGACTCCCACCAGCTCTTCTACTCTTAATATCGAGGCCACGCGGAACGGCGCCTGGTGTTTATTGGGACTGGCATGCGCATCGCAGCATCTTCCTACTAAATCCAACACGCCGTCCGGCTGCCATTGACGCGACCCCACGAGACACGGCTACGCGACCATGGCCGCTACACAGAACGCCGATCCCGAGACACTGTACACCAAACAAGCATGCATTGGCGGAGGCAGCTTCGGAAAGGTCTACAAGGGCGTTGACAAGCGCACGGGGCAGTCGGTGGCTATCAAGATTATCGATGTTGAGAACGCCGACGACGAGGTGGACGACATCATTCAAGAGATATCGATTCTGTCGGGCCTGAACTCGCCCTATGTCACCAGGTATTATGGCTCATACCTCAAGGGCTCTGATCTGTGGATCATCATGGAATTCTGCTCGGGAGGCAGTTGCGGGGACATGCTGAAGCCAGGAGTCTTGCCCGAGGACTACATCTGTATCATCATCCGGGAACTACTGCTGGGGCTGGAGTACTTGCACAATGACGGGAAACTGCATCGCGATATCAAGGCTGCGAACATTCTGTTGGGCGCGAATGGGCAAGTCAAATTGGCGGACTTTGGCGTTTCGGGACAATTGACTGCGACGATGACGAAGAAGAATACCTTCGTGGGCACACCGTTTTGGATGGCACCGGAAGTCATCAAGCAGTCTGGATACGATCACAAGGCCGACATCTGGTCGTTGGGCATTACTGCGTTGGAGCTGGCACTTGGCGAGCCACCTTACAGTGACATTCATCCCATGAAAGTTCTATTTTTGATCCCCAAGAACCCAGCGCCGATCTTGGAGGGGAACTTCAGCAGGGATTTCAAAGACTTCGTCTGGCGGTGCTTACGAAAAGAGCCCCGAGAACGACCAAGCGCACGAGAACTTCTCAAACACCCTTGGATACGGAAAGCGAAGCGCACAGCATATCTGACAGAGCTCATCGAAAGACACGAGCGATGGCAAGCCACCCACCGGGACGACAAGGACAACGAAGAAGATGATTACATCGAAAACTCGCCGTCGCGGCCAGAGGACGAGGATCTATGGGACTTTGGCACAGTTCGTCCTGCTGGCAGGCGTGGCAATGCAGGGACGGCACTACGGCCGGTGAACGAATCTGGCATGAATTCGAGAAGGTCTCACGCGCCGAATTCACCCACCAGACGGACAGTATCGAACAAAGAGAATATCGATGGCGACAGTGTAGAACAGCGGGAGACGGGCAATACGTTGCGAGGCGCAATGCTGCCACCACCGCTGCCCAAGACACCGTCGCCTACCAAAAAGTCGGCGCTGCCGCCACCATCCCCTGGCCCTGCTACCAAGGTACCTCTACCGGCGTCACCCACAAGGAAAGCGGTCGCAACAGCACAGCAGACGCCTCCTCGTACGCCTCGTCAAGAACCTGCCCACTCGTCGCCGAAGCCGCCTGTGACGCCTGCCACCCCACGACTTCTGAACGATGACTTTCTGCAGCAGAGTATAGCAAGCGACATGTCTCAATACATGAAGGGTCTGGCCATCAAGGACGAAGACTCAGCCACTCAGCAGGCAGCTCCATCAACGTCTCGGACGGACAACTCGGCAACCCCTGTGGAGTATGCACAACCACGAGTGCCTTCGACTGAAAGCAAAGCAGTCAACGAGCTATATCAGAAGCCGCTGCCGAGCTTTGCACCACCTGTTCCGACCAAGTCGCAACCGAAGTCGGTGGACGACACTAGTGATTCTCGTCGTTCCTCCATCGACTCAGCATATCAGACTTCCACTGATCAATCTGGTGGTGATCCACAGGAACAGCAAGTCACGGCCCTGAGCTCTGTCGTGATCCCAGCACTCGAAGCAGCGCTCCACCGTCGCTCATATCAGCTCTCCTTGCTGCAAAGGAAACACAACGCTTCCCAGGCTAGCAGATCGAACGGGACCACTGCTCAGCCGACGCTCTCTGCGGAGGACCTACAGCTCAAACGCCAAACGCACGAGCAAATACGAAGGTGTATGAGTAAAGTCGCGCGCTTGTTCAAAGATATCGATCACCTGGACAGTGCGTCCCCCGTCGGTATGGGCGATGGCGTCGAAGGGTTGTTGGAAGGATTTTTGGAAGAAGTTTTGTGTCGCGTTGAAGCGGAAGATGCTTGAGACCAGTTCGGGCCATCTTATCATTTGTTGTATAGAGGCGCGCTGCTGCCAGAGTGCCATCAACGGTTTTGCTTTTTGTTCTACGCTTGATGAATTGTATGATTCTGCATGGAAAGCGGGAGATCCTTCTGCTGATGGATCGAGTAGGTAGATGGGCGATGGAATAATACAATTTCGTTGGGCCCATGCCTACCCTCGCTTCTCGAGTTACGGTGCCTCAGTCACTTTGCGCAAGTCAGAGATATTCGCGGGTACAATAACCACACTCAAATGCTCTGGACGGAGTGCGCAGTACTGGCCTTGGTTTCTGTTCTACCTTCCGGTGGTAGCCTGCTTAGCATGTTGTCTTCTCTGCTCGGTTGTGCTGAGGCCAAGCGCAGCTATGCTATGCTCGCTTTCGGTTGGCCGTTGCTCGCCCTGTCGAGTGCCCAGACGACTAGAGTTAGTTTGTCAAGGATAGGGCTGTATGGCCACCACTCTAGGCCTGTCAAAAGCTAGGTGCCATTTCTCTCTTGTCATCCAAGAACAACTTACCGTTTGATCCGCCTCTAGGACTGGAATTTGTTCTAAGGACTTCTCAGTAAATCTTGGCTGAATGTCCAAGAGTGACTAACAATGGACTAACGGATTAGACTGTGTTCATGGGCTATGGATTGGGTCTAGAACTGGTGGCTAGGGATTCCAGTAGAGGGCCGGTTTTTCAGTTTCCTATGAGCACACGACCTGGAGGAGTCCTATAAAGGTCTGGACTCCGCCTCGCGCTGCACGTTAATCTCGCTCGCCGCCTCCTCAAAATACCTCGAAAGAACAACGAACCGCGGAAAAATGAAGCTACTATCTTTCTCACTGTTCATGCTATTCGCAGCTCAGTCTGCGTACGCGCAACTTCCGGTAAACACACTCCTCCTGTCTCCCCTCCTTCGCACCGAGATCCTTGCCCCAGACTATCATTCACTAACTCTCCATCTCCATCTAGTGGACCTGCGACATGGGTTCCGGACCTGCTGCTCCGCACGGCTATTGCTGGAACGATCCAAACAATCGGGGACGCGGCAGTGGATATGCCTGTAGAAAGGTGAGTAAAACAACAATGCTTCCATCCGTGGAAACCGGTCTATGGAGCTAGGGATCAAAGCGGATTGTAATTGCTGATGCATTGTGATCGGGGTAGGCATTCCCTTGTGCTTTTCAGGGAAATGGATGTGTGCCGAGGGTGTATCAGGATCCGGCAGATGGGGCGTGGTATGCGCATTGTGGTCCTGAAGTTGCTGTGCCGCCGTGAACGTGTTGGGTTGGGAGAGAAATGTTGGGTTGTAGCACAATGTAGATTGATGGACATGAGAGTTGAATCGAGTATGTAGAATTGACTCATGCTGTTCGATCATCATGGCTCATATATGTGGTATTGAAGATGCTATGCACCCTAATATGTTCGAATCCAGAGTCGAAAGATTGGTGAGAAATTTGTAACCAGCGCTGAGGGTAGCTTGTTCATCGGATAGAGGCAAAACGTCGCTCTACTGGAGTATTCTGATACGCTTGGGGGCGGCGTCTTGATAGGAATAGGTCCATAACATTTCATTGCATCGAATTGTTCGTCCAGTATTTTTCAATAGCATCTCAATAGCAAGGTGAGGTCTGCCAATTCAAAGGAGATCAGTAATCGTGGACCACAGTACTCGCTTTCGGTCGGCCGATATTCGCCTCCTTTGAGCGGTCAGCACTTGGCTTGTTCAGGGTATACTATACTGTAGATGCAGCAGACGATCTTTCCGTTATGTCTCACATCAGTGGTACAAATGTCGGATCACACTCAACCTGCCTGGACTTTCTTTCCACTTGCCTTGTACTGCGCCTTCAGCCCTTGCTCTCATTCATCCATTGCAACTTCCAAGTCGACGGAGCCATGAAGCCGATATCATACTCACTGATCACACTGTCGTTCTTCGCAGCGGCGTATGCGCAAGAAAAGGTAAAGAACTCCTACTTCGCTCCCGAATTCGACGTTCCACTTTGGATGCAACGTTTTCCTGTGTTTGTTGACGAGATGTCACTTGAATCTTTCTGGCTGACCCTGAAACTGTAGTGGATTTGCTACAAACGAAATGGCGAAGCCGCACCGAACGGATACTGTTTCGTCCCTGATCAGTCACCCTTTCAACAACCGAGGGGCTTGGCGTGTACTTCGGTAAGTCTCTTATGCAATAAACAACTAACCCAGAGTGCGGCTGTACTGATGCTGAGGCTAGGATCATGTTTGCACAAATGACAGAAATGATTGCACGCCGAACGCGTGGCAGGATCCGGCGAATGGGGCGTGGTACGCGCATTGTACCTGATGAGCTAAGTCGTTGTCTCAATGTTGCTGCTAGACTGGAACCGTGTTGGTAGCGTGAAGGAGATGAGATTTTGGTTCGGTTGTCGAGCAAGGAGATGAAGATGAGTAAACACATGTTCGGGCCGAACAAGTCGGTCAAAAACTTCGTCACGCCAGTGATGCATGTGGGACCCAGAAAAGTGATGTCCCCTGGAACGTCTCTGTCTCACATTTTGCGAAGAACGAGTGGGAATCGTGCAGCCAAGCTGCGGGCAGCAGAATCGAAAACCAGAAGCACTGAGGCTTCTGTGTCTCTCGCGACCTTAATGTTTCGCCTTTTTCCTTCCGTACATCGAATGCCTTGCCCACGCCGCAGGATACAGAGACACAAAGGAGCAGATACATGCCCAAATTTCTCTGCCAGTGAACACAGTATCCAAAGCGCGGAACCGGAGGTGACGTTTCATTTTGCATTTCGGCGGGAGCCCTAAGCACCTTCCACTAGCACGACAGAGTCTCCTTGCTGCATGGGCGTCGTGGCATAGCAGAATCCAAGCTGGCCGTTCTTGGTCCAGAACAAAGTCTGGAATTCCACCCTGTGTGACAACCCACAAGTGAGGGCAAAATTCGCGTGAGAGCGCTCGTCTCCGCCATGCTGAAGCGGCGAGAAAGATCACAGGGTGGTCTTCCAGAAACCCATGCTGAAGCGGTGAAAAAGGGCCGTAGAATCGTCCTCCATGAAACCCATGCTGAATCTGCGTCTCTCTTCGGCCGCTGTCGTCGTGGCCGCTGTGCCCACGTCGTGTCAAACTCTCCATCATCGAAGCGGTGGTAGCGGTAGAGTGAGATGGTGGTTCCAGGGACGCCGCGCGCACTCCGCCATTCCCTCAAGCAGTTGTATGCCCAGGACAACCGAAATCTACTTCGGCTCCGCCTCCTAAGCTCAATTCTTCCAGGACGTTCAGGCACTCATCAAACTTGTCTATAAGGATCTCCGTTCTGTGGGTCTTATGCGCTCCGGTAAGCATCGTAGCCAGAGCAATTCGCATCACGGGCTTGCACGCCTTCGCACGGCAGCACTGGACAGAAGCAGCCATGTCGTGGTCGGCTTAAAGTACCAGCCAAAGTACCAGCATGGCTGATCTAAGAAGATGCCTCTGAGATCCAGAGATGCGAGCATTGCGTTCGGTGGCTGCTAGATCGACTTTTGTATCCGCGAATCTCCTGTAGCGCCAATTCACTCTGAATCCCCGCCGGCCTGTGAATGTCGAGCACAGATTTGTTACGTAGTCTTGCAATTTGTCTTCGCTCGGATCGACGCACCACGAGTGCAGGTCTGACGTTTTGCAGCCAGTTGTCAGCGAGATTGAGGGTATCTAGGGAAGGTGGTAGGCTTAGCCAGGCCCGAGTGGCAGTGGTGAAAAGCTACGGCACGTCCATTGCATAAGTCGACTCCGGGATTTCTGCGCCAAGTCGCATGAGAATCGCTGTGGTACACATGCACTGCCCGCGGGCGGTCCATGAGGACATCAAATGCCCGATCTCGGTCCCTCTGGACCTTCCAATGGGAGGTCACATCCTCTATCTCCAAACGCTTCTGCTTCGCGCGGCGTACGCACAAGGAATATCTACGCAGACCTGTTAGCACAGCTCTGTCACAATTCATAGAGTCAAACCAAGCCAAGTCAACTTACACTAATGTATACGAAAATAAATACCAAAATAGGAGGCCCCACCGCAAACCCAAAGCCTACAGGGTGGTCTTCCATGAAACATCGAAACTCGTTTGTGATGTGATGGAGGTATCGATGTTGTTTGAGTGAGTGGATGCTTTTGCGAATGCAANGTGTGTGTGTGTGTGTGTGTGTGTGTGTGTGTGTGTGTGTGTGTGTGTGTGGATGTACATTACATGTACCCGTTAAGCACGAGATGATTAACAGCTTCTGTTCGGACGGACGTCGTCACCGGCACCCAGTCGACACCAGAGTCAAGAAGGCACTCTCGACTGCAACTGAGTAGTTACTACTCATACATGTAGTCCGCAGTTGCTCAAAATGTATAGTTCGTGCGTGCCCCATTTTAATCGTGCAGGCGCAAGCTACAACCAATGCCTTCCTGCAGATATACGCTTTCTGATCTCCAATCCCGTCTTCCCGGCAAAGCTCAACCATCGTAGACTTTCTTGCTGTCGGGCTCGCACGGCACATGCTTATCGAAGCACGCTTCGTAGCCGAGAGGCGAGTATGCGACATGTCTGTAAATCATACTTAACCGGCTTTTATGCACCCTGCACTGGAACCAACTCGTAGCGGTATGTGCCGCTTCGACAAGAGAGTCCTCGCATGTCTGGAACCCCGCCAAGCTCGGATAATGACTCATGTCGAAATCGAGAAGGGTGTTGCCGTACTGCCACCAGCTGCTTCCGCACTCATAGCCTGTGATACGATTCTCTTTTGTGATGAATATAGTAGTTAGCATCGGTCGTCTTTTGTTTGGCTATTGGGAGGATTTAATTACTCTGCGGATTTTGCTCTAGGTCTGCTCGTATCTGGTCAACGCATTTGATGAGCTCTGTGGAGTTTGCTCCGTGGTTCTGCGATTGCCAGACTTTCTTCTTGAGTTTCCGTGCCGATGCAGAGGTGGCCAGTATGGCAAGAGTAACGAGTCCTGTCAACTTCATGTTGGGCGATGTCGGTTTGAGATAACGGCGGTTTGCTACACAAAGCACAAGTAGAAGTACTGCGGAGAGGAAACCTCATCGACCGAGAAGAATTCTTGGACAGGTGGCAGCTAGTCGGACACAGCCTGTTTGTATTCTTATGAGATTGTGTGTTTGCAGTACCATAGCTCGCACGAAACCCAAATCCGATCAGTACAGCGGTACCCCCCACAAAATGGGCCTGACGAGGATGCATACCACAGGATTGATTTCCGCTTGATATGGATTCGGCTTATGCGGAAGTTGGACGCTGCTTTCACGCGTTGGCGGTCTCCGCACATGCCCAGGAAATGTCCGCATGATTCCGCAGCTTTGCGCTTTGCTTGGTACTGAAAATCTGTAGGAGTTGCCGGCGTATGCCGTCTTGCTGCAGAGAGGAGGGAGTCTGCTGTCAGGAAGCAAAATAGGAACCAGGATTGAGACTGCGTGCTCCTCCGCCCATAGAACTCGAATGCCCTTCGATCGTCGTGTCGCCGCCTTGTGCGGCGTAGTCAAGGCGCTCCGGCTGAACGTACCGGGAAAGCTGTGGATCCAAGTTCGCGAGAGAGATGGCAAAGTGTCCATGCCTCCAGCTTTCCGTTCTGCAGTTGCAGCTCGTCGGGTTTGCCATTGTTAGCGTTCACGAGCAACTTATTTCTGAGTGTATAGCAACCTAGGCCGATTTTACATGCATTTCTGGGTTAACCTCCGCCTCACGCAGCGTTACTCAGGCGCCCTCTGTCGACAAGCGAGGCAATTGTGGGATCCAGTGCGCAAGAGAGATCGTAAAGTGGGCGTATTCCCTTCCATTCTGCTGTCCGCAATCTCGGGAGCATAAAATGCCGTCTTGATGAGGTGTCCGCTTATACCATCCGATCAACGGCAGCAACACGATTTGCGTGCTTCTCTGCCAGCGCACTGTGCCTGCGGCAACGCAGCATAGCTCGGATGATCATGGGGAATGGTATAGACGGCGGAGCGATGGCGATGGTGTGCCGGTATTACGCCACTAACGTCGCGGCCCCTGCTTTCGCATTGGGCTTTCATGCTGAACGTCTTCTATCACTCTTCTCCGCTCATCCCCAGAGTCTCCATCTGCTGGCGTCGCGGTGAATGAGGAAGCGCGAGTCGTGTGCGCGGCCGTGCTCTGGCGGTGATGACGGCGGCGGGTGGGTGATGGAGGGTGGCTGGGTGGATCTGGTGCCAACTCGATAACTCCATCAGCAGCCAGCAAGACGAGGCCACTCTGCAGGCCGCTCTGCCGCGACGACACGTCACACGAACAACAGAAATGCTCGCTAGGAGCGACGCACCACATATCCACTCCCACTGCACACCGCGCTGCAGCAACAACGTCGGCAGATTGCCAGCTGCCCTCCGCGACCGGCCTTCTCATTGGCCCAGCACACAGCTCCTCTAAGCGCCTCACCTGCCTGCCGTGCACCATGCCATGCCCGAACTGAGGTGGCCCGACCGACACGATCCCGCTCTCGCCAACCACGCCGACGATACCTCCTCCCCTCCTCCGCCTCCGCGTACCGACATGTCCTCTTCCCAGGACGGCGAGCGGAAGAGGCACCGTCGCAAGCACCACTCCACCGACGAGCGGGACTCGCGCGACAAGACTTCCCGATCATCGCATAAATCCTCCTCCGCTACCAAGCTCCCGCTCCATTCCTCCACGCGAAAGTCTACCGACCGGGAGCGAGATCCGACGACTTCAGAGAGGAGCGACGCCAGCAGCATCCGCAAAAAGACTGCCTCCATGGCTGTGCCAGAAATGGAGCGTCGCTCAATCAGCGGTGAAGCACCGAGCTCATATCCAACCTTCAGCAAAGCCCACAGCAGAGAAGCGGTGGGCAGAGACGATGCGAGCAAGACCAAGGCAGACCCCATCACTCCCGACGCTACAGACCTGGGCAGCAACGAGGGGCGGCGGAAAAAGTCGACCCCCGCACCACCAACACGCGCCCCGCCTAGCCCACCACTCACCGCTGATGAGCCCGAGCCAAGGAGGTCAAGCAGTGGGAGGAGTAAGAGGTCGAGCGTGGAGGATATTAAGCTGAAAACGGACAGCCCAAGAAAGAGCTCAGATGGAGGACTACGTGCGAGCGGCGTGAATGGGGTCAAGAATGCAAAGTCGGGCACGAGTTTACGGAAAGAGGCGCGGTTTGGGTCGGAAATTTCGAGCATGCCAGGGACGTTCCCGGACGAAGAGCGCAAGTCAACACCGGTCAGCAGTTACAGGAGGACCGAATCGACAACATCACGCGATCGATCTACACTGACCGAAGAGACCACGGACTCGGACGCAACGTCGATTGCACCTGATCGAAAGCCCAGCAGACAGAGCAGGAGACCCATTCATGTCGTGAATACGCAAGACTACAACTCACCCTCTGTGACTGACTCACAGCCGAAGACTCCTGTTCAAGAATATGCCGCACGAGCAACTCCCATCATCGACGTTGGTGCTGCGAACTCGCACCACGGCAGGTCGTTCCCAACACCAATGACTGCGAAGCAAATGCCACCTCCCCCTCCGCCTCCCCCACCTCCGGTGACAGGTCCGAGGGAAGCCCCGCGCGTGGACTACTTGTTGAAGAACGGCGGCCTGCCCACACCCGTTCCTCGCAGATTGATACAGACTGGACCCCCTGTACAACCTTTTAGCGTCTACCAATCACCAGCACTTGGTCAGACTGCACCCCTGGAAGAGTATGCGAAAGTGTTCAACTCGCTTCATAAGCGATTGGATGACTATCTGCACGTGCTGCAAGGAAATGGCTCGGTTGCAGTAGCTACCGGATACAAGTCCGTTGCGAGAAGGTTGCTGGACAAGCTCTCGCAGGTCTTTGCTCGGGACATCTCCTCACAGCGATGTGACTGTGTCGTGTGTAAAACAACGCCACAGCCCACACTTTCTGATGAGGAGGACACTGGTATCAGCTGGGGCGAGATTCTGGAATTCGTCGCAGGTCGACGAGAACTCCCGCAATGGCCCCCTTTCTCGATCGAACCTGATGACAGCGGGCTTGGCATTTCAGGTGCCACCCAGGCGCCCATGCAGAAACTGGACATCGACGTTCCCGAAGAATACAAAGACCACTACATTCGACAGAATCAGAAGACGAAGCGCGCAGTGCAGAGTTGGCTCTCACAACAACCCGAATATCCCTGCAGTCCGCCTGAAGAGGCAGATGAGGATACTCTCATGTTTGCCATGATGACCAAACTGAACCAATACCAACGCAATCTTTTCATTGCACTTATGCATGGGCAAAGCAGCATTGCATCGTCCAGAGCGCCGACACCTGCAGAACGCCCGACGACCTCCTCTACTGCTCTGCGGAGGGCTAAGAAAGCTCTGCAGAGACTCTACCGCTTGGACCGCCCGCCTCGAGATTGTGAAGCTGCGATGTATCTGCTTAACAATCCTACTCTCCACAGCATGCTCGCCACTCTGGCCGAAGTGAACGAGGCAGAATGGGACATTCTCACTTCTGGCAGGTTCGATGGATTCCTTTGGTCTGGCGCAGAAGCTGGCTTTCCTCCTTCAGCCTCAGCATATGCATCGCCAGCGGCGTCTAGAGGACCCTCGAGGAACCAGAATCATACGCCATTCTCCCGGAACGGAACACCTTTCAGTGGCTTCAGCGCTGTGCCATCACGTGGCCCGACTCCGTTCGAAGGCGAGGCACCGTCTATTTTCCCAACTCGCGGACCGACTCCTGGACCTGGCATGGGCGTTGCGGCGCCTGCTCCTGTGCAGCTCGATGAGGATACCGAGATTGCAGTTGCCGCAGAACTGGAGCGTAACCTCTTCATGGACATGGAGCGCCTAGAAGATGCATTCGAGATCTTGCACGGACGTGCAGAGCTTGTGCGACAGATGCTTAGAGAGCGTTCGGCAGGTCTCGCAGCCCAAGCTCAGGCCCGGCGTGGCAGCGGCATCGACCCAATCGGCGTGCGCCTGGACACTCCAGCCAGCGGCATCACTGACATCGAAGAAGGCGACGACGATGGGTTGGACGATATGGAGAGTCTTGCACCTGACGACAGTGCTTCACAAATTAGCAGCAACCGCATGCGACGCCACCGTGATCGCAAACGGACTCCTGCTCCAGAGGCTGTACCTGAAGAGGACGAGAGCGTGTTCGAGGAACAACAGGAGCGGTCGCGAAGAGAGAAGACGGCCTCGCGAAACAGCGGCCGCAAATCTAAGTACTGACAATCAGGGGACCCGACTTCGTCTGCTTCGCCGGTGAAGCCCCCGTTGGCGTCAATGAAGAGGTCGGTGTCCGAGAAACTGGATGACATTTCGAGAACGTACTTTGGTGCTGGTGGGAGTGGTGGGGGTGGTGGCAGCACCCCGCGGAAAGAATGATGAGCATTGTGTGCTGCCAGCGTTTAGCGACCAAGATCGAGTTCAGCGCTGCTTTGCTGCTCTCTCTGTGAATATGTGAATGCATAGCGAATGGCGTTTGCAGTGAGGATGCCCGGAAACAGGGCAAGATGAGACGAGATACGGAACATGAGCATATGAGATGAGATGAGATGAACATGGAAAATGTGAATGGTACGCTTGTATGTCTGTCACACATTATACATTTCGGACAGAGCGATGGCACAATCTTGAGCCAAAGCTATCGCGTTCGGGAGGATTGAGGTTTAGTTAGCTGTAAAAGAATAAGACATTCTTCTTCCTCAGGTGCCCTTCACTTTCGGTGTTGGCGGCAAATAACGGGATTCAAATCCAGCTCGAATGCTTCGACAATACCCCTCTCTCTTTCCAACCGCACGATCACTTGCCGTACGATCCGTGAAGAATGAAGCAAGTTTCCCAAGATGATCAGCTTCGGTGCATCACAACCAATAAAGAAGCCGGTTCGTCGGCTCCAGCGCCAGATTTCACCGATCCTAGTCCAAGCACGCAATTGGCATTGCATACCACGCGATAGGTCCACTGCTATGTTTACGTACCATGGCATCTACTCGGATCCAATGACAATCTGGAAAGCAGCTGCAATGTCTCGCCGTTGAAGCTGTGCTAAGCTTTTAGGCTGAGAGGCTTAGCTAACGGTTTGGACATGGGATGCTGGAGCTTGTTGATACGTTGACGTGGTACCGGCTGCGCTGAGAGAGATGCCGACTGCGTGCGTATGCTTTCGTGTGCGGAACTGCGGCGTGCTGATCGTCGGGTTGGGAGGTCGTTGTGCCACTTTTTGTTGTGAGGGTCGGAGAGATGGTGTGATTTGAAGATTTCGATGTGGTATACTACTGACAAGGTGGTTTTATGTTTGCATTTCTCTGTCCTGTGGTCTTCTTGTCCTTTTACTGCGCCTAAGCTGGATCGGGATTTGGATTTGGATTTGACAGGATATGGCGGGCTTCACGATGTCGCCTTTGTGGCGACGGGATCGTCAACAGAATGTGCAAGAGAATGGAGCGACGGTAACGACGATCGGAACAAAAGATGAAAAACAGTTCCATGTTCAACAACAGCGGTCGACGTCAGAGAACAGCGAGCTCGGATCCAATGAGCCTGATTATCTGCAACAGCCCAAGGTTGGAGAATTACCGCCTGGAGAAGCAGAAGCTGGAGGAATGGGAAGACATTTGGGATTGTTCTCTACGACGTTTCTGATGTGGGTCTCGCCCAAATCTCTCTGTCTGGAACGACAGTCAGAAGCATAGTCTCCCACCAATACTGACGTCTACTCATCTTCTCAGAATCGGTCGTATCATTGGCACCGGCATCTTCTCCACTCCCTCAAGCATCACCAAAGGCGTCGGATCCGTCGGAGCAGCCATGATGCTCTGGCTTCTGGGCCTAGGCATCGCTTTCGCAGGACTCTTCATCTGGTTGGAACTAGGCTGCATGATCCCTCGATCTGGAGGAGAGAAAGTCTATCTGGAAGCAGCATATCGACGACCAAAGTTATTCGCCACAACAGTCTTCGCATTCCAGATTGTGCTGTTGGGATTCACCGCTAGCGGATGTGTGGTTGCAGTCGAATACATCTACAAAGCCGCCGACAAACTCGCATCCGAATGGGAAAAACGCGGCGTAGCAATCCTCATCATCACCTTCATCTGCAGCCTCCACGCCTTCATCCCCAACTTCGGCCTCCGCTTCATGAACGCCATCGGAATCATAAAAGTCCTCGTCCTCCTCTTCATCGTCATCACCGGCTTCGTAGTCCTAGCCGGAGGCTCCCACATCCCAAACCCCCGAGCCAGTTTCCAAAACTCTTTCGCTGGAACTTCCTCCTCGGGATACCAATGGTCCAACTCCCTCTTCAAAGTCCTAAACAGTTTCGCCGGCTACACCAACGCCGCCTACGTCCTCAACGAAGTCCGCAACCCCGTCCGAACCCTCAAAATCGCCGGTCCACTCGGTCTAGGAATCTGCGGAACATTCTACGTCCTCGCCAATGTAGCCTATTTCTCCGCCGCTACACCCTCCGAAGTCGCGAAATCGGGTACAACAGTCGCAGCACTTTTCATGGATAAAGTCTTTGGGCATCAAGGCCAACAGGCGATTTCCGTCTTAATCGCTTTATCGGCATTCGGAAACGTCATGACTGTCACCTTCGCGCAAGCACGCGTGAATCAGGAATTAGCGAAAGAGGGTGTTTTACCTTGGCCGAAATTCTGGGCGAGTAATTGGCCTTTTGGATCACCTTCTGCTGGACTGTTTCTCCATTGGATTCCCAGCTTCATCGTCATCGTTGCGATTCCTTTCGGAGACGCGTATAATTTCATCTTGGATTTGGAAGGGTATCCTGGCTCAGTCATAAATTTCTTCGTTGTGGTGGGATTTTTTTGGTTGAGGTATAAGGATCCTGAGAGTTTGAGACCCTTTCGATGTTGGTGGCCTGTTGCGGCGTTTTATATGGCGGCGCAGATTTTTCAAATGGTGGCGCCGTTTTTGAGACCGCCTGGGGGAAAGGGGGATACGAGTTTGCCGTATTGGCTTTCGAGTGTGGTGGGGATTGCGGTTTTGGTTACGGGTGCGGTGTGGTGGGTTACGTGGAGGAAGATTTTGCCTGCTGTGGGGGGTTATGAGTTGGTTCCAGAGAGGGAGAGGTTGGATGATGGGACGAGTGTGGTGGTTTATAAGAAGGTAAAGCGAGGTTGAAGGGCCAGTATAGTGCTTTCTGAGCTACGCAGTGAGTGTTAGCTCTGTACTTACGAAATGCCACGGAGAAGCTTCAAGGTTTCGCCCCTGCTGTTCTGCCTGTGATCGGAATTAGTAGCCATCGCGCCAGGGGCACATTGATTATAACTCGCGACTTGTGGGTTTCCAGAGGGTGACCAGAGCCACCAACTCTATGCGCAATTATTCATGCTTGTCGTTATTATGTTCAATTCATCAAATCATATACTTTCCTTCTCAGTCCCCGCTCACCCACCCTCCAGCGGCCAATATCCCCCAATATAATCAAAGTCCTGCTCAAACCCAGGTACCAGCTCCTCCAATGGCCTAGGCTCAATGTCATCCAACAACGTACAAAACGTCACATGTCCTTCATCCATCGTCTCTTTCCCTGGAAAATCGTACTGCCTCCCATCAAACCCAATTCTCACATTCACCACCTTCTCATGTTGTTCTTCATAATCACTCTTCTTGTATACCTGATACACTCCTCCATTTTCTTCGCGGTGCCATTTCATCACCTCCTTTGCCATCGTCTTGAGCGCTCCACCGTGCATGAACATCGGGCGGCCGTCAGGATGATACTGCAGAAATGAATGCCCGCAGTAGAATTTCTCCGGTCCAGCAACAGTTCCAACACTAGTGAGAAACTTCGATGGCTTTCCATATTTCGTTTTCAGCGCGTGCCATGCGAAACGGAATGTATCTTTGTCGCCGAGGAGAATGCTGAAATATGGAGATTCGGCTTTGAATTCGCCTTTTTCGTCGACTGAGGGTGCGTTCATCCATGCAGAAAGTTGAAGATGATACCAAAATTTGCGTTTGTCAACCAGAAGTTGTCCGGATTCTTGCTCGTATTCGTTCATGCGGCATTGCGTGTTGGTGATCGACCAGATCGGGTTATCTGGGCGGGTTCGAGCGATGTCGGGCCAGAATATGGTGCCGTATTCGAGGTACTCGGTAGAGTTCCAGAGCAATTCTGGAGCGAGGATGGGAATGTTATCGGAATCAAGGAGGAGGGGTTCGGCGAAGCGGGTGTTGATCATGGCGGCGGTTTTGAGCTGGTCTAGGTGGTCGCATGTTAGCAGAGGGAGTTTGGGAAGAAAGCAGGACACTCACAATTTGTCTTCCCGGGAACAGCAACATAAGACGATCTGAAAATATTGTGCTCGCCTGATAGATCGTTGAAGGTGATCGTCGGCATCAGATCAGTCAATGTTTTCTTCTTCTCATCCGTCATCTCGTATCCCCAATAATGGATCTCAACGGGTAATTGCGATCGCAGGAGAAAGAGTTTCCTCAAAACAACCACGATTTTCTTGATGCTCTTCCCGCCCACGATCACTATTCCACGACCATTGAAGCGGTGTGAGTGCTCGTTCCACGGCATGAAACCTGTCTGTACGTGAGACTGCCATTTGGCTCTCTCTGAATCCAGATGTGCTTGTGGATAGGGAGTCTTGGTCCATGAGAGGTTCACTCCTCCCCATCCCTCGCCTTCGCCAGGAAACTGGAAGTTGACCTTTTTCAGATCCGGCCACGTACACGTCGATTTACACGTCTCGAAATCAACACCAGGAAGTTTCAACACATCCTGGAAATGTGGGAGAAACTCATCGGCATGAGAGAATTTGTGCGCATCTTCGCGAATCGCATGTGGTTCGTCCAATGTCATCTCAGACGTAGCATGCTCTGGCACGCTGTCTTCCAAGGTTGTCTCGCTGCTCGTCGGAGTCTGTTCGTTTTCGTCATCGCTGTTCTCGATGTTCTCGAAGTTCTCGATCGCAGACTGCGCTGCTGGCACTGCTTCGCCTCCATGCTCAATTGTCGCTCCAGGTGGGAGCTTCTGATCTTTCCATGACGGGTCCCCAAAGTGCTGTTGTGCCTGGTTTCCTAGCTTCCGCCAGGCAGAGCCATCTCCTCCTCGTGTGGTGTACCAGATCAGCAGCAGGCTGAAAAGTGTTGCTAAGCCTAGCCTGGGCAGACTACAGATTGTCTGCCTCCGAGAGGTAGGCGCGAGCATCGCTGGATCGCGTCCGCAAGGGCATGAGCAATAAGAAAAAGGTCGCGGACTTACAGTCGATGTGCATCAAAGAGGAAGAGCGCGTTCATGCTTGCTACTAGAGAAGTCGGACTACCGAGGAATCGCGTTCCTGGAGACTTTTGTGGCGCGTAGTGTGCCCCATTCGCAGACGTCTGCTTACGGACAAGATCGCTTGCGCACAGGATGAGAGGCTGAAAGCCAAGCCTGGACCACGTCCCAGACGCCCACCGAACATGTGAAGATGCGGAGATCTCCAGCGTCCGAGGCTGCCAATCACCGCGCTCTCTGGGAGATTGTTGCCAAGCTGTCATGTTGAGAGTGTCTTCAATTGGTGAACCTTCACATGTTGAAATTGGCTTGTAATTGGTTAACCTCGATGTCTCTCTTCTTCAAATTGGTGGTCTTCATGTGAAAGTCGCAAAGGCTGGTGGCGTTGTGCACGTCGCTTGTCTGGAGAAAACCGGCGGGAGTTGTGATCGCCTGCCTCCCTCCGCGTTTGACTGCAGGTTCTCCAGCTTGTGCAGAACAAGCCTCTCTGACAGCCGGACGAGGCTCCGTGTCTTCACGACGTGACAAACCGTCATGAACCCAGTCAAAAGTATGAGAGAACACGACAAACAGCTCTTCAGCTGTTGCAAACGCTCACCCAGGACGCACAAAGTCTACATGGTCTTGGCGACGCTCTAACCCGCGGTTTACCCAATACAGCGGCAAAAGGAAACCACACTCGATGATCACTTTGGTTTCATCATGCCACTGTGTTCGAGCAAGACCTCAACTCGTACCTTTGCGACTCCTTCTTCCGCAAGACCGGAACTGTCTACGAGAGAGCAAGCCGCTGCCCCTATGCCGACAATGAGGTTGCTTTCGTGGCCGCCGCAAACGCCGGCAAAGTGCATTGCAACCTGGTTCGGGCAGGCCATACAGCTGGGATCATGCTCCGTATGAATCCCGTGATTTGCGTATCGCTCCCCTTCAAACATGCGGCCATCCGGAAGTCGTTTGGTCAAGGTGAACCGCGCGCGCTGTAGGCGGTGCTGAACGCTGTTTGCGAGTACCTCCCATCTCCTTTCTCAATGCCTCCATTTCCTAGAATTCTCCCGAAGCAGACAGGACCGGACGCGGTATAACAGGCACACTTGAGCAGCATCGCCCATACAACGAAGTCCAATATACGAGCGACGAAGACAGCCTGCAAAGATGGGCGGCGCTCTGGCCTGCCATGAGTGTCCACGCCGTTTCGGGGACAGGAATGAGCTCGAGCATGTGAGCGTGCCCTATCCCACAGCTCCAATGATCGTGAACAGGAATACTGACGATGCCTTTCTCACTCCCAGCACAAACTCACCCACCTTCCGCTGACTGTCCGCTGCCTCTGCTGCCCACGGTACTTCAGTACATTCTTCGGCATGGTCATCCACCTCGAATCCGGCACATGCGAATCCGGAGTGAACTTGCCTTTCCTCAACCGCCTGGCAGCGCAGTGCTTCCAGTGGAAGAAGTATCTGAGCAAAGAGTATCGCAACGAGTTGTTGGCAGGTGATACTGGATATCGTGAGGTCTCGGCACAGCCATTCAAGTGTCCGAGATGCGAAGAGGCGTTTCCATTGCTCAGTAGTATGTTTCAGCATATCTGGAGCCCGGCTTGTGGGCAGGGGCAGAGAGGCGGTGCGATTGGGAAGTTGAGGAGGTGGATCGAGAAGCGGACGTACAGGATGCGCTCGCGTTGATCGTGCGGAGAGGGAAGTCGGCTTCGATGGCCGCAGCAGTTTGCTTGGCCTGTCCGACGGTTCAGAAGATCTCTCCGGAATTCCTCGATGATGCAGAAGATCGTTGTGTTGCAGGCGGCGGCGAAGGATCGGAGCTGGCCGAGTTCGAAAGAAATGCTGTCTATTGATCGCGTCAGTTGGCTCGCAAAGGAGCTATCAAGAATGTCAGGAACCGGAAATGCCGCCTGGATCATCGAATCTGGCATTTTCCTGGCTGTTGAATATGCATCTGTCTCTTTTTTGGTGGCTTTTGAACCTCGAACGCCGACCGGCCTGCAATGCGATTCCGCTCAGAACACAAGGCAATCGAAGATCCGTTTATTTACCACCCTCGTGGCCATATGCGGCCTCATTCAGCTTCTTGCCGAACGGAGCACCACCTCCCTTATGTCCATCCGACTTTTGTGACGCGTGGTTCTCCTTGAAGTATTCGGTATCGACGCCTTTGGGGTTCTCCTGTCGCGATCGCGTGTCCTCCGCGTCGCCTAGGCAATCTCATCAGCAAGGAGTCCGGGACAGAATGTCAAACTCGCCATGTCGAGCGGAGCATAGGTTCCGGATCGACGTACTCTGCTCACCTAGCTTGGTTGCTACACCTGGAGCGTGTGTCTTGGATCCTCCGCCTCGAGAATATGCGTTGGCGATGTTTTGTGCTCCATGCGTCTCGAACCTGGACTGTACATTAGCACGGCTTACTCATACATCGAGGACAAAAGGCAGCCACGGACATATTCTCTCTCGTAGCAAAGTAGACGATGGCGCCCGTGAGGCCAGCTCCGGCGATGATGTTGGGGCCTGTGAGGAACTTCGACATGGCGATGATTTGTTTGATGGGTAGATAGCTCTTGGCTGCGTTATCTTTCGAGATCTGTAGAAGAGAAAAGCAAAAGTCTGATCTTCTTCACGCAATGTATCGAAGTACTGCCAATGTCATCCGCTCATGAAAGGCTCAACAAAGGGCGGCCAGCAATAGGTCATCATGGCATCGTCATTGACCTGAGCTAGCTCCGAACCCAATCTGATCGCCAAGACATCGAAGCTTTGGCCTACTGTCGGCGTTTGAGCTTCGACTGCCGACCAATCGATCGCGGGGCAATCACAAGCCTCGCGTCAAAATTTTGGAGATACTGACGAAAGACCGTACTTGAGCTCAAGACATTGACCCATACAAATCTCACTTTATCCAACAAACAAAATTAAAACACAATCCTCACCAACACCATGGCCACCTCACAACCTCCCACCCGCCTCACAGTCCTCATCTCCGGCTCCGGCACAAACCTCCAAGCCCTCATCGACGCCTCGACCTCCACCCCACCAACCCTCCCCAACACGCAAATCATCCGCGTCCTCTCCGACCGCAAATCCGCCTACGGCCTCACACGAGCCCAAAATGCCAACATCCCCTCCACATATTTCCCCTGGCTACCCTACAAAAAAGCATACCCCGACAACAATAACTCCTCCGACCCAACATCCAGCGAAGCTCGGCAAAAATACGACGCAGCACTCGCTGAAGAAGTTTTAAAAGATTCCCCTCAAATGATAGTATGCGCGGGGTTTATGCGCATCCTAACACCCTCATTTCTCGATCCCATCGTGGAGAAGGGAATCCCAATCATTAATCTCCATCCTTCTTTGCCGGGGGATTTAGTTGGGGCGGGGTGTATTGAACGGGCTTGGGAGGAATTTGAAAAGAAAAAGAGGACGAAAACGGGAGTGATGGTGCATTATGTTATAAGGGAGGTGGATTTGGGGGAGCCGATTGTTTGGGAAGAGGTTGATATGAGGGGGTGTGAGAAGGTGGAGGATCTTGTGGGGAGGGTGAGGGAGAAGGAGCATGGGATTATTGTTGAGGGGGCGAGGAGGGTTGTGGAGGGGTTGAGGAAGAGTGGGGAGGGGAAGGAGTGAGGGGTTGGGTTAAGAGAAAGAAATGGTGAATGGTCGAAGGCTTGAGGAGGGTGTCGATTGCATGTTGGCAGAGGGCCTTACCTTCCCCAGTCGAACAAGTGGGATTCGATATCTCAAAAACGTCAGGGCATTTAGTCACTCCTAGAACTTGGAGTGACTATATCGGACGACTGCGGTGCTGGGTAGCACGATGATCATGAAAGATGACATGGCACTGCCTAATGGGTTCTACTCTCCCAAATGGTGTCGAGACTCCCAGAGAAGAGTCGCTCCAAATTGTCAAAACGATAGAAGGATATATCAGGAGATCACGAAGCCGATATGCCAATTTTGTGAAGCACGAACAGGCGGCCTCGCTCGATCGCTTTCGCGTATCGAAGGCTACATGGCAAGTCCTGGCGTGAGAACGTTCAGACCCGATCTGTGGCTCAGAAATGGAGCGGACATTCTGCCATTCGACTCTGTTACTTGAACATACATTCATCAGCCATCAAGTCTGCACAGAATTCCGCTCACACTTTACACTGCTCAGCCACCTGGTATAGTCGTCTCTCCCACCAAGCCAACACCTTGTTCAGACGACATGACCAAAATCCCCTCCAACGAGAAAGTTCTGGATAGCTTTACGCTCCCATGATGTCCATACACTTCTTCTCTGTACAGCACAAAGACAATAGAACGTCATCGCGATACTTGACGCATCTCGTTGACCATCAATGGGCCCATACCGACGACTCCAAACCGCGGGCAGCTCTCGTCTGGAGCAGATTGTCGTCTTGGTTTGGGGTGGAGACTTTACCCATCAGACTTGTGATCTCCTCGGTCGAAGGTGTGCCCGGTTCCGGTATGCTCGGGAACAACGTCGAAGAGGTGGACGATGGCTGCTCTGAGCGCCCAGTCGACGGCAGCTCAGTGTCCTCCTCTGGCGTCTCTCCCACCAGCTGCACCTCGCCCTTCGCCCATCGTAACAGCAGATCCTCTGCCATCTCGTGATAATCCGTTGAGCCATCGAACGGCTTGCACGGAAGAAGCTTCACGAGACCCAACGGGTCGTTATGCTTAAGCTGAGATTTCAGCCACCATGCTCCGTCCTTCCAGGTCGATGCCTTCTCCTGGGGCAGGCCTTGCCAGAGCAAATCGACCATGGATTGAACAGCCGGCTCAACAGAGACGGTACCGAGACCTTCGCAGATCATTGGGAAGAGATGATAGTTGAATAGGTCCTGGTCCTCACCCTCAAAGCAATCGTTCAACTGCTTCAATTTATCTGCAAAAGGGTCTCCGATGATGGCATCGAGATCGAGGTGCTCGTACCTGGGATGCCGAATGTCCGGTTTTGGGAATTCGACCCCAGGGTAGAATGCAGTGATAGCGATGTACGCACCGAGCTCAGAGGCAATGAGGTTAGCGAACCTCGCGGTAGCACCTTTGGCCTCTTGCTGAAGTTCAGCTACTACACGCGTGAGTTCTCCTCGCTTCGATGGTGACAACTCCCTCCAGAAACGCTCACGCCATTCGTAGGCCGTCTCGGCCTTGTTTGATCCATCTTGAGAACTGGCGTAGGCGGGAAAGTACTTCAGGCCGGTCAGACCTTTACTCGTGATCTTGTGCCAAGTCGACACATAGCGATCTCGCTCGGACGATTGCAGGCTGCGTAGCTTAGCTGCATCAAATGGCTCGATGCGAAAGTGCCCCAGCCGTTCCGATAGACTCATCTTCCAGTCGGGACGACCGGATGGTAGACCCTTGACCTGTTGCAATGGCTGCGGCTGAAGACCTTCTTTTTCATTGAAAGAAGGAACGGAGACCTGCTGAGTGCCTGGCCTTGACGAATGCTCCAGAAGTGCCGTCATCTTCGATGCTAGAGGTTGCGACAGTGGATCCAACGGACTTTCCGTGTCCTTCGCTCTCTGTGGACTGTGTGGAGGCTGCTGACGTGTGAAGTCAGGTGGTGCCAGTCCTGATGGAAGGAGATGGCTCCATGAAGAAACAGACGACGAGGCATCTGCTACATCTGCCCTTTTCGTTGAACTTCTCAAGTTATATCGAGTCTGCGGAGTTCCTGGACTGGATGCCCCTGAGCTCATGGACTGCAATTCTCCCGCACTCCTCAAGTGATATCGGGTCTGCTGGGTATTCGATGTGGGTGTTGCTGGGTTTGCCGGAGGAGCTTTTCCGGGTAGCACAACTGGCGATGAGCTGCCGATTGTCACTGTACACTTCTTCTCTCCCTGCTTCATCTCTCGCACCATCTGAGCCAGCGTCATCGGTGCCGCAGATGCGGATGTTTGAGCCTGTTGTGCAGCCACGGGAGTCGATGTCTGCTTCTGCTGCTTCTGATGACTCCTCCTCGCCTCCTCTGGCACTGGCAGCTGTGCCTTGAAGCAGGGCCCTCCGTACAAGTCAAGCACTTCGAATATCGCGTCCAAGTTCCCGCTAATCACCTGCGCCGAACAAGCGACAAAATAGTCTTGCACGGCTTCATGTTGACTCAACCATGCTTTGACTGCTGTCTTCTTTCTCTCGAAGCCCGTGTCGCCGCCGAGGAAGGGTGCCCTTGCGATAGCGAAGAGCGTTTTGCCATCGGCGCGGATACTTTTCCCCCAATTCAGTATGGTGATGTTGCGTTTCCGTGGTTCCTGTGCGCTCAACTTGACGCGGTCGATGTCACGGAGATCAAGCACCTCGAGGCGTCTCTTCAGGTTCCAAGTCGGGGCTTGCATTGTGGGTAGTGATGGTTGAGCATGAGTGGTGATGGTGTTGTTCTTGTCGCCTTGTGTTGTGTATGAGTTTCAGGCGCGTCCAAAACGCGCTTGCTTGCTTTGTGCGTCGTTGCAAATGAAGCACGCTAGCAGCTTGGCTGCATCAAAAGTGAGGTTAGGAAAGTGCAGGTGCGATGGCACCTTACTTCGCCTTCAGGATGAGTCTTCCGCAGGGTTGATGCGTGAAACGGCCAGCATAGAGCGCCATTGGTGTATCGCCATACCCGAAGCCAAGATATTTTCAGAGAGCTAGATGTGTACCTGCAAGTTACACGCAACATCTGAGCACAGCACCTCCGCATATGGTGCCGAGATTTGCTTGAAATGATAACAGCATGAGTTGAGGAACTGATATTTAAGGCGTTTATAGTCAGAACCATGAGTATTTGCTGCAGTGGTTTATTCAACTTCTATACAGTGGTCAACTAGCGCTGATTCGTTCATCTGCGTCAGTCAGTAGCCACGTGCGAGTACTTGACATCACAATCAGTGCCTTTTTCTTGAGGGCTTGATGAATGTTTCTGAACAATAATGACCTGGGGCAAGTAGGCAGGAGGGACACGCCCGTGAGCTCTGGCCAAGTGGGATGGCAGCCGTGCACGCGTGTCACAATACTCAGCATCATGCTGTAGTCGTTATCATGGCCAGTGATCCTCGTACTCACCACATACTGTGCAGGGATGCGGAAACGTACACAGGCATTGCATAATCTCTGCTGCCCAACCAAGCCACGCAAGCCGTCAATCGACATGCTACATCTAGCATCTCCCGGGCGTTGGGCTGAGCGGATGCAGGAAAGCAGGAAAAGATTCCGTTGGCGTGAGGCTCTCGTCAGGCAGCAATTCGTGCTCGAGCGGAAAAAGGAATATCTGGTTGACAGCTCCTTGCTGCATTTCCGGAACCAGACTTTCGATTCCCCGCTGATATCGAAGCAATCCCGCAGCGCGGTTGAGTCCGGATGGGGTATATTGTCGGGATGTGACTCTTCGTTAAACCGATAGGTCAGCATCATGAGATCGTGGATGCGTCAATATGCGTTGTCCATTCCTGGACTGACAGATCATCTAGATCAGGGACAGGCAACGCATAAGCTGTTCCGGTCGATTTGTTCGCATGACCCTGCTATTCGTCTCGAGAGACTCATCATGAGTATGCAGGAGGTCATTGCTTCGGCTCGTGCTTTACTTTCGCGATAGATGCAACAGGAAGTTCGTAGCGATCAAGCAGGCGACTTGAGCAGAGTGGGAGCGTGGTCAAGTTTAGTCAGCACCAAGATCGGAGAACAGTCCACATGAAGTCCTGAAGAGGTGTTCGCATCGAGTCATGACCGATGCTTAGCCTGCTGTCATGCTGGGTCTTGACAAGATCGCCAACCAGCATCGTGCGTTTCACGATCTACATCTTCACCTCAGCAGATTCTTTCGATTGACGGACTTTCAGTTCCTGGCGAACGCTTCTGGCGTTGGCACCCTGCTCAGTTCAGTGAATCAACCAATGCAAAAGGAGTCAGGCTCAGGATCCGTTTCTTCCGCATATCGTCAATCGAGGCGAAGTTGTCCCGAAACGCGATCGTAGATCAGTCTTGGGTTATAGTTCGGCACTGCAATTGTGCGTCATGTTCTCGACTCGCCTATGTGTTCCTAATAACGGACACAAAACTATCGCGGAGTCGATGTTGATCTCTGGTCAGCAATTGAAGAGCCCTACAGAATATTGAAGATGTCGTGGTAACGCCAGTTTTCATTCGAGGTCAACGTTGTCGCCAAGGAAAACAACCAGATGCCAGAAAATGCTCGTGCTGTGCGCTGCGAAAAGAGATAGTTCCCACAGCGATTTATCGCGGTTTCCATAGGCGGAGGACATCGAAGAGGTCCGCCTAGCGCACCAGCAAGTCAGGATATCTCACCGTGACCATTGTGCACGGCTCGCGATCGCTCATCCAGAGCGATCATTCTCCCGAATATGATGGCGGAAATGAGGTGGCTGGAGCCGGCGGTGATTGTATAGCATGCCGGCCATGCGAAGGAGAAGCCGGACAGTCCTCTACGGCCGACCGAACGTTTCCGCGAAATGGTTTTCTTGCGCCGTTTCGCAGCTCGCGTTCGAGGGCACGTCCTGTGCCTCCACTTGTCGATCAACTCCACCCCGCCCGCGTCGCTTTTTCGCACCTCATCTTCTGCGCCACAGAGCAGAAGGTGAGTGGCGCTGTTTCGAGTGGTAGCACGAATACCTCAACTTGACGCTGCCTTGCATGGCCACAGGCGCGGGTCGACTCGGGCGACATGTGTCGTGCGTTGGACTTCTGCGAGGAGGAGCAAGTCATCGTCATTAGCCTTCTACCTGCTCAAGACCCCTGGCTGCCGGAGGTGCATTGCCGTGCAATAGACGCACCAATGCACGCTCTCCTGGGATCACGACTGACGAGCATATCCTAGCTGCATGAGAACGCGTTCGCCAAATGGCGAGGCACAGGTGGTGCTTGGCGGCAGCAGCTTGCTGAACGCAGCGTGAATGGCTGAAATAGAGTCTCCCGACTCCGCGTCCAGAGCATCGCGGGCGCCATGTCGTTGGAGCTCTCCGGCGCAGCGGTCTGGTGGTTGCAGCGGGCGGATCGTCTGCGTGCAGAAGGCCTGTCACCCGCGCATGCTGACTGCCATTGAGGAGCCAAGACCGTCTTCCGCCAGGCCCGGCGGTGGAGGTGGAGGAAGGGGAGGGGCAATGCAAGGCCCGATTTTTGCCACTCACTGCAGCAGACATTGCACTGCAGTCGACCACATACTCGCCAGCAGCAGCGGCGCATCGCTCGACAGCACTTTTGCAGCGGAGGCGGGAGCTGCAAAGCCGGCCCAGGAGTGTGGTACAAGGAGCTGCTGGTCGGCGAGCTAGCGATGCGCCCCCTCCAGCGCGGGACCGCTCCCATTTGCTCGAGCCTGCGCGTGGTCTGTGGCTTGTTTTGGGGAGCTGCGCGACATCGAGCGAGCCTCGTCGCCGTCAAGTGGCTCTTAAAAAGTGGATGCCGTGGTGGGCGTCAGGTCGTCGTCGCTCACGCCCTCTGCCCTGTCGAGCCTGTCCCGTCCGCTGCATCCATCCTCGTGTGTGCCACTGCTGCCCGAGGCGACACGACGACGTAGGGGGA